CACAGCCCCGTGCTTGGAAGATCCGGCAGAGCCGTGGGAATACCGCACGTCATTCCCGAGCCAAGTGGTCTCACCACCCCAGTAAGCCGATTCGTCTGCTTCCCAAGTATCCTTACGGCCACCGGCAAATCCGAATGTCTGGAAACCCATCGACTCTAGGGCCACGTTGCCCGTCAAGATCATCAGGTCCGCCCAGGAGATCTTGTTCCCATACTTCTGCTTAATCGGCCACAGCAGGCGTCGAGCTTTGTCGAGACTCACGTTGTCCGGCCAGCTGTTGAGAGGCGCGAACCGTTGTTGACCTTGCCCACCACCACCACGACCATCAAAGGTGCGATAGGTACCCGCACTATGCCAGGCCATGCGGATGAAAAGGCCACCGTAATGACCAAAGTCTGCTGGCCACCAGTCCTGGGAATCGGTCATCAGATCTCGCAGGTCCTTCTTCAGGGCATAGTAATCCAGACTGTTGAAAGCCGCCGCATAGTCAAAATCGGGATCCAGTGGGTTTGAGGCTGCTGTGTGCTGACGGAGGATGTTCAGCTTCAGCTGGTCTGGCCACCAGTCGCGGTTGCGGGTGCCACTGCCGGCCACGTTGCCTTGATTGTGGAAGGGACACTTCTCTGCCATGATGGGCAAAACTCCTAGTAGAGGCGCAGTTGTAGCGTGTTAAGATTGAACTTGGTTGTTGTATAAGAAAGAAATTGGGATGAATTCAATGGTCTCATGATACTGCCGCAGATGGAGGTGAACAACCATGGCTTTTTATATTGTTTCTTCATCCTCATCAGTATGAATCCATTAGTAATGTGCTCTAGGGATTCACCACCCAAGTGAAAAGCGGGGTAAAGGCACTAGATTGAAGTCGCCGTTCTGGCTTTCAAACCTTCCTAGCCATAGATGATCAATTCCTCGGGACATGCTCAAGCATTCTGCTGACCTCATTCGCTGTTCCACCCGAAGGTTCAACTGTGCTGCCGGCCAGTCTGGTGGATCAGCCCTCTCAGAGTAGGTGTTGAGGATGGCTACAAACTATGAACGAATAGGGCCGCGGAGTCCCCCGATGCCAGCAATGGGACCAATAAGCTAGGGCTTGTTGACATCACCAGAAACTCGATTACTCAATAGGTGATCTGCAAGTGACTGATTAGCAGTAATCCCCACAAACGATCTAGATGGCTGAGATCAGAAAGATTTGGCATCAAGTGCCGGTTTTCGGCATGGACCCTAGCAGTGGGAGGAGCTTAAGTGGAACGTTAGCAAGCATCTTGGTCTCGAATCGATATTGAATAAGCAGGCCCTCATTTGCCTTCGACGCGGATGGGGAAAGTCTAACTCGATTTGGTCAAGCGCGATATGGTCTTGGCAGCATATAGCCCTCGAAGATGCGATCCGATAGTCTTCTGTCTACATAGGAACTTCAGAACCAAGGCCTACCGAGGTAACACCAAGTCCAAAAACGAATCGAAATGAATAGATCTGGAGTCTTCCGCGAATACCTCTACAGTGATTCAATATGCCTTGTTTCTGAGCCGCCATCCTCGGTAACGGTCAAGACCCTCGGTAACAGATGTGCTAGTTTACTGTCTCTTAGAATACTACCATTGCCATCATGCGTGGAGTTCAGCCGGGACGTCTAGAACACGCTCAATGAGAGGAACTAAATGGGTCGTCATTTAGACGAGGAATCCGATTTGTAAACAGCTCCCATCTTGAACGGAATGGCATGGATCCCAACCGTCTGGTTTATCATCAGGAAAACTGCTGACCTGAAGGAGCTGGATTAGTAGACTAAAATCTTCGGGCACTTCGGGGCCCGAGGATTCCATGTCCCGAGCAAGTGGACTGATCGAGTCGGTATGATGCTGGCCTTGTGGTGTCTGGATCTTGTTTGGCGCGGAGTGGGTAGGGTTGATATTCCACATCTGGACATGACGAATATTCAAAAATCTAGAACGATTTTGGAGAATGTCCCTTACAAATTGGAATACTAGGATTCTGCACTTTGACTAATCCATCTGCATACAGTGTAGTAGCTATGTGTTCAATAATGCATTGAAGTTGGATCTTCTCTGAACAGCACCTTCGGCACCCGTCGCTCTGATGCCATGCGGCTTTGCGATAGTTGTGATCTTATTTATTGCGACTCTAACTCCCTTCGCCCCTCTGATCTACAACTAGATTATATGTCCATTGGTTCAAAACCCACGTATGTACCTTGCACCGCGTTCCCGCCTATCAAATCAGGACCCAGTAGGAATGTTTTGAACGAAGTTATTAGCATGAGTGGCTTGATGGTCAAGAAAATGCGGGTTCAAAGCCGCTAACAAGTAATCATATTGAAGCTAAATGATGCCACTGAATTTTGTACTACGATGTTCCCCTCATAGGCAATGATGTGCACAGGGTTGTCCAGACTGCTCTTCATGTAGTAAATCACCACTTATACCCTCGACACATGCTGCAGGCAAATCTTCTGGGTTGTTGTAAGCGACCATCTAGCGACGCTGGCAAGAAACCTCGCTGTCATGAATTAGATCTGGTACTCGTCTTTTCTCGTACATTAGCTGTCTACTCGAAGGTAAAGGATCCCTATCAGCCATGATACTTATATTAATTCCTGACTTAGATCGGCAATTAGACTCAACACAATAAAGACATCTTAGATAAACGGACCATTCCTGCCCTCCGTAGAAAAAAGCCAAGAATGAAACTATATAATGGATTCAGTTAAAAAGAAACCCAAATTGTGTGGTATTGCTGAATGGAAGTTCAGAGTACTCCGCGGACTGTATTTTGCTGGCTCGGAACTTTCCCGATCTATCATACGTTATTGTCCCGGAAATGTTCCGAAGAACAGCTCCGCCTACTCTTTTACGACCTGGTATCAAATGCAGCGGAATATAGCTACATACACGTTATCCGAGTGAATTTCATTGTCTACCCTTGGTATACTAAAAGAAACAAGAAAAATAAAGAAAAATAAAGAAAAAATAAAACTGCAGTATTACCTTCCGGATGGGCTAATATCCTTCAAAAGGCACACTGTATCTTAGATATCAGAATACCAGATTGAGTACCTATATTTTTTGCCAATCCGGGACATGAGAAGCTTGTTTTGTCTTCCATGGATTAATGTTCTTATCGGCCAGCTATATACGGAGTACGATAGCGAAACAGGATGATGCAAGGGGAAGACGTGACTATACTTATTCTCTCGAATGAGCTGTGCAAGGGACTGGAAGCGGTGATATCCATATGATCCTCGTCTCCCTTGTGTAGGGCTCGGTGAAATGGACCTCTCTGTTGCCTACCAGGGATCAAAATTTTGCAAACAGCCTATTACACTACCACGGCTGTTCACGAAGCGGACTTCACTGGTGATATACCCTATCTTTTCACGATGGTTGTCTACCGGGCACTATTCTTTCTTTCTTCCTGCTTAATGGTACCTCATCCACCATAGTGTGGGTTATCTTTTGGACTATGTAGTGGTATTGGGCGCAGACATCGTCGTGAATACTCCCCTCCTTGACATGTCTATCTTTCAAAGTAGGATCAGACAGCCGCCGCAGCAACCAGCTTATTTACCGAAGCTTCCAAGATTTTTGGGCGGTGACAATCGCAACAAGCATTTTCAACAAGCAAATCAAAACACATTCCGATGGAGTATCAGAGGCGGGAACGGCAAGCTCATTCGGGGCAACAGAAGTAAACATTGTAAAGGGTTAGACTATCTTGTCTGTGTGGCATCATGGCATGTGCATCTGTGTAATTTTGAGAGGATCCCCAGGTGTAACTCATGACCTTAGCTTTAATGGCGGCTACGGTGGACCAGTATCTGTCTTCTGAAAAAGATTTGCTAAAGATTTACTGCAGGATATGTATTTGACTATGTACTGGAAAATTTCCCTCGGCCTAGTAAGGTGTCATCGCGTATTCACACAATGTAATAGGCCAATAGTACCTTTTGTGAAGCCTCTTCGTTTAAACGATCATAAAAAAAAAATGAAAATGAAAATGAAAATGAAGCACATCGTGGATCTTCAAAGATCATGTGAAGATATCTCGTGATACTGGAGCCCTATAAATTATCCCAGCCTCGGCATGCTACATTGTCTCCCTGGAAATTTCTGCTAAACCCTTGGGTTTCATTACAATAGGTAGTCCACCTCAGACGGCGTCTTCCTTCGCCACGTGTACTACCGAATTTTGTGGCTCAGTCCAGGAAAAATACTCCTAGCGAAACTCTGCTGTGTCGGAATCTTAACCCTAAGAGGCAAATGGAAATTTGCTGAGGCGAAATCTGCTGAGGCGGTAGCGCTTGCGGCTAGAAGAGCGTTGAGAAAGGAAAGTTTAAAACGAAAAAAGAATACCCAAACAGGGATCAGATCGACAGGGCAAAGAAAGGGGAGGTTCCGAACGAATCTTTCTCAGTAGAACCGTGTTTTCCTATTGATACCTATCCAATTCCTATGCAATGAGTACGTCCGATGACCTATCATTATGACCCAGAGACTTTCTACTCCGGAGTATATTCTGCATTCCCAATTGAAAGCCCAACACTCAACCGTTTTACTGACCCGAAGAATAAAATTAAAAGAGATGGTGGAGAAAAGTGCTCGACGGTGGCCATGGATTGGTCTCCCACAGACGATGGATCCACCTGCACCAGTGGCTGGATCGCCAAATAGTCCCGTTGCTAAATGGTTGGTCAGTCTTATCAGGGGAATGAACCCAATACTTGGAGTACTTCTTTATGGAAAGATTCGCTTTAGGGGATATGCCTCAAAGGTTCCGTGCCTTTTCTGGAACATTTAGGAGACAGGTGTTAATTGACCAATAGTTGCTAGGGGATTTAGGGGCAATATAAGTTAGGGCTAGAATTTTATTCTAATTTTATTTACTAATTCTTTGTCTCCCAGAAGCTATTGATGCTGACCTTTTTTTTTTTTTTTTTTTTTTTTTTTTTTTTTTTTTTTTTTTTTTTTTTTTTTTTTTTTTTTTTTTTTTTTTTTTTTTTTTTCTTTCCTTTGTCCTTTTTCCTCTATAATCAGAGGGATCCAGAAGATTTTCCGTAGTTGCTCAAAATCTAGCTTGGGCGTGCTACAGCAATGGCCGAGTTGCACAACAGAAAAGCCGAAAAGGTATGCGCTCATCTTGCATTTGGCTAAGAAACATCAGGAGTGAGGCGAGAAAGCAGGGGACCAGACGCAAGTCATTGCTGACACCCTTGTCCTATAGGCTGTCGCAAAAGACACCACTCCTACCCTGAAAGAGCTCAAGGATGCAATTCCTAAGGAATGCTTCGAGTCATCGGCCGTCACATCGCTCTTGTACCTCGCTCGCGACATCCTTTACTGCGCCATTCTGACTGTGGCTGCCTTCCAAATCCACCGCATTCCCTCATTACCGCTGCGGATCATTGCTTGGGCTACGTACGGTTTCTTTCAAGGCTGTGTCGGCACTGGAATATGGATTCTCGCACACGAGTGCGGCCACGGGGCCTTCTCACCTAACCAGAAGCTTAACGACTTCGTCGGCTGGGCTGGACATTCATTCCTGATGGTACCCTACTTCTCCTGGAAGATCACCCACGCCCGCCACCACCGCTACACCGGTCACATGGAGAAGGATACCGTGTATGTGCCGTGGACAGACGAGGATCTAGCAAAGAAGAAGAACGTGCGGATTGAGCAACTGAAGCATCTGACCGAGGAGACTCCGATTGTGTCTTTCCTGCAGCTGATCGGTCACCAGCTGTTCGGATGGCAAATCTATCTCTTCCTGAATGCCACCGCAGGCACCAAGAGTCTGCCTGAAGGTGCTGGAAAGATGGGACCTGCAAACCATTTCAACTTCATGGGGCCGCTCTTCACGGGCTCCCAGCGGGTTTCTATCGCACTGTCTGATTTAGGACTGTTGATCATGGGCTCCATTCTGTACTATGCGTCTACCCAGATTGGAGGCTGGAATGTCGTGCTGTTGTACTTTATTCCTTATCTCTGGGTCCACCACTGGCTGAGTATGTCTCCCGCAACCCGTTTTAACATGAATTCTTGTTCTTGTGACAGGCTATTCTAACATCAGCCCAGTTGCCATCACTTACCTCCAACACACCCATCCCGAAGTCCCGCATTACACAGCCGAGGCCTGGACCTACACCAAGGGTGCGCTCGCCACCGTTGACCGTACAATCGGTTTTATCGGTCGTCATTTCTTCCATGAGATCATCGACTACCACGTTGTCCACCATCTGTTCAGCCGCATTCCATTCTACAAGGCCGAGGAAGCGACCAGGGCCATCCAGCCACTACTTGGCGAACAATACCACGAATCTAAGGACGAGAGCTTCCTGTATTCGCTGATGACGACATTCCGGAAGTGCATCTACGTTTCTGCGAATGGAAGCTCCCAGCCCGGTGTTCTGCATTTCGTCCGGGCAGAAGATACCAACTAAAGAGCTGAAGGGTCCCTGGAGGGCTCTATTGCTCACAAAAGTGAAGCTTTGAGAGCGAGAAGATTTTCACCAAATAAATAGATGATTTAGAACATAGAGGTTTGCGTTTGGAGTTTGTCATTGCGATTGATACCGGCCCACTTGAGGTGGATGTTTGAGACTTTTGTTTCTAATTAATCACTTATAGACGGTCTAGTTTATGGGCAATCGGCCAAGATACCAATGGGAGAAGCATTCAGAATTTTGTGTTTTTCTATAATTTTTGTAGATGCATAGATACCTTCAGAGTCATGATCACTATGCAGGGCGCTTAGGGTTTTGACAATGGGACGCCCGTGCCTCCTGCCACAACAACTGTCGCATCATTTGAACCTGACCAAGGCAATCGTAGTCTGAGTATTTTGCAACTTCTGGGGAAAATACATCGCTCTATATGGCTCGAATAGCTATGACCATATGCTTCTATACAAGGAATATCCATTGATAATCATGCTCCACAAATACGTTACCACTGTTGCGTATAAAGTTTGTCGGTGCCTGGCCAGAGGAGTCCCGATTAAGGTTATTGGAAGGTGATTAGCACCGGACCCAGTCATGGACGATGGGTCTTGTTTCCTTAGATTATTGGGTGGAGACTTTATTCAACTTGGGAGCATGAATTCCTAATTCAGAGGGCCATATTGTCTTTTCAGGCTCTAAGTCTAGACCGATGTTCCTTCACCCGTCACAGCTTTTCAAACGTCGGCGTGCGTTTCTCTATGCCAGCCATCAAAGCCGTGGACACGTCGCCTGTTTGTAAAGCAGCACTATTCCAAACAGCCGTGTAGCGGAGACCTTAAGAATGAAGCCAATCGTTAGCCATTGGACAACCACAGGGCTATAAATCAAAAGCGAAACAAGCTGGAGATGGGGGTTACAAGCCCGAAAGACTCCTTACCTTCGGCAATAGGATGGTCTCTGGACCAATTCAGCAGTTCCTTGGTTCCATGCACTGCAACCGGACTCTTCTGCGCAACAAGACTGGCAATATCCAAAGCCGCTCCCACAAGTGTCTCTTTCGAATCATGAATCGAATTTACGAATCCCACCCTGAGAGCCTCTTCAGCGCCAAAGATCCGTGCTGAAAGTGCCACCTCCTTCACCCAGCCAAAATTGCCTACGATCTTGGGTAGCCGACTTAGTACGCCAATATCTGCTGCCATCCCAATATCGACCTCCTTGACGGAGAAGCGAACATCCTGAGTACATATTCTGATATCGGCCGCGGCAGAAAGGTCGATCGCAAACCCGTACGAATATCCATGCATGGCAGCGATGACAGGCTTCTCGCAGCGCTCGATAGCAGTAAGGCAGTCTTGAAACTCAAGGATTTCGCGTCGAATAGTAAATGCCTTGCGCGCTGCGTCGGAGCCGGCCTTTTCATTGAAGAGCTCTAGGGGAGCCTGTTTGACATCCAGTCCGGCAGTGAAGGCTCTGTCTCCCGCACCGGTGATGACAACTGCACGGACAGAGGAATCGGAAGATAGTTGATCGAAGACTTGACGCATTTCGAGCCACATTCTATACCCAGCGTCAGCAACGTTGCTTGGCAAGCTTTTCTCCGAAGGGTGCTATGTCCAGCTGCCTGTAACATACGGCTGAATGAATGCATTTAGCTTCTCCGGGCGGTTGATCTCGACATGGGCGACGGATGGTCGTGCTGCAGGAAACTGAACCGTGAAGTATTTGTAGGAATACGCAGAAGCTCCGGTAGCCACCATCTTGTCGTCGACTTTAGCTGATAGCTGCGATGTATCTGTTCAGCTTTTCTAGCAGGCCTTCAGTTTCATTGGGAGGCAGTCGGATGAGTGAGTATATTTCAGAATACCCAGCCAGATGCTGGGAGGAATCGAAGGTTTTATCCTCACCAGCTGGATAGCCTATGGATTTCAGTTAACCTCGGTTAACTTGTTTGTACAGGGTTCCTGTCCGCAATCCTCAAACATACTCCGGAGTAAGCTTAAGGATCAATCGAACCATATACTCCACTATCTAGGTGTAGTTCTATCATTTAGCTTTCGTGGGGTAACCTGACTTGACCGGTGTTGTTCACTAATCTAAAAATGATCACGATATCTCCACATTTTACTGTCAGATCAACCTCGGTCGGGACAGTCTGTGCTTTTTTATATCGTCGTCCTTCATGGCCTATCGGTAAGCACTTTCAACGCTGTATTATCTAGCTATTAGTCGTGATTCTCATGGAAATATGATATAGCTAGGGTTTGTTGATAGACACCTGATTTCGATGGCTAATCGATAAGCTTATCGATAAGGCGGCCAGACCGTCGGCCCTGAAGTCGACAGCCAATCAGTCGCGGACCATTGGACTCCACTCCGCAAAAAGTCGGACTTTCAATTTTCACTCCGGGAACTATTTTGTATCTCCGCAAAAACAAGCCAGCAAAAGGCCGCAGTTCTTTCGTTTTGCCGTTTCGGGGTGCGACGTTCTGCTTTATTCCTTTTATTCAATGCAGCAAGAAAAGTGAAAAATCTGTGACAGCATCCTTCTTCTCTTATCAAAATGCAGAACATCGCCCACAAGCCAGGAGACGTGGCGCGAGAATCGCTCGCGTCGCCACTCCCGACGAATGGCTTGCAAGCAAAGCCCAATGTGTCGTCTTTGGGATCGTGGTCCCATATGATCGCTGGCGCGTGAGTGGTCCTGGAAGAAGTGTTTTCTGGCTTATATACTAAGACTGGTATCAATACAGCACAGGTGGAATGGTCACGGCGGTTCTCACAAGTCCACTCGATGTCCTCCGGACCAGGTACGATACAATCGCAGAAATCTTTCTTGTACAGACTGTGTCCGTGGGTTAACGCAATTCGACACAACCATAGGTTACAAACAGACTACTACCAAACCCAGGCAGCCAAGCCTCATCCGGTTCCTACACAGCCCCATCTTCGTCCATCATTCTACCGTACCTCCCTCCTTCACTTCCGCGACACATTCGAAATCCTCTTCTCCATTCACCGCGTGGAAGGCTGGAGAGGTCTCTTTAAGGGCCTCGGACCCAGTCTGACCGGTGTCGTTCCGGCCAGCGCGGTCAAATTCTACACATACGGAAACTGCAAACGGCTTCTCCCGGAGATAATCGGATGCGAAAAGGATTCATCGCTTGTGCATGCCTTATCCGCTGCATGCGCTGGAATTGCCACCGGCTCAGTCACGAATCCGATCTGGGTGGTCAAGACGCGACTTCAGCTTGATAAGGCCGGAGCCCGGCGGTATAAGAACAGTCTGGATTGCGCCAGGCAGGTTCTGCAACAGGAGGGACCCAAGGGCTTTTATCGGGGCTTGTCGGCGAGCTTCCTGGGTACGATTGAGACGACACTGCACCTGGCCATGTATGAGAGGTTCAAGGGGATGATCTCGAAGAGGATTGATCTCAATGAGAAGAGCGAGACAAACGGATTTGTTCAGGGTCTTGCTATGAGTGGAGCTTCGGGTTTGTCGAAGTTGATCGCGTGTTTGATTGCGTATCCCCATGAGGTAAGCTCTGCCACTAGTCTTCTCAGCTTCGGATGTTCCATCTAACTTGTCGCAGGTTATCAGGACTAGATTACGACAGGCTCCGATGGCGGACGGTCGCCAGAAGTACACCGGAATCCTTCAGTGTGCGCGGTTGATCATAAAGGAAGAAGGTGCGGCAGCGCTGTATGGAGGCTTGACGGCACATCTACTGCGGACCGTTCCTTCTGCTGCTCTTACAATCGGTACCTATGAGCTGGTCCTCAAGGTCCTCGAGCGTCGCTAAGCTCGTGTTTAAGTGAGGCCCAGGCCTCAATATTCCCTTCTCATGTATTATAGATGTACGATAGACCAGGTGCAACGATACCTTGTAATATAATAACGACATTGAAGATAAATGTTAATAGTCCCTCAGGAGATAAGGTCTGCTAACAATGCAGCTTCGTATGTCAACGGAGGCACTTGTCCCTTTGACAATAATCCGACACTCTGAATATCGATCATGACCCAAATTGGCAGGGAATACAGGCAAAATACCAATACCTGTTGGATCCCCGCGCATTCCTACGCATGAGGGAACGCATTGAATGCTGGCCCCTTGCGTTCACTACGTTTAGCTAGTGACACCTGATCCCATCCAGGCACAAGCGCTCCATAGCTTTGATTTCGGGCGTACCCCCAACAAGCTGCCCATGAGATGAACAATCTAATAGCGCCACAGCGGCCCCATCAGGACATGCAGAACGTCATCCCAAACCCACCATACTCGCAGAGCGATACACAAAGATTACCCCTCATAAGGAGGGGGCTTTGCATATCGCTCGTCCCTCAGATGCATGGCCTCCTAGAAGAGCGGTCCATTCATGTGCGTCATCATACTGTTAGGGTAAGGATCTCCACGAGTAAGCAGAGTCAACAAAGAGAGACTTATCAGAGACATGGAAAGGGAAGCGGGGCAGCTTAGAAAGATCTGAGCCGATCTGATGCACGACGTCAGCTGCATTCTGGCATGGGCCTTGAAACCGAGATTCTCCGAGGGACAGCCAATGGACTACAAGCCATTGCACCTCGCACTGCTACTAATAGGACAGTCAAGGACAAGAGGATCGTAGACAACCTCTACCAGTACACTGTTTTATTGCCCGTCCACTACGCTGAGCTTTACACGCCATGGCCACTCAAACGGAGTCCGTAGTGGAAGTACCCAGAACCAAATCCACAAAGCCTCTAGAAAAGTATATCCATCCGCCCGAGTCAAAGCAAGATCGTGAGTTGCCAGAGATCCGATTACCAAACATAGGATACTAAGACGACACAGTGAAATATGCGGACTTGGTCACGATTGACCTGTCCGAGTTCGATCGCCCTGGTGGAAAAGAGAAGCTCGCAGCGCAGCTAAAGGATGCCGCGCACGAAGTTGGTATATACTACTCCCGTTCCTTACCTGTCTCATCAATCCCATTGAACACCCAGTTGATGTACCGTTGAACAGGCTTCTTCTACGTGACCAATTTCGGTCTCACCCAAGAACAAATCGACCGGCAGTTCGCCATCGCCAAAGAATTCTTCTCACTCCCGGAGGAAGAACGACGGAGTTTCCGCGCCCCCTTAGAAGAAGGAATCTACAATGGCTACCGACCTCTGGGTTCGATCGAGATCCTGCCCGGACTCCGCGACAACATCGAATTCTATAACATTATGAAATTCCTCCCCCAATACGACCGGGACCACCCAGACGTCGTGAGACGCTACTGGGAGGAAATCGAGCAGTTCCACCGCCACTGCCACGAGCATATTGCCTATAAACTCTTCCAGCTGCTTGCGATCATCCTGGAACTCCCAGAGGACCAGCTTGTGGACGGACATCGCTATGAGGCCGAATGCGACAGCGGCCTCCGCTACATGTGCTACCGGGCCCGCACCCCCGAAGAGAACGAGAAGTACAAGCATCTCTACTCCCGTGGACACACGGACAATGGCACCATCACCTTTGTGTTCCAGCAGCCCGTCGCGGCTCTCCAGGTCAAGAAGTACGATGATTCCGAATGGGAATACCTTCCGATCCGTCCAGGAACGCTGTCGGTGAATATCGCTGATATCATGACGATGTTGTCGAACGGGTGGTTGAAGAGCGGCGTGCACCGCGTCATTGTACCCCCTGAAGACCAGCAACACCACGATCGGCTCGGACTTCTCTACTTTGTACGACCGAGCGATCGCTTGAAGTTGAGGAGTGTGGATAGTCCGTTGCTTCGGAGAGAGGGGTATCATAAAGATACTACCGACATCGATATCCCAGCACCTGAATGGACTCGGGCGAGGATTAAGAAGAACTGGACTCGGTCTCCGACGGATCTGGGTGAGAATGTTACGATGGGAGGATTCAAGGCCAAGGTGTTCTACGAATAGTTCATTGTGTTCTTGCTCTATGAAGTCTACTCAGTTATCGATTAAACTCTTACATGACCAATTGAACTCTCCTTATCTCGAAACTGAACTGCCCTTCTGAGAACTAACTGTATACCTTGCTTAACAGACCACTGGTAAGCCCTCTCAGTGGATTGCTCTATGCCTTTTTGCCAAAGAATCCTTCACAACAAGGCAGCAAAGCAAGGAATCAGCAGAGTGGCGATGTACGATCTGTGTGGGGGTCCTTCTCACCATCCATAGTCAACGTGCTCGAAACTTGGCGTGACCATGAAGCCGAAGTGGGGTAGTTCGTATGAATTACTACAGGTTGGCCAGCGATCTAGAGCGCGGAGTAAGAGATCCACCTGAATTAGTTCAATTGTGCAGAGCGCTAACGACCAACTTGTAACCGGGCAGCCAGTGGGACTGGTGATATACATTGGAACCCAGCGGGCGGGCCGCTCAAATCCGTTTGATCAGCGCTTTGGCCTCATGTTCTCAGGTATCCACCACACATGTCGTATCCTTTGGTGAATAATCCACGGCGGGGGTTCAATTTCCATGCAACTAAAGAGCAGAAAGAGGGGTTTCTGCATCGACAAGAAGAGGGGTAGACGGAAAGAAAACAGGGGGCAAATTGTATACTTTCTTGACTAAAAGCTACTAATCAGCTAGACTCCGTCCACGCATCAGGGCTCAGGTAGCCACCGTCTCCATCCGAACTTTACAACTTATGCGCCCTCGTCCTCCAGGCCACGGCAGACGCACGCAACATCTCATTCGTAAGGATCATGACGCCCTCATCAGCGCCAATCCCAGGCTTCGAGAGCAGAAAGCCCGGTTTCGTGGCCAAGGCAACATGCGCCGTAACCCGGGCAGAAACGTCAGTTTCATTGGCCGATCCTCCAAGACAGCAGCCCACGCCCTTGTCCTGGCAATAAAGTACGGCGTCAATGCTGTTATGTACCCCTCCCAGATCAGGCATCTTGATCTGCACGTAGTCCACGGCGCCCGCATCAGCGAATTTGCGAATATCCTCTAGCGTATTGCACCATTCGTCGGCGACAATCTGGACGTGAATCGAGCGCGCTCGCAGGAGTTGCCGTAGATCTGCCAGTCGTCGTATTTGCTCGGACTGAGTAGGCGCGATGACCGGGGATTCAATGAGCAGATCGTATGGCTGGGCGGATCGCTGTACCTGGGAAAGGAAAGACGCCAGGCTGTCATTGTCGGGAAAGAGATCACCAATTGTTCCGTAGACATCGAAGTGGAGTCGAGGACGGTATCCAGGGCTTCCTCGCTCCTGAACACGTTGAGATACTGTCTTGACGTAATCTATCAAAGTTTTGCCGTTAGGTCCTATGTCGTGGACATGCACGAAGGAGGCATGGGGAAGCATTGGGACCCGTTTCATAATCATTCGGTCCAGTTGTAGGTGATCGTTCCTGTGACAAGAGGCCAGAATATCAATCGGATGGCGTGACAGTGCAGTCCCCCATTCGCGCGATATGATCTCAGCCATAGTACATCGATGCACTAATGCAGTGGCGGCGAGGAGCGCCTGCGTGATGCCATATCTCACGGCGGAATGCAATTTGGCCTGCTGCAACTCAGGCCAGGGCCCATCCATTCTGATTGCATTTTCTCGGAATCGAGCAAGGTCGCATGTAAGGAGCCGAGGTTTGACGACAGACTCTAAGATAGGGAGGTGCTCTTCGGCGATGAAGAGGGGATCCCGAGACGCAGCCCCGGAAAAGATCACGTCGGCACAGTCGCCCACTGCAATTGTCCCATTTGGGAGATGTAGGAGGATAGAGATAGCCTGGCCGGCTTGTACTACGCTCTTGAAACCGGGTGTTTGGGGGGGTACATTGTCAATCAGTGGATCATATGTTGGACTCTGTCGGACTGCTTGGAGGTCTTTCACGAAATACCCGGAAAGCCCGACAACAAATTGGATCTCAGATGCGTACATGGTACTTGATTCAATTGATAATACCCTGATTCTAAAGGTCTAGTACGATGCAAAGTACATACATATATACTCTCGGGGAAAGCCCACCTAGTAGTTCCATCTGTGGGGATCACTTCCCACCGGGAGGACGCTGGACATGGAGATGTGATCGGCGTCAAGATCCTGCGCCTAAATTGAACCCGTCTAACTAATGATGCTAGGATACCTGTAGCGATTTGTCCATCCGAGGAGTCGTCCCACTCCGGGTTACAGGGGAGCGTATGCTCGTCTACAATGTTGACCAACATTTGAGGTCACAAAGACATAAAGATATGGTTGAGTCGTTAAGGCAGTGGTATCCTAATCTTAACTGTATTTTTGGACAAGCCAGAGATCAGTAGAGGCTTTTAGCTTGCAATAAGACTTCATTGCAGTCAAATATTACTTAGTGGTAGTGATACTCTAGCAATTGATATGACGCAAGTATTAACGGGTGTTTTCACCGGGTGGGCCTGGGGACAGAAATACTAAGGGGGGTATACCGTTGGGGGACCCGAAAGGATGTCGAGCTCAGGCCTCTCGACTTGGAGAATGAGGGGAGAATGTCGAGGAGAGAGGAGTAGAGATTGAGAAAAGGCAGGAAGAAAAAGAAGAAGGATGCGAGAGTGGAATGGCAGAATATGTCTGAGACGCGGGAAAGAAAGATAAAACCAAAAAGAATGACCGACGCAGGGATCGAACCTGCAATCTCTTGATTCGTAGTCAAGCGCCTTGCCATTGGGCCAGCCGGCCAATTGTTGAATTAAGTATGCAGTAATTTGCTATATATTCCATCATAATATTGTAAAACCACTTTTGAAATTTGAAGTGATCCCTAAAGAGGTTGCACATGTGTGAAGCGATTCAGGGACCATAATCTTACCATAAACCGGGATCTAACATGGTGCAGCTACTATTTACCTTAAGGACAACTTTAAAGTTAGTTTGGTGGGCTTATTTAGCATGCTTCCGCGAGACTCAAGAAGTCACCTTATTGGAAGTATATATCTTCAAATCCCCGGGCTATTCTGTTGTAGTTAGCCAAAATATTTCACCTGGAATGTGTCCAGGCTAGCTCCCAGCCTCCAAAAGGACGCGCCATGGACGATATCCAACAAAGCTAATACTGGTACGTAACTGGAACCTTTTATTTCGGGACAGTAGCATGCCTCAATTGGGGTTGCTTGCCAAGTTTCGAATACGAGCTTCGATATAGCAGTTGAGCTACGTGGAAACGGGAAGAATATGAAATTATCAATCTTTGATTTCAAATCAGCATTGAGTCACAATAAGGTGTAATGATAGAGCTTTCCCCGGAATTGTGTGAATATAAAAGGCTTTGTGATGACGGTCTAATTTCAGCCGCCCAAGGAAACAACACAATCATCCATACCTTACAATGTCTAAGCACATAAGCATATTCGGTCTCGGAGCCATGGGAACGGCCCTGGCAGCCAAGTACCTCGAACATGGCTACAAAACAACTGTCTGGAATCGAACTACTGCAAAGGCCACCCCGCTCGTTGAGCAGGGTGCCAAGTTAGCTTCTACAATCTCGGAAGGCATCAACGCCAGCGACCTCATCATTATATGTCTCCTTAACAATGAAGCTGTCGAGGGCATTCTACGGGATGTATCCAACAATTTGTCCAACAAGACTATTGTCAACCTTACCAATGGGACACCAAACCAGGCTCGTCACCTTGCAAATTTCGTCACCTCCAACGGAGCACGGTACATCCACGGCGGCATTATGGCGGTCCCCACTATGATTGGCTCTCCACATGCTGTCCTTCTCTACAGTGGAGGATCACTTGAGCTTTTCCAGAGCATCGAAAGCCATCTGTCTCTCCTTGGGACGAGTAAATTCCTCGGTACCGATGCAGGGTCTGCCTCTCTGCATGACCTGGCTTTGTTATCGGGAATGTATGGTCTCTTCTCCGGGTTCCTGCATGCGGTTGCTCTGATCAAGTCCGAGCAGGGTAAGACAGCTACCGGACTATTGCCGCTTCTGACTCCATGGTTGTCGGCAATGACGGGATATCTTGGTTCTATCGCGAAACAGATCGATGAGGGAAACTATGTCACACAGGGATCTAACCTGGACATGCAATTGGTCGGAGTGGAAAACATTGTCAAAGCTGGCGAGGAGCAAGGGGTCTCCTCGCAGATGATCCTTCCGATAACAGCGTTGATAGAGAAAGCAGTGGGTGAGGGCCATGGGGGCGAGGATCTATCAGCGCTGATTGATTATATGGAGGTGAAGAAAAGCTTGGAGTAAGGGGCCGCTATATTTCTGTGTTGTGGTAAAACTACTCTGTGTTCATTCTATTATCATATAGTAGCACGTGGCAAATGAACCTCTTGATTCATCACCAGTTTACATGTCTGGGCTTGGGAAGTGGGCCCTCCTGAGTTTGCCGTTCACGGAGAAGAGATGAAATTCTGGAGGATGAAGACCATAATGGACTAGAAAACTCAGATGTCTGTCTTTGTGAAGGTGAGGATATGCAATAGACGGTGGAGCTCATAGGATGTAATACCCCCTATTTTTGATAGCTATTACATCAACATACAATATGTTTTATATTATGTTTGAATCTGGTTAACAGTACTCTCGTTGAGATATACGTTGAAGAGGAAAGCTGACATGAGTGGTAGTTACTTGTTTATAGTCTAATCTAAGGGGAGAATGATCACAAGCCAAAAATGACCGCTACGTCTTTATAGCACCTTCATTCTATGTATGCATTACTTAGCATACGTATATTGTAGGCCGACAGTAGTCTTGTCCCGCTCAGATTCACCACTAATGCGCCTTCAATAACGCCAGCCCGCCATCGAGTGTCACCTCCGAGCCCGTTGTAAAGGTTGCCTCGAACGCGAGGAACAAAACGGCACGCGCGACTTCGACCGGTTCTCCAATTCTACCCAGGGGTGTAGTCTGAACGCCCTGGTTTTCGAACTCTCGTAGATCATCACACGAGGCACCTGCGACACCCATCGTTGGGGTCTTCACAAAGCCAGGGGAGACCGCGTTTACACGAATCTTCCGACTAACTAGCTCTGCTGCCAATGTCTGTACAAACGACCGGACGGCAGCCTTGGAGGCCGAGTACGTCGCCATGCCTGGGATGCCGACCTGGTTTGCAACCGAGGTGGTGAATACAATGGAACCACCATCTTTTAGGAGAGGGGAGAGCTTCTGCGCCACAAAAAAGGCACCGAACACGTTGGTGTCGAATGTTCGTCGGAAAGAGTCCTCTGATACGGTAGAGAATGGCTCTAGAGAGGCATAGCCAGCGTTGACAAAAAGAAGATCGATGCTTTGTCTAGGGCCAAAGAAGGACTGCGCCGTCTGAACAAGATCAGATATGGCCGCGGTTGAAGTGATATCGCATGACACAATCTCGGCCTTATCTTTTAACTGTTGTTTTGCTGCTTCGATGGGTCTAAGACTTCGGCCGGTGACCAGGACTTTTGCACCCCCGTTAACCAGAAGCTGAGCTGTCGATAGGCCGATGCCATGGCTACCACCGATAATGACCACGTTTTTGCCTGAGTATGATGCCATTGATTTTGTTTGGAAGAGAAAGAATACCAAAAGATCAAAAATTGTAGACTTCTCGCAGGGAATGCTAGAGATAGGTGACTTCCTCGATGGAATTGCTCCCTTAATTCCCTGATCGCAATCCTATATTTATACTTCCTGGACTTGAAGGTGCCCCCTACTTCCCTATACAAAGGCCTAGCAAGATCGGAGCACGAACGACATCGTGCTTCGTATCGAAGGATTGGCCTCGTATTCATGCTTGGCATCTGTTAATGGAAACGCCTAGCTGCCATCAGAACCACGATAATTGTATATAATTTGATTATAAATACAAGCTTGTTTAAGGTTACGTGACTCACAAAAAGACTCGCGTTCGATAGTGATATTACATTCCTAAGCAATCTTCGATGCAATTCTATGCAAATGGTTGAAGAAAAAGAAGATTGTTTCGTTGCTGGACCATGGCTTTTCAGAAAACCTTGCTTTCCGGTTCTCAATCGACAATCGTTTGAGTATTCAGCTATGTAGTATCTTTAAAAATATAAGAGCTCTTTATGATCTCCAAAATGTTGGGGTCTTCCAGCAAAGGAATGCGTTGCAAATTGCACCCCCACAAATACAATAATGACGGCTGGTAGTTGGTAACTGGCTACATGTATATGTGCCATAACACACCGGGGTTCAACAGAGTTTCCTTCTAGTGTGACACCCCTATATTAGAATTATACGAATTTGCAATTATTTTCTCTTTATATTCTGCTACGTAGCTCATGGATGCATTGCGAGAATATGCGATGACGCAATCTTGTGTGCCACTGCCTTGGGGAGTGTTTAAATAAAATATTAAAGTGTTTTGGCTTGATGTATATATGTATAGTTCTAACTAAAAATGAACGAATGAGAAGTTAAAAATACAGAGTGTTGTCGACCACAGCTACCACCTTCACCTCTTTAGTCCCTGATCTCCCACCACCTAATCTAGCAGCTAGCCAGGGGCTTGAACTTGCAAGTGTTGCTAGCGCCGGAGGAAACCTTCTTGGGCTCCTTGCCGTTGTTATCGGTACCCTGGTACTCGACACAGATCTCCTTAACGCTGCTAGCACAGCCGTCAATAGTGGCAGAGTCGCCGAGGTTAGGGTTGATGCCAACAAGAGTCTTGCCGCCGCTAGCCTTGATACCGCTGATCTGAACAGTACGCTTGAACTGCTTCTTGCAGTTGCCGCAGGAGCGGTACAGCTTGCCGAAGTTCTGGACAGTGAAATCCTGGATGATGGCAGTGCCGCCGCTGTTGTGCTGGATGACCTTGTCCTCGGCGCCCTGGGCACCACCGCCGATGACCTTGTGGACGCCGCTGCCGGTACCCTTGAAGGTGAGAGCATCTATACATATTTATTAGTTCACTGCATACAATGAATAGGAGAGAGAAGATGTGAGATGGCGAATGAACATACCCTCGCAGACCTCTTGCCACCAGACGTTTTCAATGGTACAAGAACCCTCGCAGTGCACACCCTCAATCTGGTCAGCACCAATGATGGCGTTGCGAAGGACACCACCGTCAGCGACAATGAAGACAGCGTCCTTGTCGCCACCCTCCTTCTGACCGGTACACTTGACACCACGGTCGAAGGTCTTCATGCCACCATCATAGGTACCCTTGACGTAGTAAGGTTCCTTAAAGGTTTGGCTACCCTTGGAGGCGGGAATGGGGAATGCAGCGCGCTCGTTCAGCTGGTGGAACTTCTGGTGCGAGGAGGCATCGTGAGGGCTGGCCAGAGCCGAGGTGAGGAGGAGGGGAACGAGGAGAAGTTTCTGGTACATGGTGGATGCGAGGAGTGGTTGATAACTTGATAGCGAAGAGAAGTTTGATTCAATTGTTGCTCTGCTTGTCTAGAAGACTCCAATGAGGGAAATGGCGAGGTATTTATACTTCTTCCAGGGGTATACGGACCAGAAATCTGGATGATTACATATGAATGGACAATCTAATAGTCTTGGTATGTCTTGTTTCAATTAAACACACGCGGCATTGTTGAAAAACCGGGCGTAAGGGCGAAACAGCGGCCAGACTGAAGCGCTCCCTAGAAGTCTACCAGAACATAGTCTTGAGCTCTTTGAATGGGCTCCTTGGTTGGGTGTCTCCACTCGGACCTACATTCCCTGAGCACTTGCCGGCCCTTTAGTTGACAGGGTCTGTTGAACCTGAGGATTAAGGCCTCCTTGAGTATCAATCCGCGACAACCGGGCTTTCTCCAGACATCCGATTGGTGGTAATGAGTCAGTAGTTTGATTTTCAACAGCTATTAGCGCATAAAGGGTCAATTTCAGGTCCGTGTGGTGAAATAATCCAAAGGGTCCTGACTCCTGACTCGGGCAGATCCCGGATCAACTCAGGCTAAGTCTTGCAACAATAGGCCTCACACAAGCAAGAGGTATAATAGTGCGGCGTGATCCACCTAATTAGGAAGATACGGGGAGGACCCTAGACTTCTAATGGGCTCCTTTGGCTATTTAGCTATATTTAGGGACCCTACTTGTTTCACTCTAACGGAACCTTTTCCGTGGCGCAGTAAGCTCGACTTCCAGCGACTAGTAGAGACGCCGGTACGAGCAGTACAGTTCCACGGACCACTATAAAACTAGTAACCGTGGAACGGACGAGTGCGAAGTTCTGCCGGAGAGAGAGACGTTTCCAGACGATTAACTTGTGGGCAAATTGACTCTTTTTGTTAACATAAGCCCTGAGTGTATGATGAGTGCTCTGATACCGCACAACCTAATAACTTACAGTGACCTCCGGTCCTTGTTATCGTCGGGAATGGGTGATAATCGCAGGCCAAATCCCGCATGGTCAAATTACCGACCACCAGCCAAGGCTTGCCAAGCCAACCTTATGTTTCAAGTTGGCTCGGGGATGAAATAGTGTAAATAGTGTGGCATACAGAGGCCAGAGCCTAATGGGCCATCCGGAAGTTTCTGCGCGAAATTCGTTAATTCGCCGTGATATCGCCGGGAGATCGTGCACTTGTACGGAGTAGAATTAGCATCATCTTGATAACCAATCGGTTAGTGACAATGCGCCACACGTATATGCAGATCCTCTACAGGCCATACAAGACATTATGCTCATAAAGGGGAGATAATTACTTGCATGTGATTATCACCTTATAGATTAGATATCGGTTAATTAGCATTATTATGTGCAGCAACTCCTTGAGGTTCGGGCGAATGCATAACAACAATAATATCGAAGGGTGGCGGTTTCTCAACTATATTCTAAAGATAGCTACTTGCACAGGAGGAAATAAGCGAGTGGTAACTTCATGGGACAAGTGTAGATTGGTCAAAACAACTAACCGTGGATATTCTGAATTCTGGTCACCTTGCCTAACAAGCTCACGTAGTCGAGAGCCTTTATACCCTTAGCGAGATGATCGAGTCTTCCCATGTTCAAGCATTTGATCAATCTGTGTCAGGTGTCAATGCCAGAAAATGCACGTTGATATTTCCTCGGTGATTTTAATATAACCGAGAGATTGAAGGACAGAGTTGAGGGGCACATCTCGACTTGTGTAGAGCTAATGGGACCAAAAATTCTTGAACAAGACCCACGGAATAGCTCCTAAGTACCTTGCGAAGCCTTCTTAAATGTATTCCTAGCACTATTTGGCAAAGAAGGGCTAATAGGACCACTAAAGAGAATGAGTCTAGATCTATATCGTTTTTTCGGTACACCTATGGATTCCAGGGAAATATCTACTTAAGCTATACTGAAGGTTCATGCCAAGAGGAGTCTACTGCACAGTAACAGCATTGACTAAAAGTCTAGTAACGCTGACCTGGGCGCTTGGATTGTTCAGAATGATCCACCACCTGGGACCCTGGCACTATGGCGCACGGCAAAACCTGATTGGCTCCCCGTGTCAGGGGTGATGTGGAATAGAATGAAATATATATGCAAATACTACTTGGAATACCCGATCTATATACACAGTACTCCGTTCACAGTACCAGAAGAACCCAAGATCTGTCGATTCACATCCTTTCAGAAAAAAACATTCGGCTTCTCGCGTACATCATATGATGGCACACTATTCCGTATAGGGCAGTTCCGGGAGATATCTCGGATTACCGGACTGGGGGCGGTGAAACCAGTTGATCGGCAGATCGTAAACACCATGACTTCAGCTTCCCCCTCCCCCGTCTCTGTTTCTTTCTGTCTTTCCTTCTCCCGACTTCCAATCGCTTCGTCAGACCGAGGAAGATGTTTCTGAATATGTCTACGCTCCCTAGGGGATCTCTGAAGCCATATGCGGCCGAATTCCTCGGAACAGCCCTCCTGATTGTCCTTGGAGATGGAGTGGTTGCACAATGTCTCCTATCCGATTATCAATATGGCACTTGGCTCTCTATCAACATGTCCTGGGCAGCCGCCGTCTGTATCTCCGGCTATCTTGCTGACCCTAGTCCAACCATCAACCCCGCTGTCACCATCTGTACCGCGCTCATTCGGCCTACACCAGGACAATGGAAAAAGCTGCCAGGTAAACTGATCGCCCAATTTCTAGGTGGTTTTGTTGGTGCGGCCCTGGTGTACGTCAACTATCGGTCGGCCATTGAATCCTGGGATCCCGAGTATACCATTCCAGGCGGGTCAATTTTGAGTCCTCAGGGACACCATTCGGCAGGCATCTTTTCGACTTATCCTGCCTCCACTTTGGGGTCGAATTGGGAGGCAGCCTTTAACGAGGTGCTTGGATCGGCAGTGCTCATGTTTGGAAGTCTTACCATTTCAGACCCGTCAAATGCTCATCGGTTCTATTCTCCCCAGCTTTCCAGTTTTCTGCTCCTTCTTGCGATCGGTGCTTCTTTGGGTTGGCAGACCGGATACGTACGTGCCTAGTTGAAATTGGAATTGGAAATACAATAAGCTCTTGCATTATATACTAAACTGATTATCTAGGCTATCAACCCGGCGAGAGACTTCGGCCCGAGACTGTTTTCTGCCATTATATATGGTAGAGAGGTCTTCACTGCAGCCAACTATTATTTTGTCGTCCCCCTGTTCGCCCCGATCATCGGCTGCATTGTGGGGGCTGCAACATATGACTCTCTCCTCTACGAAGGCGAGGGCTCTCATATTACGGATGCTCTCGATAAAGTGGGAGACCGGGATGGATCCCTCCGACTGGATTGAGTAAGCTCCATGACCGGTGATCGACGTCTGGTGAACATAGCGATGAAGGAATGACGTGTTATTTAGCTGAGGTTGGGTGATGTTGAGAGTAAGATATTGATTGGATATCTTCTTCATGATACGACATGATGCTTTGTATGGACATTACTACGCTTGAAGTTGCTTGAACCTTTATAAGTATGATGCTGCTGTTGTATAGATGACGCTATAGAGTATAGATTACCTTTGAATATATGTTTGTGTGTATAGTTACATGCTTGTGTGCGTATTACTCATAGAAGGTACTTTATACTATACTATATTAGGATATTGTACAAGGGCACTAAACATACAAGTGAAGCGGGATGTTACAATACCAATGGCTCTGACTGCGGAATCTCTTTCACCACGTAACCTAGGGAGCGGACAACTTGATCCCAACAGAGACACCGTTGTGCTCCTAAGGATACGCAGAATGCTATATTGCCCCAAATGGTTCACCCTATATGACTATGGTCAATTTGACTTGTTGAATTATTCCACCTTTCCTCTCAGTAGCCACTGGTTTGACCATTACTTCTGCCTATGCAATTGCCCATATTTTTGTGGCTCCCTTACATGAGCAAATTTGACATAAGTTCCTTCGAACTTGATACTAGATTGGGAGCTCTTAACATTGACTATTCACTAATAAGTAATTGAATGCACATAATCGTCAATTCGAGCAGTATCACTATCCCAACTTAGCTCGTGGAGCTTAGTTTGATTCGTCGCATCTTTCGGGGAAGCTCCGGGATATTTCTTGTGCATATTTTGACCGATGTAAGAATACTTGTTGAATCGCTTGGAATGCCTATAGTGATAAGCTTAGCGAAGAAGCAGCCGTATAGTACACAGTCCCTGTGCAACATATGACGTAAGGAAGGTATTGTTAGTCGCACAGAGTCTAATATAGCTCATTTACTGTGCCACCGACATGCTTCGTTCTACGGACGGATTAAACTGCCTGACAACGAGAATGCTGCCCGGCCTTACCAAGTAACCTGGCCCAAGCAGTTCGTTGCTGTTACTCTGTAGCCATGCCTTTGGGCGATTGTAATCTACCGCATGATACTGTGGTTACCTACCACGACCGTTCTACCAATATTTCGGGAGCCTTGTCTCACGCGCAGCATCGGACAACACGGATAGCATGGACGAGATACTCTTGCTCTCGGTAACTTTGATGAGTTGAGCATCTAAACGTGTTACGGCCCAGGGGTGTTGAAGAACGAATGTACCGTGCAAACCAAGCTTTTAGTATGACACATTTCCTGATCTGTAAAGCTGAAGAGGGCCCAGGCTCGATATAATAGTATCACTGCAAAGGACTGCTGGGTTCATGGTAGAAAAGGCGACAGATATCGTACCATTAAATTTGACATCTCAGAACGCCTAATACAGGCGTCTAACCGCTGCTTCAGGATATAAATAGCGGGCTGCTTCCCGAACAAATTACCTCTTATTGCTATAAAGCGGTAGTACCCATAAGGGATATCTCAGTGGGACCAGACCTTATCAAACTGTTGTTGAGAGTATCTTCAAATGAGACCCTTAATCATCCTTGTTGCTTGCGCCAGCCTCGTCGCCTCTGCCGTGACAAGGACACCAACAGCAACGCCTGCCATGCACAGTGGGCTTGTGGAGGGATTTTCGTTTCCCGAAGAGGGCTTGTCGATCAGGATTGGTGTGTATTCAAGATAAGACATCGAATAGACATCCTAGCATGAACTGACCATCTGTGCTAGACTCGAATTTTGCCGGTTTCCAGGCATGGTGCACCGCACCAATTTGTATGGCCACTTGCGCTCGGCTCGGCTATAGGTGCTATCGCTGTGTTGCACTTTCTTGCATGTGCAGTAATGGTGACTGTTGAAAGGGCCCTGTGAGGGCGCATGCTGTTGTTGGTCAGAGTGAAATGGAGACTGCGCATAGCCCCTTGCGGCTGGTTGGGTATTATTTGGCGGGTTGTGGTCTAGATATATTCCCTTTTTGATAGTAATGTAGCCTACAAGGTTCCTACTTTGCCCCAGCACGGATTTGTGACATTACTCGTCGATGTACTGTGTGTTTAGAGGGTGTAGAAATCAGCCTTGATTGCTTCTAGCGACTGAGTTGTTTTTCAGACATTATGGAATTACATATGCTTTTGATGGGCTGCCAGGACTCTTAAGGGGTTAATTTTATACCAGAAATAGATCGGATTTGATGAGCCGTGGGTTTGAGGGATAATTTGGAGTAGCTTCTGTATACAAACAAATGTGAGGTATGTGGTTATTTAAAAGCTCATCACGTCGCCCCTGTGACTTCCAGCCGGAAGGGAAAAACTGTCTGTATAGTATTTTCCAATAGTTTACTCTTGAACTTGATAACTCGCTGACTTTAGCTTGGCCTAAGTAGTTGAGAATGGGGTAAATCAACTTCGCAGAGGTCCTTGTCGTAAAATGCCCACATAAGATTAATAATTATAAACGGCTTACTGCTGCTACTAGCCTCTAGTTCTTCATACATTAGACTTCCAATCTCTCCTTCATGGGTCTTCGAGTAACCATCCATATCCTTGAACCTGGATGCCACCGCTTTACGAGAATCTATCACTTGCGGCCTGTTCAGCCCCCGAGCTAATAATCATGTCATTAGCCTCTATAACCTACAATGATCATCAGTGAAAACGAGAGAAATAACATACAAAGACTCTTTTGAGCTCTTCTCTACTTCTGCAAGCCTGGCACATGTCCGTGCAATGTTGTTGGCTTCAGAATCTAGCTCCCTGAGAAGCTTTATTATCGCGTTCTAAATACGGTATATCAGATCTGAGAGGATACCCGAAGTTGGAATTAAGATTCTTACCTTGGCGCTGCCATGCCATTGGGAAGACAATGATGTGTAGTATTGAGACGCTTGCGCGAGTCCGGCGTGTGCCTGTCTACATCCGCTCTGCTCACGCGCTTCAAGATTGGAAGGTGTTGCAGCAGCAGCGGTGAGGGTAGTGAGGAGAGCAACGGATAGTAACTTGGAGAGATACATTTTGAAGTTGCTAGTGATTTTAGGGAGACAGAATGTTGTGTGGTGTGTAACGGATCTTCTGAGAATGCTGATTGAAATGAAATCATGTAGGCAAGCTGCGTACAGTATTTATATGGATAAAGTGCTATTCTCGTGATAGCTTCAGTGCCCGAAGGAATATCAAGCACAGCCCTCGCTAAGCCATTGAGGAGCGCCGCCGCAATGAACCTTGTAGAGAATATCCAATGAGGCTCCACAAGCCAAGAATGATGTCCGTTTTAGGCGTTCCAAATGGACGTTAGGTCAAAAGCCATTGGGCCGCTATTGACAGATCGTCGGAGCCTCACTCGTATTCATAAAGACTGCCATTTGGCCATTTCGTATCCTTCGGGTGACAACCAATCAATGGGGACTTTGGTCCCTGGCTAGACTGGACTAAACAAGGGTATGAGCCGCTGAAAGTCATGAATAGTGACATGTCAGTCGCTCACTTAAATGAGATTCCGCATACACTTAGGAGGCACTGGTCGGATCTGACACTTCATTGGATGACCAGACCCTCTTGGTACCAGAAGTAATGGGTTCGATTAGCAAGGTGTCGTGAGAAAAGGATGTTGAGGTTTGAATGAGATTCTACGAAGACTGCCGGCCTTACGCACCTTAGCCATTAAAAGAATAATACCTCAAGGATTGAGTTGAAGCTAAGAACGATGATCAATGGCTGGTCCTCAAACAGGTCAAAGTTCTTAAAATGGCGCACAGCCGCAAAGCGGATTGATTCAAGTCAAGTCCCTAGAGCCTGCGGCGAACAATAGGTCGGCCAGCCCGTATAGACATCGAGCCTGGTTTCTCAGCCTCTACTAGATAAGCGAACCTTGGTATGGCCAGTGAGAGAGACATTTCCCATCGCTTCTAGCAAGAAGATGAGGAAATTGACGTAGATTTTAAATGAGCTCCTAGTGTACATGTTAATTCCCTGTACAAGATCATATAATGTTTCTAGGGTAATGATTGGCTGTGAGAGGAAGCAAGTCAATGCACTCTTTCCTAAATTTGACCTCCTAAAGAAAGGCCTATATTCATATGACTTTACATTTTTCATTCATGTTAATCAACGTGCAGTCGTAGCCGAAAAGAAAACTTACAAATTAGACAGCATAGCTGTGCTCTTGGTCGAACCACAGAACTTGGCAGAGTAGCCCCTAAGATTCTATTTGGCTCCGTTATGGAATCTAGAACGTGCTAATCGCACTCGATGCCACTACTAGGCTTAGCAAAAGTCCAAACTGATCAGAGTACTCATAACATACATCACCGCATGAAATTGGCCTGTACAGAGGCGGATGCTCATCATCTACGCAGGATGGAACAACCTTGCAGACCGCCTCGGGGTTGAACCCACAGAAAAACGGTATCGAATAGCGCGAGTCCGGCTGACGGTTATATACCCTGTGGACCGTAGATTTAAACCTATTGTTCGAGAGGCGTTGAAGAAAGTCCCCAATGTTGACTACCAGTGTTCCTTCAATTGGGCGGGCGTCAAGCCACTCATCCTGAGCCGACAATACCTGCAAGCCACCGGAGTTGTCCTGCCAGAGCAGGGTGAAGCATTGGATGTCAGTGTGGGATCCAATGCCGACGTCAATATCTGAGTCCGCTGCGACATCCGGTATCCCCGGATAGTGGATATAGAGTGCATCTGCGCCTGGATGAGTGGTGATATCGTCAAAGTAGTCTTCACGTTCGCCGAGCGCGAGAGCAAAAATGCGGACCAATTTTCGGGCTAATGTCAAGCGACTCTCCCAGAAGGAAACTGTCACTTCCCGAAATCCTGGAAGACGGCTAGTTCCCTTCCAGATATAGTCATCATCGTTACGAGACCGGCCTTGTTCCAATGCACTGTTAGGGTCGGTGCAGGTTGGATCAATTCTTGAGTCGTATCGCATAGAGAAAGTCTCCTTGAGATCTGACGTCAAATGTCAGCCAGGAGCAGGCACCTTGAACGAATTACTTGTCTCTCGTCTCTTTACGATTGACCTGCGTGCTCCCCACTTCGTGGTAGCCAGCTGAAACCTTTGAGGCACTAAAATCAATATTCATCTTCTCACTTAGTGGCTGGTTGAAGAAGGTCTTTGCTTGCATCAGGGAGTTCTGAATTAGTTCCCCAGGGACCCCATGATTACGGATATAAAAGAAGCCAGTATTCTCAGACGCGGCTTTGATCCTGGAAGCCAAGGCTTTTCTTTCCTCCAGACTGCCATCGATGGGCGCTAAATCAATGACTGGAATTTCATCATCGGTTGGCAATCTACGGGGTGCAGTTGACACGCGGCGTAACACCGTGCCATTGGCGCTCAACAGTTCAATTTGTGTGTACGGTTGCGTAATCATGGTCTAGTTAGAGGAAGCTATATCTTCAAATAAGAGTCCTATGTCAAAACATATGACTTGAATCTGGCCAGTCCGGTCATGATATGACGGTATATATACCCAACACCACCTCTGCATTCGCCGACCACGGCAGTTTATGTGGGGAAGATAAGCCATGACATAACCCTATCCAAACATTGGCCGACCCAGGGAACGATCCCTGCCATACTTCGAGCGTTGCCAGGATGCCAGATCCGGTGATAGGGAGGACTCTTTGTCTGATGCGCCATCCGCGGGGGTTATCTTCGTTTTGTACCACTTCAGAAAAAGCATGGAGTCACAAATCGGCTGACTACGTGAGCTAGCGATGCGTAGCTATAAATCCGCCTGTAGGAGCTGTCCGTTGGATGATACCTTGCACGGTGGTCTAGTACCCTGTGTAGGTTCCTCTTCCTGTATGAGTCACTATGAAAGTCTTAACTACTCTACACGAGAAATTGATTGTGAAAAGTGTCGACCGAGATGGCACCCTCAGACGGTGGAATTTCTGGACGATGACTCGATAAGGCCAACAAGGGTGCAAGATCGAACATGGACTCATATCACTTACTTAGCCTTTTGGTTCTCAGCATCGGGAAATATAGGCAATCTCTACGCTGCTTCGGCAGGCTTAACGGTCGGACTGTCTATGTGGGAGTCAATTATCTGTCAACTTGGGGGGCAGATCTTAGCGGGCATTCTCATGGCTCTAAATGGTCGCGCTGGCGCACTGTATCGTATCCCTTTCCCTGTTTTCTGTCGGTCCAGCTGGAGTCCATTGGGGGCTCTTTGACCTACGCTTAACAGTGCAGTAATGGCCATTGTCTGGAACAGTGTCAATGCTGTCCAGGGTGCGCAATGTCTCAAGTATGCCGGTCCTGCCTGTGCAATTCATAGCGCTGATCGTCGCTAATATGAGCTTGCCCAGCGTACTGCTGCGTTCCATTTTCCCATCCATAGCGAACATTCCAGCTACGATGGGCTCTAAATCTGCCCTTACCAGTGCGGGAATGATATGTTTTTTCATATTCTGGTACTTGCATCCATGGTAGCCGTTTTGTGCCTCGCCGGTAAATTTGACATTATGTAGGTTTGTGAGCTGCGCATTTTTATTTATCCCTATACCAAAGATGAGGATATTAGTATACATTAAGGTGGTAGCTTCTTATAGTGCCACTGTCGCTATGCTGGCTTGGACACTCTCTTTATCTGGATCTTCCCAACATACACTTCAGTCGCATTCAACTATACACGGCACTGAGAAGTCTTGGATGGTGGTCAAATTCTTCTGGCCAGGGCTTGCGAGTGTTGCCACCTTCGTCTCCAATGCTGCTGATCTTCAGCGATGTGCTAGGCGACCGAACGATGTTGTTTTGGGTCAAGTGTTCAGCTTTCCTATGGCCAACTTTATCATGGCCATCATGGGTTCTGTGATAGCTGCTACCAGTGAGCCTATACTTGGGGGGGTGTTTCGAAATGAATGTCCCTCGTTAACAGCTGGTCTGACCAATTCAGCTTATATGAAATCCCATTTATATACTCGAATGTCTCATGGACGGGGATCGCTATACAGCTGGAAACCGAGCGGGCTGCTTTTTCATCTGTCTTGGCTTTTTCTATTCAAATATCTTTACCAATATATTTGAGAACTCCATGCCGTAAGTTTAATACAGATTGCTGTTGCAGTAGCTCACTACGATCTGATTCACATACAGAGTGGGAAATGATATAGCAGCCTTGCTTCTCAAGTACCTCAAAGTCAAGCGTGCCGTTTTCATATGCGCAGGCAAGCAAGCTTTAGTCGAAATCTCAACTAGGCTCTAGTCACTAATTGATGAGTACAGCCCTCTCGTACGCCATCTGCCCATGGTATCCACTGTCCTCAGCTGTTGTTTTCATCAAGTTTCTCTCCTCCTATCAGATTTTTCTCTCTGCGATTGCTGGAGACCTACTCTGCGACTATTACCTGATCCCCCGAGGCCGCCTTTGTATCCCAGAGCTATACACCATGAATCCGGAGGGTCGCTACCACTACCTACGCGGAATCAATTTCCGTGCTCTTGCAGTATATTTAGTCTCAATAGGCCCGAGCTTATATGAATTTCTAAATCAGCTTGGTGTAAAGGCACCGCTGTCTATTCAGCGGTTCTATTACCTTTCCTATCCGACGAGACTGCTGATTGCATTCTTGGGATATTATCTATCATGCCTTTGCTTCCCCATCGTGGTAATGGTGAGGAACTGAGGTTGGTACGTGCCTAGAGAGTATATTGATGTGCACGATTCCGCCAGAGATGATGCTACAATGGACTTTGGCGCTGTTGATATTTCGAGGCAGGAGAGTGATGCGTTTGACTCCTTTGTTGCAGAAGGTATAAAGCGAGACGAAGCTATAAAACGGGCTATCACTTAATCTATACTATATATTTAAATGCTTTTTCGCTATTTCTCTCTGTATGTGTTTGGAAGACTGGTCTTCATTCATGGTACACTTACTACCATGCTGAATAGGGGTGGTGGCGAGCGTGGACAGCTGGTACCTCTGAATCCTTTTTTCTGCCTCTTTTTTTCAACATTTACCTTAGTATATAAGATAATGTCGGACTCATCGCTCTCTTATTGCCATTCTCTTTTTCTCTCGTCTAGGTTATGCTCTCTGTGAAACATTAAGCATGTATTCGCGTGATTGGCCACGAGAAAACTGGCCTTGTTGCGACAGGGAACAACACTCGCCATTAATTTCACAATAAAAGTATAAAGGCAATAAATACGGAGCATGGACTCGGAGAGTTTATAGTTCCGTTTAAAATATCCCTTGCATGCTATCATGCACTCGGCAAGGGTTTCTCTACGGTCTACAGGACTCACTCGGGGTGGCAACCGTCGCAACAGTTTGGATATCTTGCTTCTCTCTCTTTTTCATGGGCTACCTCATAGTCTCTACCAAGTTAGATATTCTTCAGCAAACCCCAGTAAAAATAATCTTCTTCCAACCCAAGAGAACATAGCATTCCGAAGCCAAAAACACGAATGAGAATGATCGGATACGAGTACCCAAGGGATAGCAATACAGTTCACAATAAACTAATCGATTACTTCCTTAGCATCGCCTAATGATCAGCCACAAAACCTTACAAAGTAGTAGCCACAATAGAGGAATCAACCCCATGCATGACCTTGGGAAACTTGCACCCGTTATACCCAGGACCCAGGCAATTCTCCCTGGGACACCGATGACCACAGACACAGCTTTCCTCCGCACACCATACGCCCCTCGGACAGACTCTCAACCTAGCAATGTACCTCAAATCTTCCACCTGCTGAGACCGAAGCCGGGACTCATGATCATGGTTGCAGGTTTCCCCGTAGGGACATGAGCCCACAATATGATATGGGTTGCACAACTTCCGCTGCTTCAAAGCATCTACGTTCTCTTTCGTGGAATATCGCAGGGGGGGATCGACACGCTGGCCGGCCGCATTCTTGCACACCGCTAACCTGACGGGGCTGCGGTTTCTATTCGAAATTCGAGCCGAAGCAAGGGGTGAAGGGGATCGTCGATTCATATCCGACGTTGATTGTGACCGAGGGAGTGTTGTTTTCACTGCTGAAGCGTAGTTCTGAGGGGGTGTCCTCGGCGGCGTGACATTGCTGAATGATATCCTTCTGGAGGTTATTTTGGTCGACCGAAAAACGTCTGGGAAACTTGTGGTTGCAAAATAGGGTGCCAGCTCCTTCATTTCACGCGCGAAGGAGGGTCCTTCAACAAGAGAGATACGGTCGGACTCTCGATGTGGTCCCAGCACGCGTGCATATCCATTGTCCGCAGACGCGCAGAATATAACACGCTGACAATGAACATCGAGTATATCCTGCTCAAACAGGGCTGACCGATAAACTAGTAAGTAACTTCGTATGCCATGTGCTTGAGAGATTCATAGCCCACCTCGTAATTTCACGTCTGAGCATTCCTTGCCATTTCCTGCGTCCACGAAATCGCATAGTCCGTTTTCCATGTTGAATCCCTGGATAAACGCCTCGAGTGTTCCGTCGACAGGGGCAATGTTCGTATCACGGTACGTCTTTGACAGGCCGCTCACATTGGCATATACACGAATCCTACACTGGATCCTGGGGTTCGCCTCGGGGTCAAGTTGAAATAGGTAGTCCTCGACCGCTTTTCTCAGAAGCTGTACGGCCTTTTGACCGCCATCATATCCACTTTGGATGAGGTGATCTTGGAACTAAGAATAGAGTAAGTGTCAGCTACGAAAGGTGTATCGGATGGACAGGGGATATGGGGGATTAGGAGACTCACATTCATACCGTCACCGTCAATGAGCACAGAAACAAAGCTCAGTCTAGCCTGTATGGTATCATATCAGACGGACTCACCCTAGAGGCAGGCAGGGCGCCGACTCAAGACTTACATGATCACGGTTCTTCAACTCCAATGCCTCTTTGTCTTTGCTTGACTTGTCCTTGTACAAACCAGCGAGCTCCTTATAGTTATCGACTTCATCATGTGCTTTTGTGAGATCCTGCCGCAGCTCCTCAACTTGCGAGAATAGTTCCTGGATACCATCCGGCTTAGTTAACACGATCCGTGTATTGGATATAGCTCCGGACCAACCTCGATGATTTTCTCTTTACTATCCTCAACACTGCTCAGCTCTCTATACCGCCTCCTCATATCATCTAGATCCAACATCGCGCTAAGTTATTAGGAAAAGTAGTTACCAAGATACCGAGAAACTCAAAAAGACACAGTGGCCGTACTTCAAATGTACAGGAAGAAGACATTGTACCATTTAAATTCTATCATAAACATAGTACTACGTTGGGTATAGTTGAGGCAGAGCGAGGTATACGGCAGCCTTGCATTGACACGTCAGACTAACACAACATAAGCCACATCACAACGGCCATTTTGCTTCGCCAGTTGGGAGTAACCATGAAGCTACGCAGAGCAAGTTTTCTGGAGTTTCACTAACCAGTAAACTTTGAGAGACCACGTTTCACCAGAACAGCAGAAAGGAATGACCTGTGAGCTTAGGCCAGGTTTCGAATCATCCTGAGCAGAGTTCTGAGCGAGAAATTATGACGGCCAGTGTTGGACATGTTGGACGCGTCCTAAGACATTAGGCACCAAAGGGCAAGGGCTGACCTTAGTTTGATAGTGTCGCATACCTGCCTCTTCTATACGGGGCGTACAACAGATGACAACCGTCATTGCACTATTGCATGTCGTCATGATTCTAGATCTTAACATGGTAAGATTGCTATCGTTATCGTAGTGGGTAGTTACTGGCTGGTTACAGGAGAATGAAATCGACATCACTCATTTCTCTAATCATGATTGAATCATTATTGTGGTGGCCCCTCATGCTTCAGATTATGCCTCCGTCACAGGAGTAAATTTCAACATAAGCTTACGCCCCAGGGGCAGGGAAATGAACGCATGGTCCTGCTCGATGCCCTCGTCGTCAACAATAGAAGTCGTAAAGTTCGTGTAGACCGCTGCCATCACGAGTTTGATTTCTGCAATATCCTTCCATCAGTAAAAATTGTAATCTGATCCGGAGACCGTGATTGACCTACCCTGCAGAGCAAAATTACTACCCAGACACATGCGCCCACCACTTCCAAACGGCCAGAACAGTCGGCGCATATCGTGAATCTTGCCTGGTTCGGGCTTGAGCCACCGTTCGGGGAGCCAATCTGACGACTGGGGGTAAACCTCTTCGATACGGTGCAACGAGTACGAAGAGGAGCTCACGCGTACGCCAGCAGGAATATTGTGGTAGCCATCAATTGATACGCCGGCCGGGGAGGCTGGTGTTACGCGAGGTAATGGTGCTGGTGCGGGGGAATGCAACCGCAGGGTTTCTCGGAGGACTGCATCTAGCAAGGGAAGAGCATCAATTGCCGATGGCGAAGGGAGAGATGCTAGGCCCACTGTATCATCTGAGACAGATAAGGATCTCAGATTCGGCGTCAGTGTGAGGAGCTCTCGGCGCAACTCGTCTTGCAGCTCTGGATGTTGAGAGAGCTCCCACATCATATAGGTGAAGGTAATTCCGCTAGTTTCATGACCTGCTACAAGATGATCGAGTACCTCCGATGCAATAGCTAATTCGAGGGGTCGGTTTTCTGTGTCCTTCTCAAGCGACTGCCGAAGCTGGTTATATACCACCGCGTTCGTGGCGATAGGCACATCGTTCGGCTGATCGTTATTCTCGACCTTGCGGCAAAGTGAAAGACACCAGCTTTCGATGAAACCCATGTACCTATCCTGTACACTCATGTACTTAAACTTCTCATATTCCTCCAACCATCGTTGCCACTCCGGAAGATGGAAGATGTACGTAGTGCTATTCTTTGTACCGAACAAGTAAGACGACGTGAAGTCCATTCCCACGGCTTGGAACAAAGGCAACACATTGATTGCCTCTCCGGATTTGGCTACATGCCGTAGAATTGGAAACAGCCTTTGGGACAGAACAATGCTCGAGATATCGCGTAGATCCCGCGACTCCTGCAGATACGACTTGGAGTAGATCCTGCTGAGCATACGCTTCTGACGAGCGTGGGGATTGTTATGCAGCATTCCAACTAGATTCGGCGTTTGGAAATTGATAAAAACGTCGCTGTAAAATGAGTGTTTCTCGAATGCGCCCGTGTAGATTGTCTTCAGGCCGCTGAGTGAGTTCACGCTCAGTTCATCCGGCCCCAGTCGCACCACAGGACCGAGCTTCTGGTGTAGGTTGTAGATGGTAAGGACTTCTTTGCCCGCATTGCGTTGCTTTTCTATCCACCTAGTCGAGATGGGTGATGTGAAATGTGCGTTGGGGACGCTGGAGATGGGCGATAAACAACAAGGGTAAATGATATACTTGTATAGTAGAGCCGCTAAAAGGACGCCGATCGCGATTGCGGTGGCGGATGTCATGATTGCCACAAGCGATGCCTAAAGCCTTGAAGTCCTAGGTTCTGTGAAGAGCCATGCGCCGTGACTTATGAAGCCCTACCTCGTTCATGGAATGCAGACAACGAGATGCAAGTCCCGAGCATCAAGTTCTCAAGAATCAGGCCAGCGCTGACAAGCAACCAATCACCGGTGGTATTATTAAGGCAGATCTGGGCGCCAAGTAACCTCCTGATGACTACGACTAGAAGGGTAGTTGGAGAGAGGGGGGTTAATACTGCTTGGTTGCATTCCTCGTAGAGTTTGCATAACAGAAACACGCGCAGAAAGTCAACATCTCTTCCGAACCCCCACAGTCAATGTTCCAGATTGTCATCAAAACGAGATTTGGTTGTGCCTATGACGGGATGGGCCGAAATCCCCTTTTGGATGGTTCGTGGAGTGTCGATGGGGATCTTCGCTAGATCCGGTTGGCTGTTTGGCGCTGAACTAAGAGGATAGTGTGCTGATGGGCTGATGCAATGGCGTTGGGTGAGTGGATATCAATCAAAAATATTGCAATTAGATTGGCCTTTCCATGGAATCCTGGCAGAGTTAGATCTTTTTTATTTTTCTCTTTATTTTTAATTGTTTTAATTATTTTTATTTTTTCTATTTTCCATTATTCACTTTCCTATCTCGCAAATAGCGCCTGGCTTGTATGTAACCCTGTACGGAGGAGAACCTTGAAGGAACCAACCCTGAACGTTGCTGCCTCTGCATCCTTGTTTATAGCTCTGTGTATCTTACCGGGGAATCTAATTATGGCAGCGATTCCCGAGTCATTCGCGTGTTATATGCCGTTTACCATGCTAGATTGCTTCTAGAACAGCATTGGCACGACTAACGACTCGGATATCAGGGGAATTTTACGAACCCCAAGTCTCCAACTCCCTGGCCCAGTTCCGGCTTTTGAAATCTCCGAACGGGTGGCGCATCTAAATCTGCTAGTAGATTCAACGTGCTCGTTTCATCTGGCTCTTCTAGCTTTTCCCTTCTAGTGTAATTTACGACTAATTTATTTTGGAACTACCTCTGGTTTAAACACTCGATTTCTTTCTTCACATCCCTGTCGTGCTGAACCCGTCCTTTTCCTAAGCCACGATTTTTCTTGATGCGCAAGTAGTCGCGCCGGTGTCTCCAATATGGTCTCGCTCAACAGTATGAAAGATGGCCCCCAAGTTTCAACTACCTATGGCGATGAGGCGGCGCAAGGAGGTCACTTCGTGCCCGCCAAATATCGGGGTACTGTGAAGGATCAGGCCGACATGAGTGCTCTAGGCCGAGAGCAGGTGTTGCGTGTATGTCTTTCGTTGGCCTTGACCAAACGTGCAATTTGTCGCTTACTTCATGGAAGAGGAATTTCCGGTTTATCTCTATTGTCGGCTTTGGTTGCACATTGATCGCAACATGGGAAGTTATCCTGACGTACGTCTCTTGGGTATCGAATTTGAATGATCTAAAAGTTAACCCCATCCGACAGACTACTGGAGCAAGGTCTGACCGATGGAGGTACCGCTGGCTTGATCTGGGGTTTCCTCATCGTCGCGTGTGGATTTCTGCTGGTTTTCCTCAGTTTAGCTGAAATGGCTTCTATGTAATTGCCCCCCGGTCTTGATCCATTTCACTCGTGCTCACTGATATACAGGGCCCCGACATCTGGAGGTCAATACCATTGGGTATCAGAATTCGCACCTCCTAGTTGCCAGAAGTTCTTGAGCTATATCACCGGTAAGGAATGCTTGCTCCACAGATCCCGGGCCACATGACTTATTCATCTAACTAGGTTGGCTGTGTGCTATGGGTTGGCAATGTGCCATCGTCTCAATTGCCTTCCTTGCGGGAACTATTATTCAGGGCCTCATTGTTCTCAACCATGATGATTATGTCTTTGAGCGCTGGCATGGAACGCTTTTGGTGATTGCCATCACCTTCTTCGGAATCTTGTTCAATACCTTCCTCGCCAAGAAGCTGCCTTTCGTCGAAGTCCTGATTCTTATCCTCCATGTCGTCGGGCTGTTTGCCATCATCATCCCTCTCTGGGTTCTCGCACCTCGCAGAACCGCCAAGCAGGTCTTTACGGAATTCAACAACGGTGGTGGGTGGAACAGCGTTGGAACAGCAACATTAGTTGGATTTTCCACTACTATCACCGCCTTAATTGGATATGACTGTGCCGTGCACATGTGTAAGTCAAACACTCTGCTGTCAGGGTTGAGACATTGGTTAACATGATTGAATGCACCCAGCCGAGGAAATCAAGGACGCATCAGAGACCCTCCCGAAGGCAATGATCACTTCCGTTCTCATTAATGACTGTGCGGGATTTCTCATGCTGGTGACGATCTGTTTCACCTTAGGTGATATCAACGACGTGCTCGCAACCCCCACCGGGTACCCATTTATTCAAGTCTTCTACAATGCCACCAATAGTCTTCCCGGCACGAACACCATGACTGCAATCTTGGTTCTTACGCTCACGGCTAGTACGATTACCGAATTGGCCACGGCCTCTCGGCAGCTTTGGTCTTTTGCCCGAGATGGAGGTCTTCCCTTTTCTGGGTTTTTTGGATACGTACGTAAAACTGCCCTCTCTGCTGGTAGCCTCAGGCCATCAGTGCTGATCCTTATAGGTTACTCCCGGGTGGAACATTCCTCTTAATGCGGTGATGGTTTCTCTGATGGTAACCGTTCTCCTATCCTTGATCAACATCGGTTCAACAACGGCTCTCTTGGCTATCGTCACCTTGACCATCGGATCACTCATGTCTTCATACGTTATTACAATTGGGTGCTTGCTGCTGAAGCGGATCCGTGGCGAACCCCTTCCACCTCGTCGGTGGAGCCTCGGTCGGTTTGGAATGGCCATTAACATCGGTGCCTTGTGTTTCTTAGTACCAGTGTTTGTGTTCGCTTTCTTCCCCCTGACATCGACAGTCGATCGAGAATCGATGAACTGGTGCGTGGTGATGTACGGCGGCATTATGCTTATTGCCATTCTATACTACATCTTCCGCGGCCGGCACGTCTATGTTCCTCCCGTTGCGCTGGTCAAGCGTGAGATGTGAAGTTTTATCATTTTGCTACTAGGGTATACTCACCTAATTTCTAATCAAAAATAGATAGCATAGAAATAATTCTTGTGTCGAGTTGCTCTCTTGAAGACACGTCTGTCCCACACCCACAACCATTAGTTTCTTGTTCTTCTCTTTCTTTTTTAAGAGAAAATTCTGCTAAACTTCAGCCCCTCATAAACTCCCTGCACAGTGCAACCTCACCCTCTCTGGGTTCCGGCGAATAAGCAGGCCAAACCGGCTGGAAGGCCCACTGTAGTTCCACCAACGACTCCACATAAATCGTGCGCTTCACCCAGAGCCAGATCACTCAGGAGACAGGAACTTCGATAGTGAGGATCCGCTCAAAGCTTATTACGAAGCTCTCTTGGTCGGAGTGCCGATCCCGTGGTGGAGACGCTGTAAAAGGGAAATACAACTGTGAACCGGGATGGGCATGTAGGGGAGTTTGGAACTAGATTAAGTATACACCACGAGGTAATGGCCCTCTTTCCCTCCCAGAATGGTGAAAAACAACGGCATTACCAATCCTGAATTAGCTGCATAAGTAGCGTGTTTATAACAATCAATTATATTAAGATTAATGTGACATCTTCTCTATAGCGGCTTGGCACGTGCATTGCCCTAAAAATAGTGGGTCTGGGTGTGGGTTATTTTCTACCTCAGCTTTGCCTGTCGATTGTGGTGGAATCCACCTCGATATTATCTCATATTCGACGAATGAAAATTTTTCGAGCACCGCAACACTATTCCGACTGAAGATCTGGTTCACATCGCCGATACTTATTCGTTCGTGCAGGGCCTTGAGGGTTGATCAAGACTCAAGTCACTCGACGCTTCTGTTGACAAGAACGACTTACATTATTGAAACAGCATTTACGCAATACTCAACCTATAACAAGTATCTGTTTTAAGTAATCTGAAACAAAGGAATAAAGGATACGATGGACGGGGAAACAATAGTTCGGGAGTACTTCCGCATATTACCTCTTCACCTAACGCGTCACAGGAGTTCACCCCCGACTGCTACCAGCTGGGGGCCACAGGGACCCATATGTGCGCCGGAGTTGCCGCTGATGTCAATTTGTCATCGGCTCGGACTAGGGGCTATTGACCTGTGACCCTGGGGTCCCCCATTGGACGGTATTTTAGCTCATATAGTAACAGGAGTATCCTCGGATGGGGCGGAAGAGCCTAGAGATCAAACTTTAATTAAAAAATAATGGGCCAGTCCGTGGCGGTTGCGTTGCTTCAGGGACTAGCTAAAGTTCATAGAATGTGCTGGATCGTACGATTTTGAGTGTGTGCGATTAGGTGGCTGAGCCTTGTTTGGACTTCTACATTGGTAAATTCAGGCATAGCATGGGCTGAGGTGGCAGGCACAGGAATTACCAGACCATCATCTGCATAGCCCTGCTGGAATAGCTGAAACTTTAAAAGGATTCACTAACAGCTCACTAGCAGTGTAACAGGGATTCTCCGGCACTTACGGAGCAGTTTGGAGTAGGATGCAACCATGGAGTCCTCCTGTACAGGGATTACTGTACAATATGCCGACTTCGCTAGGCCCTAAAGTGCTAGAATCAAATCAAAGATCAGGCTTACGGGCCCAGATCGGACCCGACCACGACCATAGACAGTAAAGTAACCTGGGATTTGTAAATGCACTGAGTCTCAAACCGTTTCCATAGTGTCGTGCCCCAAAGGCATCCACCAACAAGCTACGCATGTGGTAGTGCCAGTACCCCATCTATGGTTCATGCGAGTTTATTGCATATGGAACAACCCGGCCACGATCGCTACCCTGCTAGAGCAGCTAAAACTCTCACGTAGGGGACTAAATTTTGTCAATATACATATCTATCATTGACCCAAACCCCTGTCGGATTTTTTGTTTTCTCAGTTTCAACCCCAGCCGGTGGCCGCTTTCGACACCTGCACCTAGCAACGCCAGCTCCCATGGCGCGTTTGATCTAGAAAGCACGGCCATTCGAAGATAATGGCTATTAGAGTACCGCCTGGTCAATTGCCGCCATTCGAAACGGTTGACGGTGACCACCATGCTGGAATCATTATCATCGTCTCCGCTATCTGTCTGGTGTTGTCGTTGGTGTCTCTGCTAATCCGCCTCTACGTCCGGTTCTTGCTAAGTCCGCCATTCGGGATCGACGATGTGATTCTTCTTGGAGCAACTGTGAGTGCATCCACCTGGTTGTGCTTGATGAATTCCTGTCACATAAGACTTCGCATTCGCCTTTGCTAATTCCATTAATTTCAGGTTTCCGCAATTGTGGAGTCGATTATTGTTTTCCAGGCGGCATCCATCGGATTCGGAACGGCGATCCACCTCCTGGACGATCATGTCGTTAGGAGTATTCAAAATGTAGGTTTACCACTGCTGCTCATGGAACCCACATGAACCCGGTTGAGGAAGGTTATCTAATGCTTGTTCAGTCAGTCGTTGCGAGTGATGTGTTCTATCTCATCACTTTGTACCTTTCAAGATGCTGCGTCGTAGCCATTTACTCGCGATTGACGCCCCGAAGAAGACACAAAAATACCTTATGGGGAATCCTTGCCTTCACAACGGCAGGAACCATTATCTCCATCCTTGTGGTCACAGTCGACTGCTCGCTTAATAAACCGTGGGTGACTCCTGGCGAACATTGCGCCAACCTGGTACGTATATCGCTCGACTCCAGGGTACGCCGCATTAATGTACCTCGGTAATGGCTAACAACGGTAGTTTGCACGATGGCAATTCATCACAGCCATTGACATCTTTACCGAAATGGCCTTATTTATCTTTTCGGCGGTCTTAATATACGGGCTTCAAATGGCTATCAAGCCGAAGTTAGTGGTCATGGTGGCCTTCGCCTCCCGGATACCGTATGTATCGCATGCTGTTGAACCTGTCCTTCGAGCCCCGCCGAATCAATGCTAATTGAAATGATGTTTAGGCTTGTTGCTTTCGAAGCCGTGCGGCTCTCCGAATTTCATTCATTTACCACCACACATAATCCTACCTTCGACGCCATTAAGCATTTCACCTGGACGCAAGTCGCCCTCAACTACTCCTTAATTGCCTGCACAGCCTTCTGTCTCCGACCATTTATGAATGCCGTCTCGACCTCTTATGGTACCGCCGGTGACTCCAACCTCAGCACTAGCTACCCTTACGCGTCGGATCGTGGTCGCAGTACCCAAGGCAGCTATGCACTACAGTCGCTTCAGAATCGGTCCGTTGTTGCGCCCGAGCCAGATCTATTCCGGCCGAGGATTGGAGCCGGAGAGACGACAGTTACGTCTGCTCAACCTGGCTCATCGACGGGTGGCCATTCAGACCGTGATGATCGAAACAGTATCGGGAGTGAAGGGAGTACTAAGATGATCATCAAGAAGGATGTGGAATATACGGTGCACCACTCTCCAAACCCCAATTGCTGAGTCGCTCTTCCTCTCCTTTTTCCTTTTCCTTTTCCTTATGTACCAATTTCTCGAAAATAAAAGACCCGGATAGACGCATGCATGGATAGCATAATACTAGCCATGCCGAACGATCTTACGAATATAAATAGAAAACCAATGTTGATATTTGCAATGGTATAGCTTACCGTTTATTCCAAATTATTTTGAGACGATCATTAGAGGCCCTACTCGCTCTCCGAGCGCTTTTGGAAATTCCCCAGATTCCGCGCCAGGTAGGTATCGCGAACGTACAGTGCGATATAGAACAGATTCCATGCACTTTAGCGATCCACTATCGTCGATCTTGCATTATCGAGACTGAATCCCATAGCCGATGCTCATAATACAGCTCTATTTATTCCGCAAAAAAGCAATACCCGCATTTGGTCTCTCACACCACGTGCGAACAATGTTCTGACTCTAGCGATAATCAAACATGTACAATTACACAGGGTCCCAAAACCCATGTATGATTTTAACCTCATATCTCAACGGTCGGATTCATTATCCGAATGCTTGGGGCTACGTACTCAGAATATAGTTGCAACTGGTGATCGGCAATGCCCATCGCGTGGCATTCGTAATGGTATCCACTGACGCCTGGCCGATCTCTAGTCGTACGACATTTTTGAGACGAAACTAAGCCATGTGGGCAGGTTTCAGGCCCAGTGCATGAATCATGTGAAACAAATCTGAAATGCTCACCCAAAACTTTTGCATTACTCAGGGGTACGAGGCCCTAGCTAGCAATATATTGTTGTGCAACGGTGAAGACATGAGCCCTTCATTTCCCTATTAGGAAGAGGATGCTCCAGGTCCGTCGTTGTCGGTTCTTTGATAGCGCACGCTATAGATTAACATTAAGTTAATTGCTTAGACGAGTCTCTCAGTCACTAACTATTGTGTAACACGTATGTATGTCATGAAATCGGCATTGCTGGATTAACGGTATCTCTGAAGAACGTAAACCGCACCACGTGTGGCCTCTAGAATTGCACAGAAGGGGCATCTTAGGAAGTAACAGATGCGAATAGTGGAGCTGAGAGCCTCATGGCACTCGCATTGAAATCTGTTCGCGTCACTTTTTGTACGTTTAACTGAAGAGATAATACAAATAGAGGCTCTCAACAACGGAAAAGACAAATCGGTGTGAATTCTTGAATCCATTTAGATATGACCATTGCTAATCCAATGCTCTATTTCTTTACTGCCATAAGGATACTATCCCCGTGCCGGCTAAACCTCCTAATTGCCTTAATCGTAAGACCAGCCTTATCCAGGAGCCGGTGCCAATGCCCCTCCCGTCTTTCGTAGGTATTGAACAAGGCCATCATTGTCATCGAAAGGCTTGCCCTATATTCCGTAGACGGTTCGTCATCAGGTAGTACATTTTCGTTGATCAAAAGCGTGGACGACGAGCTCATGGCAGGAAGAAGAGCCTCGAGAATGCGAAAGCACTCGTCGTCATCGTTGTTATGAAAAATCTGTCGGAAGTGATACGCCTTTGCACCTGTAATCCCAGCCGACCAGCGATATCAGTTAGCCATGTCCGCATCTCCTTTGCCAGGAACACCGCATCTTACCTTTCACCGGTTGCTCCGTGAAATAGTCGTAACCCATCGTTTCTACGCGGCTATCTGGAAGTGCATTCTGTATCACGGATGGAGTATCTTGGAGGATGACTCGCCCTCTCAGGTTTGGATTCTCAGTCAGTAGATTCACGCACTGCTGGCCATTTCCACACCCTACATCTACAAACAATACCGTATCTGTGGATGTGTCCTCTGCGAATTCGCTTTGGAAATCAACAACATTGAGCCAGCTAGGCAGATACGAGTGTTCCAGTTGAATGTAATTTTGGAAAGCTTTGCTTATGTCCGGGTCTGCATGTTGCATGTCGTAGGGCCCATCCGAGGTGTTGTGAGCTAGTTGGAAAGCGGTTGGCCGTTGTCTGGGAGAGGACAAGAATGCATTTAACGCTGTGAAGGACGGGGTGAAGAAATCATGACTATATTTGTATCTTGTCAGTTCTCTGAGAAATATAATGAAACAAGACTGGCGGGGAAAACATACTATATCAGAACACCCTCCATGAAAAGAGGCGTAAGAAGCAGACGAGTTAGTCTATTGGAAGCGAACTCGTTGGAAGAAACCCGATCCACAAAATGTCTAGCTGCCATGAATTCCAAGAGCGTCTCCAAGCCTTGCCGGTTCATGCCTGTATCTTGAGCCAATGATGCCGTACTTGTCGCCAGCTGTCCCTTTTCGACATTTTCCTGCATCATATGAAGGATCCTGTGTTGCTGACATACACGTACTGCTACTAGAGGCATTGCCTAATGCATGCTTAGTGATGACTCGGGGATGACCTCCACTAGGGTACTGACCGTGTGCACTATACCCTGGAACAGTTCGAAGGGGGTCTGCAGCTCAGATTCCACGCGATATGCGAGGGATGTAATCTCCTGCTGATGGCTCCTGTACAGCTCTGGATTCTCCACCACTTTCTTGAGCTGATGAATGACCGTACTTGGAGAGGGCGCAGCGGAGGACATCTTGCGGAGATGAAAGACTAGAGTCGAATTGTTCAAGCCCTAATGCGGTGTGCCTGTGAGTTGAGATAGTGTCTAGAAGCTACCCCCGATCAGCAAAGACGGAATCCTAACTTTAAACTAACATATTGAATGGCACTAGACCCCTGTAGTTTTCATGTCATACAGCGGCCGTGTACTGGTTCTACTGTGATCCAGGGCGGAAAGAGTAGCATTACCTGTAATCCTAACTTAAGCGAGAGATTGATTGAAGAAGTTTTGTGGCGATGCTCAGTATGACTAGCTCAGAGAGCCTGCCTTCCGTTGATTCACGGGGTGGTCAGAGGTAGAATTCTCCCGTCGCATCCATCAGAGATTTCCCGACTCGAGGATGTCAAGCTCTCTTATCTGTTCGCTTTCTTGAGTCCTCCTACCATATTAAGTAGTAAATAACTTAGAAGTCAAGATATGAGGCGAGCAAACTTGTAATGTGGGGTTATCTGACGCCCCTAATCATGGACCTTTTCAGGGTTAGAGCAAGAACTTACCTCTACAATAAACTATTATGAACCATGGTAACACTTGGAATGCGTAACTCTCGATGTCCCTCATGCCAATGACCATGCGGGGATTGCCTTGGCTGTAGAACTGTTAGATGCGAACTGTTGTTCTCAAATCATGAAGGGTTTTTTTTTTTTTGCCAAATACTCGAAAGGTTCAGCAGCTCAACAAAGGGAAGACCTATCTTATTAGAGTGCAGTACTACTCCCCGCCTAACGCACCTCTATATTGCCTTGGTTTGCCTTGGTCGACCTAGTGAAGTGCTTCACAATGAGAAGCTCTATACCGCGCTCAAGAGCCACAGGTGACTTTAGGGCACCCTAAGGTAAACCATACCCAGTGAGGGTCACAGTATCAGGTTTCTGACCAATGGTCAGGTTTAACAGAGGTTCCATTCGTCTTCAGGTCCTTGTTGTTGAATGCTTAAGTTCTACAGAATAGCAGATGTGTCCCATCACGCAAGGAGGCCTAGTGCAAGACAAATTATGCTCGGTTCACCGGGGTGAAGGGAGTTTCATGAAAACTTGATTCTAACCAACTTCTCGACACGATTTGGACCTACTATGTCGCGGTCCTGAGCTCTGCTCTGGGATTGCCAGGGACGCTACAACAAGGTTAAAGCTTCCTCTCTAGTCTTTTTGACCTAGCATAACCTTCGGGTAAGCATCGGCGATGATTATCGAATTATGCCTTGACTCCTAGTCCGATGACGTATCGAACTGGACTATCTTCATTCACAGATGGTGAGTCTGAAAAACCGTATATTTGCTCTCATCCTTCCTCAGTCCTTCGGCCAACAAGCAGACCGACAAATACGGTGGCAGCTTTGATAATCGAATTCGTTTCTCCTTGGATATCGTTAAGTTGACCAGGGGCACTGTCGGCCCCAATGTCCCAGTCTTCCGTTTTCTGCACAGACTGGTTGGAAACCAGCATGCCAGAGGAGAAGGGCTGGAAGGTCGACGATACAGTCAGATTTGCAGAGGTCATGGCCGGATAAGGCTGTGTCGACTTGATTGATATCAGCAGCGATTGTGTACACAGTGCTCAGAAAGTGAAGTTCGGCGTTGCCTTCCAGGTCCCTTTTGCAGCAGCTGTGAAGAAGGCTGTTGGTGATAAGGTGCTTGTTGCTGCTGTGGGTATGATCAATAACGGTACCTTGGCTGATCAGATTCTCAACGAAAATGATCTTGACGTTATCCTTGGCGGACGGGCTTTCCAGCGTGATACCGGTTTTGCTAAAGATCTCGATATCGAAATTGCTATGGCTGCTCAAATCCGCTGGGGATTCACCAGCTTCCGCAATGCCTCGGAATACATCCAGCCCAATTCCATGAAGGCATCAACTTTCGAATGAACTCGAAACATTTCTACAATTTACGAAGATAGTTATTTTCAGGGGGTGGGTTATAAAAGTTGCATTGGGTAGGCGTGTGGATATAGATTTTAGACTATGTGCTTGAGATATAATAGATTACGAAACCGTTCTATACCTTACTGAAGGGCCTTTTAATCTGGTATATATACATACTAGGCTTGTCTTTTGCTTAGCGTAATTGATACTAAATAATAGGTAAACTTCGTTGGCTTCAAGAGACGAATCGCTGCATGCTAATCAGGAGGGTGAAATTTCTGCTATCATACACTGTGCATTACCCGGGAATGCCTTCCCAATGCGCCATGCTACGATAACAAAATTAACTCTCATTTACCCATCTCTAAATAAGCTCCTTGGTCCTATCTATCACATACTCCTTGTTCCAGAAAGTATGCGTGAGCCCGTAAAGTCCGCAAATGGGCCAAATCCCGCGGTCTCGACATCAATGACCGGCGCATGGAGCTACGAAATGACCCCTCGTGGTCGGGCTGAATCTTTTGGTATAAGTTTGGTAGGTATGTTGTATGATATTTCTGCCGTAGCTCGTCTCTTCTGTACCGGTCATAGATTGACCAAAAGTCTTCCACTGCGTAATAGATCCGCGCATACAGCCACTTCTGGCCCCCCAGTTTGTTTACTAGTTTCTTAAACTCATGATTCAAGCGTCAAAAATTCTTGCCTGTTGGGCCTGGTCCATAGACTCTATCTAATACTGAGCATCATCCTGGGATCATCTGGCTCAGAATCTGGTTCATAAGATATGCCGTCTAATTCATGGGATTGATCTATTTGCACAAATGGAGAGGCGGAATCTTGACTCATAATGAATAAAGCGTGGGGGATTTCTATCATCCAGAGTAGTGATAAAGGGTATTTCATAGACATGATGGTCCGGCCATGAACTGCATATTCAATCGCCAAAGTAGAGTGAGGTCTAAAACAATATATGAAATTGTAATATTACAGGTTGATATTTTCAAAAGTAAGAGATTTAGAGAAGCTTCAGCATCCCCCATCACTGAAAAAAAGAGATAAGGAGCAGAATACCAAGTCCAATGCAAGGCTTCACCTGTCCAGGGCGTTTTCCTGACACTAGAACAATGTTAACAAGAAGGAAAAGAATGGACAGTTTGGGAAAAGGAATTCTGATACTTACCATCTGCCAGTAGGTTCCTTTGGCCCGAAGCAATTCCTGATGGGTTCCCTGCTCCACGATTCGCGATCCATGGCCAGTCCGGCTTTCGCCGAAGACAAATATCATATCAGCTTTCTGGATAGTAGCAAGTCTGTGTGCGACCGCGACAATTGTCATGTTTCTCCTCCCCGCCAGGCGCTCGAGAGCCGCTTGTACCACCTTTTCTGATTGCGAATCCAGACTCGAAGTTGCCTCATCCAAGAGAAGCAATGACGGTTTTCGTAGCAGTGCACGCGCGATGCATAGCCGCTGTCTCTGGCCTCCACTCAGAGCTGTCTGTGCTTTAATTCCCAGTTCGGTGGAATAGCCCTCGGGCAACGACGTAATAAAATCATGTATCTCAGCGTCTTTGCAAGCTTGGATTATCTCGTCCTCCGTGAAGTCAGAGTTATCCAGTCCAAGAGTGATATTCTCACGAATTGTTCCCTCGAAGAGCCTCGGTTCTTGGGCCACTAGCGATAACGCTCTGCGATAGGATGATATTTCAATGGAGCGGATCTCTTGGCCATTTAGGGATATCGTGCCTTGAAAAGGTTCATAAAACCGTTCCAGCAGGGATATTACCGTTGTTTTTCCGCAGCCAGAAGGCCCAACAAAGGCAACAAACTGTCCGCTTTCAATACGAACATTAAGTCCAGTGAAAAGAGGGGCATCTTGAGAGGCATATTTGAACGCAACATCACAAAACTCGATGCTAGCTCCAGATTGTGAAGCAAAACGGGCAAGTTGTTTCTCTCCGATGCTGGCCGTATCTTTCGTAGCTGAACTTGATCGTAGGTTCATTACCCGGTTAGCCGATGCAGTGGCTTGCGCCATATTCGGTCCAAAGCTGAGAAATTGACCAGCAGATTGCCCTCCCTGGATGATAGCCATGTAAATGACAAAGAATGATGTCGGCTGGTACTCTCTAGACGCGAGTAGTTGACCACCATACCTAGTAGAGTCTGTGAGTATTACATCGACGAGTTTACCCAGGGTATTCTTACCAGAAGGTGAGAGCCATCGCACATAGCTCAACACTATCGGAAAAAGCAAATATCAGGGTGGCATACCATGCTTTCCTGAAAGCTTTGTTTTGCTGTTGTCGCAATAGATTAGCATAGCGGTCAAGGATTGCGTCTTCCATCGTTAATGCTGATACTGTTCGAAAAGCCTCGATAGATTCTGCTGCAAACTGTGAGCTTCCAGAATACACTTCTGCGTTCATTGCTTCAAACTGCAATTCATATCTGATGCGCATAAAGGCAGCCAGGAAAGTGCATGGTAGGGCTGCAAACACAGCTACGAGGCTGAGTTTCCAACCGAACGAGAACGCAATTGCGATACAACCGATCATGCTGAAGATGGAGATAACGGGGAATATCCCATTCATTCCAAGTAATTCTTGAACTTGCTTTGGGTCGGTTGCCAGGCGGGATATCAACGACCCAGATGCATTCTCATTCATATCGTAGAATGGTATAGGTTTCTCTAATATGCTCTGAAAGTACTCCTTCCTGCAGGACGAACCAATCCTCTGTATCCATGTTAGCTCTCATAAGACGCGTAAGAATATATTCCATGGTCATACCACTGAAAGCGAATTAGCAGAGTATCCCACGATGCTGTAGCAGAGAGCGACCCCTAGGGCAAGAATGAAGAACATCAAAGCCCAGAAGTTGGCGGCATCCGCAAGCTGTTGACCAGTATATTGGAATACATGAATGAGTTTTGCAAAAAGCCAGCTCTGAAGCGGGAAAGCGGCTTCCAGTAGTATCTTGTCAGTTCTCGAGTTGCAGTGCGTGGGATCTCGGGGCCTTACCTCCTGCACCAACTGCGCCAAATACAGTCGTTAGGTAAAAAGGCCAATTTGTACGTTGCTCATATAAAAGCAGGCCGATGCTCCTAAAGAAACCCCGAGTTTTGTCTTTCTTAATTTCTTCCTGCATCTGCGGTTTATCATCGACAGCAAAATGGGCCAACTGGACCTCTTCTTTCAACTCATGAGCAGTATCACTCTCATCGGTCTCGTCCTCTGCCAAGAGCTCAAGCTTTTGAGCATGAACAAGGTCATGGTAAACACCTTTTTCATCCGCTAGTAGCTCGTCGTGTGTTCCCTGCTCGACATTAACACCGCCTTTCATGACAATGATATGATCTGCCTTTCGAATGGTAGATAGCCGGTGAGCAATTACGATGGTGGTGCGGTTTTTCGAAACTTGATCAAGAGCGGCTTGGACAATTTTCTCGCCACGGACGTCAATTGCACTTGTTGCTTCGTCTAAGATCAAAATGGTGGGCTGTTTCACGATACTGCGAGCAATTGCAAGACGTTGCCTTTGGCCACCACTCAATTTGGTGCCGTTTTCGCCCACCATGGTAGAGTATCCCTGTGAAGGTTAGACGCCGTGGGCTGAAATTAAAGATCTCAACATACCTTTGGCAGGCGTTTGATGAATTCCTCCGCAAAGGCCTCTTTGCAGGCCTTCTCCACCATCTCCCTCTTCACCGCTTCGGTTTCGTTTTCCCATCTCGTTCCGATGAGGCCGAATGAGACATTGTTGAAAATCGTGTCGTTAAAAAGGAAGGGCTCCTGCTGAACCAGTCCGATCTGCGATCTCCACCATTTTATATCCAGACTATTGATATTGTGTTCGCCCACGGAGATGGTTCCTCGGCTATGGTCCTCTTCCCTCACTCCCAGTTGATACCATCGCTCTACTAGAGCCACAATGGTACTCTTACCGGAACCTGAGGGACCAACCAATGCCGTGGTCTTGCCTTTTTCGAATCGAGCATCCAGGCCCTTGAGGACTGCAGTATCTGGTCGCGTAGGATATGTAAAATGGACATTTTGGAAAACAATGTCCACATGAGCTGAAACATCAGGATCACGGAGGCCGCCAAGCTCAATCCTCTCGGAGTCTATCATCTCGAAAAATGAGCCCGCGGCGCTGGCGGCCTTAGAGACCATGATCAACGGTGTTGCAATATTTCCCAGAATTGTGACTGCAATCATGATGGAGAAAAACACACTACCGAGACAATTAGCAGACGCAAACCACTTAGAACCTGGTCGTGTACGTACGTGATGACGGTGTTGATATTCTCGATATGGCCTTCGCGGAACAACTTCAGCCCAAACCAGAACGCCAAAGAAAAGCTCGAGTACATTGCAAAGAACATGAGAGCAAATTGGACTCCCATGACAATGGACATGTTTTGTCCACGCTTTCGTGCTTCTTCAATCCAGGCGACGTATTTCTTCCTGAGGGGTTCCTCAGCCCCGAGGGAAGCTACGGTTCGAATAGAGCCAAACACTTCCGCTGCTATTGATGAATGCTTCTCATCGGCTTTGTCGACTTTCTGTTGAACCTTGGTGATAATGGGGATCGTCACACTACAAGCGATAAGGATAAACAAGAGGGAAGCGCTGGTAACGAGAGTCAAGGCCCACGAGTACTTGAAGGCGATGATGTATGCTGTAATTAGCAGAGCCAGAGATTGGAACAAAATTGCGAGCTTATCGGAAATACTTTGCTGAATCGAATTGGAGAGCGTCGAGATGGTATTTGTGACCGTGCCCACCGACACTTGATCGAGCGTAGTTATTGGTTGGGTGAAAAGGGACTGCATGTATTCCAGCCGGAGGGCAGCTGAAACTCGAAGACCGATAACACGGAAACATAACTGTGATTGTTGAGTGGAACGTTCTCAACTGGTTCAAGTAGCTTGGCATACCATTGAGACATATGTTAAAGCGAACTTCGCAATGAAGAGGTAAACAATATACAAGCTAGAATTTGCGTCAGCTCATGAATACACAAAGTCATTTTCAACCGGTATCTTGGGTGTCTTGCCTCAGTTTGCTCACGGATGATTTGAATTGTGCCTCTGTGACCGAGGTGCCGGGGATAAAATATCCGTTGAACTCACCAACCATCTTACCAAACACGATATTCATAAGGGGCAGTGGCTATGACACCCATCAGTCTTACAACTTTAAATTTTCCCTCAGAAAAGACGTACCACTCCAGATCCAATAGAGCATATCAACGCCATTCCGAGTACGACTTGATCCTTGGCGTTTGTGTAGGAAAGAACCCTCTGTAGACATGTGAGCGGCACATAAGACTTCCCATGAGAGTTGATTCGCATACAAAGTAGTTGCCCAAAGAGGCGGCTTGTTCGGCCTCTGCAGCATTTTTACGGTCATCTTTGCTTTCAGTCTCACATCTAGTTCGATCTGGGTTCACAACGATGGCACCCGACTCGTCCTGCGCGAGTTGAGGGGCAGCATAGAGCTCTTCGGTTTCAGGAGGTGGTTTCTCGGTTGAGTCCTGTGGCGGAGAGCTGTCCGACAAACGGCCCATCGTGATGAATCCGTGTCACAGGCGTTGACAAAGGAAGAAATCAATCATCGTAGTTTTTCAGGGAATGGGTAATTTATAGGTCAAGGAGTATTTCCAGAAGGAGCGGGTCCAAGCGGCTTATGACTATGTTCAATACGAGCAAGGTCTAGGCAGTACTTCTGGAGCTTGGATTGTTCTTCAGGTATTATTCTAGGGTCAGAAGATTAATAGCTATTTGGGCCCGCACTTTACGATACAATACTTACTCCCTGCCCTTAGTAACGCTTATACAGTTGCCACTTTTGGGGTTATTATGCACGATTAACATGATTTTCAAGGGGTCCCAAGACACCAAGCGGCGTATAGATGATACGTGGAACGCTAAGAAGGGTACATACATAACTGCCCGGGAATTCGGGAATTTTCAAGTCCGGGCGATCAAGCCGGCAACGTGATTGCTTTTCCCGGGATTTCGGACTTTGCAACTCCCCGTTGGAATTAATCCCCTTGCTTTTTTCCATCAGTCATCCCCGTCCAGATAACAATGAGCTCTCGGAAGCCACCGAAGTATATCTCGGTAAGAAGAGTCTCACCTTATTCAGTTCGACTGACATTCTTATTGGAATTTGACTCAGTGTACTCGCTGCCAATCCAAAAAGGTATTAGTCGGAAGAGTTTGCCTGCAAAAAACACCCCAAGAATGACGTCAGGGCTAGATTCGATGCAACAGAGTCCGACCTCGATGTGATAAATGTGAAGCCATCAATGAGGAATGTGTCTATGTACCTCGGAAAGCTCGTGCCAAGAAGCAAAGGTATGATCTATTATAATACAAGCGCCAATTATATCCAGGCTTGCATCACTCATCACATAATTTACCAGTAATCCCTCTGAAAAGGATCTTCTGCTGGACGTACTCAGACGTCTCGAGCGTCTAGAAGAACACTGTAAGATTGATCCAGATAGTGCAGGTCATGATGGCGCATCACGTTCAATGTCCGTGTCATCGGACTTTACTGGAACTAGACCGGCAAGCATCGATCTGCTCCACGGTAGCCAGCCTCGAACCCCAAACACGCAACCTGTGGTCAACAGCATGTTGAACGGAATAAAAGATGATCAAGCCAGGTCACTGCTTTCCTCCAATGTGTTCTGCCATCTGCGAAACATCGAGTCCCGCCTTTTTGCGAACGAAGCATGTGTAAAAGCGATGGAAGCTGCCATGGCGGAAGTTGAACGCCTGGAAAGTACACGAAAAGTCGACGTTCTAGATCCTCCTGTCATCACTAAAGAGATGGCAAAGAGGTGGGTAGAATGTGCGTGCTGTTCGATAACTTGGACACAGACGTTTTGCTGATCGGGTCGGCTAGCTTATTACAACATCTACCAGTTCGAGGGATTTCGAGTTCCCCTTAAGAAGAGCTTCATCATGTCGATCCCTGACCTATTGGAAATACCCCATGTCAAGTTGGATAGCACATCGAGGATTATTTACTATAATATCCTCCTTCAAGGCATTCTCTTAGATCCAGAATACCTTCCTGGGAGAGGCAAAATCATACAATATCTTTACCAGAGTTGTATGATGTTGGTGGATGACTGGCTATGTCACATCAGGAACACTCTCCCAGACATGTTTGCAGCTTTTGTTATGGTAGGTATATGCATAGAACGTTCATTATATGGAGGTCAAGGCTGACAATCTTCCGTTAGCTATCGATGACACTCGAGGGTTGTAATAGCGAAATGGCTTGGAAAATATTCGGCTATGGCTGTGATATTGCTCGGGCTCTAGGATTCTTTTCCGTCGATGAACAATCAGACGGACACGATTCGCAGTCTGAGTTACATAGTACTAGTGAAAGTGAGGTGGAAAAAAATCGAAAGCGGTTCGAATTTTGGCACCTTCTGAGAATGGATTGCCTGTTCCGTCTATCCTTTGGCAAACCGGCCCTCATACCCGGTGGATCATGGAAAGTAAACTTCCCTGATCCTACCATTACCGGTATTGATGACGCGTCTACTCGCTATATCCAGATCCATTTCCTAGCGTCGATGCGTCTTACACTAACTCTATTAAAATACTTGGACTTCGTGGACGCTGAAATGCCTCAGGATACGGATGTATATGATCAGGTGCTCGATGGCCTCATTGCAGAAGTGCAAACTATCATGTCAGACTGGAACGCGGTATGTTTACAATAGCCTCAGATCTATGGATAATAAGACCTTATCGTCTAACGTATCAAAGGAGGAACTTGTCAGCACCGCCACTAATCATGTTGATACTTGGTTCAGTGTGGACATCTTATTCAGTAGCTACAAGATGCTCATTGTCTTCACGCAGTCCAAGAGATGCAACCAGAACAGTCAGTCTCTGCCGAGGCACACGGTAGATGTTGCAAGGAAGTCTTTGAGAATATTCCAATCTTTGATGAGTGCGGAACTGCACGCGTACTGGGGTATTAGGTATGTTCTATCATAGTGTCTGGTTTTCCCTTGCTAACCACAGCCTTCTTGTCATAGTCTCATACTACTGCACCAATTCATTCCGTTCTTTATCCTTTGCGCGGATATTATTGGATCCCACAGATACGACGAGCTCGAGGATGATTTCGTCCTGGTGTCCTGGCTTAACGACTTCGTGGACAAGGCCGCTGAGGAACGATCCGAGCTACGGCCAATTGCCGCTATTGCCAAGGCGATGATCATAGCTTGCCAACAAGTAAAGTTCCCCGCTAGCTGATTCAGCAGGGTTGTTAAATATGCAGAAGACTAGGCTTGAGCTCAAGGTTGAGCTCGACTCTCCTTGGTTTAGGTCGGAGATTACCCCTAGCGCGGTTCCTTCGTTTCTGCTGTCGTCCGCGGATAACATCGATCACATCAATCAACGACCTCGTACCGGTTAACCAAACTGCGCAGTTACGGTTGGACTTCCTATATAGGCGACACCCTTGTGGTGTTGCGAAACGCCTGCTGCATCCGAGACACAAGATTATAGTTATTAGTCATAGGTTGCTGAACTTTCAGGCTTGGACCCATACCTTCTCTTACTTTTCTGGCCCTAGCGTTAATACTTACAACCTTAACCTACAAAACTCGCTTTTCCCCCATCGCGCTCGACGTCGGCCTCGGAAATACGCATGGTACGTGTTTTCAATACTGCCATCATTGTTAATTGCGCAAATATCCCGTATTATTCTATCGATGGAGTTATTCTGTATACTATCTAGAGTGAGATTATCTCGCCCTTTCACTCCTCATTATAGCCTTGTGAGAACCACGAGGCTGCATTCCAATCATTGGAGACGTTACTGGTTTCATGTGGGTAATTTCAGTCCTGAACAAAAGACGATTCCATATGAAAGTGAATACTTGTAGGTGAAGATCGTTAGGTAGTAAGAATAAGTTTCCTTGCAGAATAATTGTTCACAAGTTGAGCCCATAGGGGAATACTTTTGGCGTACCTACTGAGTAGATAAATAAATATATCGATCTCCTACAACTGACGCTTGCACTGTTGAGCTACTCACATAATTGTAACTAGGGATCCTTCGGGTTCCTAGGCTAATAATAGAGCATCATGAATTACTTGAAGCCTCTGTTTTAGCAGATCTGGCTACTATTGAGTTCCTAGCCTTGCTCAAGCTCGATACATTTTTATTCTCTTGATAAAAATTAGCGAGGTGGACCAATTTAACTTTTTGTTAATAAAACAATTTTTAATACGGTTCTTCAACAAGCATCCGATGTGGTGTAATGGCTAACATCGCTGTCTCTCACACAGCAGCTCGGGGTTCGATTCCCCGCATCGGAATTATCTTTTTCTTTTTGTGCCGTAGCTTACCCATCACATAACCCATTCATTCATTTTCTTACTGTTTGTTCCTTACTGGCCATGTCGGCATGTGACCTATTTCTTTCCGTTTACCCTTTTTCTTGATCAAGCGAGCCCTCCCTCCTCATCCATTAACCCATCCCTGGCGGAACTAGTTAAGCACTTGATCCCGGCCTGCCGCTGCCCAAGCGGTGTTGCCAGACGCCAATATTCCATGCATCTCCTAACTCCCCTTTGGGAATCTCAGGTACCCGGCTAGAAGTCAGCTTAATACACAGGCATATTGAGCACTCTATTATCGATCGAATTCCCCCAGTTGTCCACTTTCTGTAACCAAGCATCTCATTTCATCCGAAGCACAACATGACGGTCATTGAAATTGAAGTAGTCTTCGACTTCGTTTGCGCAGTAGGTCATCCAGCCCTTCTATATACAAGAATATAGATGTCCACCTCTAATGGTGCACAGTGGTGTTACATCGGCAAGCGGAAGCTAGACAGAGCCATCGCTCTATACCAGAAAGTCTATCCAGGTGGAAAAAAAGACGTCTTCTCTATCAAGTGGCGTCCCTACTACCTCAACTATAATCCACACGCACACAGCGTACCCAAGAGCGAATTAATCGATGGCCGGTTGAGCAACATGACTCTGGAACAGCGAACGTCCCTATTCAGCCGCATGGATCAGATTGGGCGGTCCGTCGGTATTCATTTCAAAGCCGGAGGTATGATTGGGAATACTCGCGATGCGCATCGCCTTGTCCATCTCTGTGGAACTCAGTCTCCTGAAGCTCAGAGTGCGCTGGTGGAGAAGATCCTTGAGGCCTATCATGAGCTGGAGAAGGATATCTCATCTAAGGAGGTGTTGACTGAACTAGCCGTGGATACTGAGCTCGATGCGAAGCAGGTGCGTGAGTGGCTGCATTCTGAACTGGTGGCAGATGTTGTGGATAACGAAGCCTGCAAAAATAAAGAGGAAGAGGGCAATACGGGTGTCCCTCGCTACATAATTCAGAGTGTGTATCGGTTGGCTGGTGCTGCAGATCCCTCTGAGTTTATCGAGATCTTTTCGAAGGTTAAGGAAGGCGAATCACAACGTTGAAGAAGGGTAAGATTCTGCTATCCAAGATTATCCTCTTGCGCTTATAATTACTTCTTTAAGATAACTAGATCTAGTCGCGGAATTCGCTGCGCTGACATTAATAAGCTTCCCCACACTGAGCTTCAACGCCCCCCACACTCCATTAATAATCCAGCCGCTGTGGTTAACTACTTATCTATGACCTACTGAGTATACAGTGATTCAAAGAGTTTCTTGATTGCATCATTCATAGCTTCTAGCATCATCATCATGTCCACAAAGGTGTTTGTGACCGGAATTACCGGCTATATCGGAGGCGACGCATTCCACCTCATCCAGCAGAACCATCCGAACTTCGAGTTTTCAGCCCTGATTCGAACTGAGGACAAAGCTCAGCAAGTACGCGAGAAGTATCCAAAGGTGCGGGTAGTCCTGGGAGACTTGGACGATGCAGACAAGATTGCCAAAGAAGCTGCATGGGCAGACATTGTGATTCGTGCGTTTAGGAACCTATTTAACTGAGTCCCGAGCTACTGCTGACACCATTCAGATACTGCCGATGCATCGGATCATGTTGGGGCCGCAAACGCCATCGCAAAGGGGATGATCGAAGGCCATAGTCCCGAACGGCCGGGATACTGGCTGCATACCGGCGGTACCGGTATCTTGACCTACTTTGATTCAGAAGTACGCAAGGTCTCTGGCGAGCCTGACGAGAAGGTGTTTAACGATTGGGATGGCGTTGACGAACTGGTTAATCTTCCTGCAGCTGCATTCCATCGGAATGTGGATGAGATCGTGTTGAACATTGGTACCAAGTATGCCGACCGTGTCAAGACGGTCATTGTATGCCCTCCTACTATTTATGGCCGTGGTAGGGGACCTGTGTCAGGTCGTGGTCGACAGGTCTATGAGTTGGCCTCGTTTATCCTGACGCAGAAGTATAGCCCCCAATTAGGAAGAGGCTTGGCTCGGTGGAACAATGTGCATGTCTACGACCTGAGTAGGTTATATGACGGCCTAGTGCGGGCTGCTCTGGACCCTGCAAGAAAGGACGACAAGGAAATTTGGGGCGCCAAGGGCTACTTTCTTTCTGAGAATGGAGAACATGTTTGGGGGGACCTATCCAGGCTGATCGGTCAGCAAGCTTTCAAACATGGCCACCTTACGCAGGAACCAGAGCATAAGGGATGGTCACTTGAGGAAGCCCTGAAATCACCCGCAGGCTTTGAGGCTGCTAGCTGGGGCTTCAATTCCAGAGGTGCTGCTCTTCGAGCGAGGAACGTGTTGGGTTGGCAGCCCCAAGAGCAGAGCCTTGAGGCCGAGATCCCTGAAATTCTCCGCGCTGAGGCAGCTAGGCTAGGCCAGTGAGTCTCGCATTCTCTGGACCGGCATGAATTGAGAATTAGCACTATGAATAGGCAGTTATCAATGAATGAGATTCCCACGGATACAGTGTGCGGTGATGGGCATTAGTTCTATCTAAAATTGTACCCTTTCACAGGGATGAGCCATTGTGCACCACAACTTGAGCTAGACAGAGAGAAAGGCCATTGTTAAGACCTAGTATTTCAACTATCTACCTGATTAATCGTATCTCCTACACACCACCGCTCAACGGTACATTTTACAGCGGTCTGAAGATTTTGTAACGTCCTTTCTGCGAACCAGGCCAGATGGGGTGTCAGGACCAAATTCAGGCCTGCTGCATCCGGGTTCAACAAAGGTGAGTCTCCTCTCCCAATAGGCTCATTGGCATAAACGTCAACAGCTGCTCCTGATATGCTCCCCTGTTTAAGCGCATGAAACAAAGCGTCCTCATCCACAATGCCACCTCTAGCAACGTTAATCAAGACAGCCTGAGCGGGCATCATGCGCAGCTCCTCGACCGAGATCAAGCTAATGGTCTCCGGACTTCGCGGCAAGCACAGAATCAACACAGTCGACTTCCCCAATGTATTTTCAAAAGAGAGCCGACCTGGTCGCGGAGGATCCCCCTTCCGCTCGGCCACTATCACATTCATCCCAAGCCCGCGAGCCAACGCTTCGATGCGCTTTCCCAACGATCCGTACCCGATGATCCCCACAGTCTCATCGCGGCACAGCAACGGTGCCTTTCCATCTACGGTACGAAGTCGCCTGTGAATCGAGCCATTCATTTTCCACTCCGTGTCACGAGTTGTGTCCTCCGGAACTGCCGTCGTGATATTATTCACATTGACTATTTTCCGCCGGGTAGCGAAATACAGGCCGATTGCATGCTCGCTGACACTGTCCACATTTGTGCCGGGACAGTGACACACGGTTATTCCTCGAGCTTTGGCGGCAGGTTTATCGACACAATCCGTGCCACTTGCCATAATCACTATCAGGCGGAGTTTCGGGGTGATTTGGGAGCTCAGAGTCTCCGCTGACAGTCGAATTGTGGTGGTTAAGATGATTGTGGCGTCTTTGACGCGAGAAGCGAGATCTTCTTCATTGGTCCAGCTGTACACGTCGAGAGAATATGGTTGGGCTAGGTCGAAGCTTGGAATCGGGCAATGAACGGCCTCAATGGCGACTATGTGGTGACTATCGTTGTCCGTGGCCATGACGGGTGATAAGAAGGCAAGTGCAATACTATAGTAATAGGGGATATTATCGCGAGATCTTTTAACTAGACTCATTACGAATTCTGATATACGTACTTGGCGTATAGGAAGACATAGGGCGCAGAAATCCGCATGCCCGATCCTAACCGAAATAGAGAATGACACAGGGCGTGGGATGAGATACCTCACTATCAGACCTTTGATCTCTATTATCACTACGGAAAGCCGGTCTCCGCGCTATGGGGTCCATTCGGTCCGACCTTTTCAAACACAGTGGACATGCTAATCGTTGGTCGGTTGATGCCAAAACCCGAGGGGTTTCGGTTTCTCCTTCTCATCCCGAGGATGCGAAGTGATATTTCAAACTCTCGGATGTTCATAATCTCTAAGCTCTCTAGAAACAAATATTACTGAAAAGTGCAAATTGAGTTCCATAAAAATATCCTGGAAAGAATTGTCTGAAGAACAATAGTTTCAGGGAATTCCATCAACATCATAATTTCATAAGATGCGCTAGTTTACAAATATCCTCCCCTCTGACACAAACGCTGCCTGACCAGCAAGTTCAATCTGCCGCACTGCATCCCTCTCATCATTCAACGTAACATCCACAATAATATGACTTTCTCTTCCCATCTCCGAGCCCTGATTAATGTAAAGCCGGTGCTTCTGGCCCTGTTGGCTATTAATTAGCGCAATATAAGCGCCCAGGGAGCATCCGCCACTTCCACAGGCAGGATCTTCCAAGTTAATAGCAATCATGCGCACACGAAGCTCCCAGACGGCCATGTCACCCTCTATCCGAGTTTTCAGTAGTTGGTAATACATAACACCGGTGAAAGATGGCGCCCAACCCTCATCAAGCTCAAGCTCGGGACTTGGGCCGGGGACAAGACCAGCAAAAAGATCCGCCCTTTCAGTTAAATCCACTAGTGCATACGTGACACCCTTGACCATGGAGACTACAGGTGATGTATCTCTGACGCCGTGCAGATCCGATGCTGCCGCTAGAGTCGCCTGGACCGAGAGGATCCGGCTGAGCTTCGCTTCTTGTTGGTGAATGTGTATATTATGGGGAACTCCTGCAGAGACGACTTTGCTAGTTGAGTCATAACATATTGCGACGGGCCCGGCCTTAGTAGTTAAGGTCAAGTTAGTTGAACCGTTGGCATCATCGGCTAACAACTCCCGGAAAAGCAGATGGCCTGTGCCAATGATCGGATGACCAGCAAATTCCATTTCATTAACAGGAGTGAAAATGTCCACCCGGGGGCTTCCATTATGGTCTGAAGGATGCAAGAAAACCGTTTCGGAGAAGTTGAATTCCTTGGCGATCTGCTGTTTTTGCTGCTGCGATAGTTTGTGATCTCCAGTCTTCACAATAGCGAGTGGATTTCCCTTGAATCTAAGCAACTCGTTCAGCTACCAGAGGTCTAGGATTATATATACGATCGTGGTGTACCTGTCCGATGCAAATACATCAAGTGTGACTAGCAGAAGGTTAGCGGGGAAGTGATAATGGTGAGCTGGGGCTTTCTACCATATGAGGCCTGTTCGCCGGGCATTGTGGGCTTGTGCACGCAGAACTGATAACTCCGAGTGATACAATTGTCGGAGATCTTTTGATTAGAATCCCGTGTTCCTTGAGTATTTCAGTGTCGTGAATCATGTATTGAGGACGTACCTCCTCATATATGGCGGGTGAAAATCGCTTACTATCGGGGACCCACCCACGCCCTGTGTAGTTCAAATGAGTCCAGAGAGTAGTTATATCGCTTATATGAAACATCTAGAGTTGGCTATCCGTAAATAAATGCATTACTCTGACTAGATAAGTCGACGTTGATCAAACTACATATTCACCAATGGTTCTATTTGGAGCAACTTCAGAGTCTCTTCGTCTCATTTATGACTAAGTGGCAAAATGACGAGGTAACACTTCCATGGCAGACTGAGCCAAGTATAGAATGGAAGACTCGCTCATAAATAATACTCGATATGGAGAAACAAACAATACAATAATTAGTTGCGCTTTTGATAGCTTTGATTTAAGTATGAAGTCGGACATCTCGAGTAGTATGATGTGAAATAGATATACAGTCAATGTACATCCTTACAACCATTTTTCGATTTTCAAAGCTTGCAACACGGTTAGTTGGTAGTTACAGCAACAGGCGGTCCGTAATTACAGGGTGAAGGGCACTCTGCTGGTGACAAAGTTATGGGTGTACAGATCAACACTGGGACTCCATTAGCAGAGAGGATGGTGGGAGGACCGGCTTGTCCGTATGGATAGACACGAGCTGTACAGCCAGTGAAAGAAATGTCCCCATGGTCCGGTGTTGTGGTTGGTCTATCACAGAACCCGTGTTCAAGGTAGGAAATTAGGTCCCCAAGACGGGTAATGCATCAGTGAAACGCATAGTGCGAAAGATTCGATCCTTGTGTGGCTCTAGGAAAGCTGGACAAAATGTATTCAAGAAAACAATAGCCTTTTCGCAAGTAGGTGATCTTTGTTAAGTGCGGCCTTACGCCTTAATATCCATGGGCAAGTTGACATGTCAGATCTGAAGAACTCGCTTGCTGTAGCATCTTAATCACAACTCTGTTCGTGCAGGATATAGGTAAATTTTCCAACAGTCACATACTGTGTCAAATCTACCTATGATAGGCCTACAGCGGTCACGGTAAAAACAGCGAAGATGTATGCAACGGCTGATTGCGTTTTAGCTGCGACATGTTCTCACGCATATGTTAGTCATTGTAGTTTCGACCGAAGTAAGTGACCTTATAAGAGAAACTATTTTTTTCTAGTTTACACACAAGGACGATTAAGCAAGATGCAAAATTCCGATTGGATCTATGTATACGCAATCTCACTGAAGCTGGAGTTAGGATATTATGATTAATGAGCCATATCTTATATTCATCGGATGGTTACTTCTGCACGGCATACTAGGATATCCAAGCATTAATTATTCCTTGTAAATTCAGTACAGAGGCCTTGGCTATCGGCAGCGGCGTCAGGCTAACATTACAGTCGCTCAGATTAGAATGTTTGTGACCTATTTATCAGCTAAACTACCATTGGTTCTCTTCATTCTTACCGTTTTATAGTAAGATCTTAATGAGTTTGCTGCTTCAATATAATGTGACAGCAGGCTAAAGCTATGAAAATCAGCCAAGCCACATTGGAGTCTCTATGTTAGGAGCTCTCTCGTATAAATCACGCACTCATCCTAGTACCATTTCGCGTTGATATATGACTTATTTGCCTAGGTTGAACTTACATTGTCAGGCTGCTGCATATGTTAGTTTTCGGTAGCCGATGCGTGGCCAAAGCTTCATGGCACTCACCTGGTGTCCAAGCCCATTGGGTAAACAACACATTTCCGATCAAATGCGAAACTATTTCAAGCTTGACCAAAAGCGTTGTCATCTGTGTCCGTATGCCAACCAATTGGAGTGGGGAAGTTCTGGGATATACGTATACTTGAATGATTTCTCTGGATATTCATTCCATCGTAGCTAAAGCTCGAATTGTCGCTGTACGTCCATCACGAGCCACTTGAGTTACCACTTTGTCTTGGAGGATCAGAAGCACTAGACAATGGTTGGACTTGACCACTTCGGATAAGAAGGATTATTTTATGATAGTGCAACATTGTTGAGCTGTACTACCTCCCTGTGATCTACATGCGCTGCATAGAGCTTTATTCACTTTAGCGAAGCCTCTGGGAGCATATAAACTCTCTAGGGCTGCTGCTTCTTCTTCACATCCCTTTGTCCTATGGTCCCTTCTATCTATCTGAGGACAAGAATTCGTCTGGAATACCTTGCCAACGACTCCTTAGTAAACACCCTGAGGACTTAATATTGTGCTTGCACACATTATCTAAATTAGTCAAAATGCTTGCGTGGCTGTTTCTCCTTCTAAACCTTCTTAACTTTGTACTGGGTGCTCCGTGGCAGGGAATCCGCCAGAAGCCACTTCCTTGCCAGGTATGATGACATGTTCAGGATCTCCAGGCTATCCATACAAAGTCGAGCTTTTATAAATAAATCACGAAACATATGACTGATACAGCATGCAGGATCGCTTCTCAGATGACGACCTTCTCGAACCCCTCCACGACAGATGCTACACCCAACGCTACAATCCAGGACCATGTCATCGAGAAGAGATGCTAGTGCCCTATGATTCTTGCGCAATCGTAGGCCCATCAACAATTGAGGTCCTCGACTCGCGCAAACCACATGACCATTTCCCTGGACAGCGCTTCGCGGTTAGCCGCGAGGGTGATGACCAGAAAGTCAAGTCTATGATAACATTCCAGCCTTTGATGAGCGGGGAAAAGACCTGCACGCTCGCGATTGAGATTCCTGCCATGCCAGAAGGTCAGTATGCTCAGGGCTCGACTACAATGGAGGTTTGGGCGGTCGATCGCCCTGAGAAGCCGACGTGGGATAACCAGCCCGACAAGGACCAGACTGTTGGAAAGGCCACCTTTCCTACGTGGGAAGTGCAACAGGGTTGGTTGCAGCGTTTTATGCCTCTTGACTGTGAAAAGCAGATGAGCTACATGGTCGAGCTGAGCCTTCCCAAGGGCGATGGGGATGTGCGCTTTTGGAATCAGTTAATGGGGAAACAAGGGGCGCCACCAATTGGCTGGAGAATGCTTCAGGGCGGATGTTAGACGACAGGATTTGGTTACTCGGTACTTTGGTCTGGTACTGGTGAGTGACAAGGATACGCTTGACTGATTGATTGTTGGGTTCTGGTAGTTGTTTTTCAGTATCTTTCGGGTGTGTTATTTCTCCATTTCTGGGTTAGTTATTACAACCGATGTGCCCTTACGCTTACGCGAGAGTGCTTGACATTCATTCTGTGTCCGGCAACAGTTGTCGACAGTCGTTTTAGCTGACCACATCCTTACTAAATTCAGGTCTGTCTTGGAAAAGATCTGTTAAATATGTCAGATGGTCTAATGCACATACAGGAATAACCTAACTATACCATGTAGAAAGGATGCAACATGAATGGATTCAATTCACGCTAACTAGAAAACCAGGGCTGAGAATAGTTAAGCCCTAAATCAGAAGAAATGAGGAGGAAAAATGACAAATTAAAAAACCAGGAAATCAGTTTATAATCATGAAAAACCCCACCCAAGCTAGGGGATTTAGGCTAATGTTATGCTAACATAGGGCAAGTGTCTTTCGCCTTGTGCTCTAAATCAAATATTAAGAAACGAGTCTGATGTCATTCGTGGCATATAACCGAAATGGGAAAAGCGCCTTAATTTAGTTGAACTTGAGGCACCGCAATAAATGTAACCGACTCGATGGAGTACTATCCAGAGGTAGAAGGTATTTCTATGACGCTGGGATGGTATTGGACGGCTCACAAGTACAATCTCAATAAGGGGTGGACTGTAGCTGTGGTATTTGCGCAGATATACTAGATCTATCGCTGGTGTGGTACACAGGGCTATTGCTCAAGTTTGTGGCGTGTTAGTAGAACTACTGCTAAACAGGAGAAGGTGAAGTGAATCCGATGGTTTAGTTAAGTATAGCTGTGTTTTTGATGAGATCTTTCTATTTTGCTTGGTCCAATTTCCAAAAAACATGTAAATTCTATTATAACATTCCATCCCAGGCGGGAATGATTCGGATAGCTAGCTCCATATAATTTCATCGCTCTTGACAGACACGCTCTAGCTACTCCCGAACTATATCACGGTCCGTACGGAGGCTTGTCAATAAAGATCCAACAGAGGTATGAGTTAGTGCGAAAGGCATGATAGTAATATTCGGACTAGTACAATATCCACACCACAATATGAATCACATCCTATGATCATTCAACCCTTCCACATAGTCCCACTTGTAAGCCCCATGGCAAAAACAGTCTAATGGAAAATAGCCCAGACAGGACCTAAAGAAGTAGTCAGCATGTATCCCCAAAAGGAAGCCAGTATCGAACCACGGCTTACCCTTTCCATTGTAGGTAACACTGGTGCAATCATCACAAGTAGCAACATTGTTGTTCCAGCATCCCTTATCCGTGAAGATGGACATCATCTTAGAGCTGGTGTCGTGAGCCTGGAAGGTGAACTTTCCATTGCCGTTGATGGGGCCGATACAGGTGTTGTCGTTGGCATCGCCGGTGTCGGTGCATGTTCCCTGGGGGCCGCACAATTGGACATAGCCGGCTGACGCGGTAGCGACGAAAACGGAGAGAACGAGGCTTTTGAACTGCATCTTGGAGGTGGATATAGTTTCTCGGGAGGATGAGTATTTGACAAGGTTGGTTGATTGTGTTGGTAATATTTGTGTTTAGGGAGGGATGGGTGCCCGGTTTTATACTCGAGATGCCCGCGCTACGAGTGAAGATTCTGCCTTGCACACATGTGCTCCAACTCAAATGCAATGAGCTTTACCTCGGAGCGAGATGTTCAAGAGGATACCGCATTGCCCATGGACAACGATGTTGGCGTTGGGGCCAAATGTACAGTGGAGCTTCCTGAGTTGGTTATGATACTACATGCCGAGCCTCCAGTATACAAATCATCGGCATTGCAGCCATGCCGAGAAGCATTGCCACTACCCTTAGACTGAGTTCGTCTGTTGATTAGCCTGTAGTATTTCTCTCAGTTGGGGGACGAAGCCAAGGTGTGGAGAAGAGCGCCTGGAAAGAGCACCTAGGCGAGGGTTGGCATGCGAAGATCCTGATCGAGTAACTGCAGAATCAAGACCCAGAGTCTAGAGTCTAGATACTCGAACGTATATACGCAGGACTAACTAGGATCTCGACGGAATCGACGGAATCTAGACCAAGATTGGTTAGCTCTGTGGGGTATTAGCTGACACCATTCCCCTTCGGGTTGTTGTGTGCATGCCCAATTCGTCCTAGTGATGCGGATCCTTCCTTTGTTAGGAAAATGTTAAGGCTGGCAGTGCCGAAACACCGTTGCTTTCTTGTATCCATCAATCTATAACCCATCCTTGTCAACGATCCACCGGAGACCCCGATCGACGAGCTATCGACTGATACTACTGACACCACCACGCTTGAGCTGGGGGCCAAGTTGTAACCGAGCCTTTAAGGATAATGGCTACGTGGGTATGGAGTACAAGTGAACTGCTACTTGACGTCACATGGAGAGGAGTGATTGTCTCCTAAAATCTAGGCAGAAAGGAGATATACGCTGTAAGAGGGCCAGCCTTTGATCTAGACGGTGTTCTCCAATTGTCCCATGAGACCCTACCAATAATTCCTCAGCAGAGTGTAGCGTAGCATTGAAGCAATATAGGCCGTAGGATATGGGCTCTGATTGAATGAGAATTGTCTCTACGGCATTTCTAACATAGTAAGTGCCTCAGGCAGTATTATACTACCATATCAAAACTGCATGAACTGCTTATTAAGGTGCCCAGCAGCCATAACTAGAAGTTGCAAGTCACTTGAGGGGTGCCTTTGGCGTCAACCAATTTATCATGTTGGTTTAAGTTAGCTGGCCTATAAGATACAGGATCACGGCTTGAGGAGAACTGCATCTTCTGAATCACATAGAACTTCTGATTTGAGGCTATGTATGAACGGCCAAAACCCTCCCTCCTGGTCAGATGCGCTAGATCTTTCTTGGATTGTCTTATATGTATCATGTCTCGTACTGCCCATACGCGTTTTTTTTCAAGCTTGAGTGAAGGGCCCTCGTCATGGCTTCGTCTATCTCCGAGCAAATTCAAATTCTCCCCAGAACCTACAAGGGATATCGAGCAAACGATTCCGAGCCATGCGAACGATCCGAGAACATCATTTTTCACGCAGCCGGCCTGAAGTGGCATGTGAGAGTGACTTTCAAGGCCAAAATTGGTATCACAAAAAGGTGTGGCCTCCTTAGGAGAAGAAAGAAGCTGGAGGCCCTAATCTACCTTATCGACTTTCATTCCATTCCTCTGCTCCCAGATACAGTCAGTGAACTCGTGATCAAAGGGCATCCTATCTGCCGTGCTCTCCAACACTCCTGATGAAACCACTATCTCAACTCTACTCCACCGAGCCAAGTGACACCTGTTGGGTCTACACAACCTAAGAGGATGCCTCACGAGTACTATATCCTATTTACGATATCGACTCAGGGTTACCAACAGTGGCTCTCTCCGAGATTGAAGAGAAGGCGCAGATTTCGAGCAATGTCTTCCTGGTCACATGGAATGGGCGAGATGAAACCTTTATCTACAAAACAGTGGAGCATCCCTTCTACGACCAAAGCCACACAGCTTTGTTCCAACAGGAGCTCCGTAACATCGTGCTCCTTCAGGGTATCCGGAATATCGTCCAGCTGGTAGCTGTGGTGAAATCACCAAGCCCGTTCAAAACAGCACCGTTAAGTGAAGGCGGTCATGTTATTCTTGGCATGGTGTTAGAGTATCACCCTAATGGGACTCTCGAAGATGCAATCCATCGCCGCGATGGGAAAGGAACAGCCTGGCAGGCTTGGCCTTACCAGCTGGCACGTGCTTTGTTGCGGTTGCACGATTCGTTTCTTACCCACATGGATATTACCCCTCGGAAGGTCATTATCGACGCAGCCGACGAGGGCAGTTTTCACTGATATTGGAGTGGGATATACATATGAGAATCTGGCACCAGAATTCCGAAATGATTCCTCGCCCTTGGAATTGCCATTTGACCAGAGATGTCAAAATGACTGGTGGGCATTTGGAAAGCTGCTAATAGAACTGGTTTCGATTGAAGACAATGGGCTCTCTGGGACAATCATCCGAGATATTCGCGATAGATTATCGTGAGAACACCCTGAAGATAGACTTGACATTTATGAAGCTATCCGACAACTTCCAAGATACTAACAGGCGGCAATCCAATTGCGCTCCCCTTTCTCCATATTCATGATGATGGACACCGCGCTGCAAGGAACGACACTGCTTAAATCAAGAAATCCGACTCCGGCTCAGAAATATCCTTTCGTCCGTATAGTCACACATATTGGTTCTACTGAAGCATCGTATTGATAGATCTGAGCGAATCAGGCGTCTTCAGGTGGAATTTGCGTCGTGGGAAGTTGGCTAGTGAGCACAGAAGCACCACTTCATGTGATAGGGCGGATCATCTTCCCTTGGTTCTATGCGCTGGGCTTATATTCAGCTCGGTCACTGTCCGGTCGGTTTCGCCAAGACTAGGGAATAGGGCCGACTTGGAACGCTGCCTACCTGGATGGGCTCACCGAGCGGGTGGTTTGATCACAATTTTTTATGGGATGACCTCAAGGGCGCACGTACGGCACCAGCGCCGGAGATAGCTCCGAGCCGAAAGGGGGTCCCGGCTTTGGATAGACCCCGTGGGGCTGGCTTTCAGCCATTCTGAGAGGCTCCCAAGGTCTAATCTAAGGCAATGGCCACCCCGCAGCCTGGACGCTAAGAGTTGGTCGAGCCAGGGCTACTGTGTACAGTATTGAAGCGACCTCGATATCTCTCCGCTACTCTGTCGGAGTTATCCAGTGACAATGACAGATCCGCTTGGAGGTTGTCTTCCATAAAGCATACTTCAACCCGATGAAACAGGAGGATAGCAATCCCACCGAAAGGGCTGGGATGGGGTACGGGGTATGTGGGGGGAACACACCAGAGATATTTCCCCGATGTTCCTCCGCATTGGCCTTTGCCGGCGTCGAATATCCCCACATTCCAAGACAGGGAATCATTCTGTCTATCCCCAGTTATCAAAGGGACCATGAGGTGACGGTGAAAGAGAAGCGCGCCCAAGGCTGTTGGAATCAGTGCGGGAGTCTCCTCAGTCCACATCCAATGCCCTTGTTAGTGTCGGACCCAGCTCTTCCTCCGATGAAAGGGGTAATGAATACGAACGTTGCGTGGTAGTGCAGCTTACCAAATGATTGGGGGAATTACTGCGGCATCAGTCGCTTGTCATGCTTCCCCGCAACTATTTAAATGCAAGGATGCCCATCCTTTCCGGGGCCCTGACATCGTCTCCTCTACAGCTCAAATCACCTTTTAAGTCAAGATGTTTGGCTCCCCAAAGCGTGCTGCTTTGGCAGCTGCAAGTCTTCTGGCGGTCCTCGGAAACGGTCCATCAGTCATGGCGCAGGAAACTTCAAGCAACAATGGTAAGTAGAACCATATAAGCTCGTCCTTTATAGCACTCTTCCACGCTTCACCCCCCCATTGACACATGTACAGCAATTGTCGCGGACGGCAAGACTTTTGCCCTCAATGGAGAGAATGTCTCATACCGCTTCCGAGTGAACGAGACCACCGGCGACTTGGTGTCAGATCATTTCGGTGGCAGCATCACTGGCGATATCTTCCCAGGACCTGGCGCCGAGGCACTTGGCGGCTGGGTTGGTTTGGCTGGCCGCACTCGCCGTGAATTTCCAGATCACGGCCGAGGAGACTTTCGGATTCCCGCCATTCGGATTCGCCAAGAGGCAGGCTACACCGTGACAGACCTGCAGTATCAGTCGTACTCGGTGGTTCCAGGAAAGCCTGCCTTGCCCGGTCTGCCAGCAACCTTTGGTAGTGAGGAGGATGTTACGACTTTGGTGGTACACCTGTACGACAACTACAGCTCCATCGCTGTGGACCTGTCATACTCCATCTTCCCTAAATATGATGCCATTGTGCGGAGCGCGAATGTTACAAACAAGGGTACCCAAAATATCACAGTCGAGGCACTGTCTAGTTTCAGCTTCGATTTCCCATATGAAGACCTTGACATGATTAGCCTTAGGGGCGACTGGGCGAGAGAAGCCCACCGTCAGAGACGCAAGGTGGAATACGGCCAACAAGGGTAAGTTACTGTTTAACCAAGCCGATGATAGAGGCAGGAAGTTAATGTCTCACCTGGAATACACAGCTTCGGAAGTAGCACAGGTTTCTCTTCTCACTTGCACAACCCCTTCCTTGCGTTAGCACATCCCTCCACAACTGAGTCTCAGGGCGAGGCCTGGGGATTTTCCCTTGTCTACACGGGCTCATTCTCAGTTGATGTCGAGAAGGGTTCCCAGAGTCTCACCCGCGCTCTGATAGGATTCAACCCTAGTCAGCTATCTTGGCAGCTGGGTGCTGGCGAGACACTTACCTCTCCGGAATGTGTCTCAGTCTACTCAAGCGACGGCATCGGTGGCATGTCTCGTTCATTTCATCGTCTCTACCGTAATCATCTGATCAAGAGCAAGTTCGCCACATCGGACCGCCCACCGCTGCTTAACAGCTGGGAGGGTCTGTATTTTGACTACAATGAGAGCACAATCTACCGCCTGGCTGAGGAGTCGGCCGCCTTGGGAGTCAAACTGTTCGTGATGGACGACGGCTGGTTCGGCGACAAGTACCCCCGTGTATCAGATAATGCCGGCCTGGGTGACTGGGTGCCCAACCCGGACCGGTTCCCTGACGGTCTGAGCCCGCTGGTGGAAGATGTCACAAAGATGAAGGCAGGAAACTCGTCCACCGACCTCCGCTTTGGTATCTGGGTTGAACCAGAAATGGTCAACCCCGACTCGACCCTGTACCACGAACACCCAGACTGGGTGCTCCATGCTGGGCAATACCCGCGCACCTTGCAGCGTAACCAGCTCGTGCTCAACCTTGCTTTGCCCGAGGTGCAGGAATTTATCATCGACTCCATTACCAACATCCTCAACAGCTCGGCTATTTCCTACGTGAAGTGGGACTTCAACCGGGGGATGCACGAGACACCCTCTCCCAGCAACGACCACGAATACATCCTGGGCATGTACCGGGTGTTCGAAGTCCTGACTACGCGCTTCCCGGATGTTCTGTGGGAAGGTTGTGCCTCTGGCGGTGGACGCTTCGACCCTGGTGTGCTCGAGTACTTCCCCCAGATCTGGACCTCCGACAACACTGATGCCCTGATGCGCATCACCATCCAGCTCGGTACCTCGCTAGCATACCCACCCAGCGCCATGGGCGCCCATCTCTCTGCGGTTCCGAATGGACAGACCGGACGTACCATTCCTGTCAAATTCCGTGGTCACGTCGCCATGATGGGTGGATCGTTCGGTCTCGAGCTCGACCCCGCCGAGCTGCACGAGGATGAGAAGGCCGAGGTCCCTGGACTGATCGCGCTTGCTGAAAAGATCAACCCGATCGTTCTGACTGGCGATATGTGGCGTCTCAGGCTTCCTGAGGAGTCTAACTGGCCGGCGGTGCTATTCATCTCCGAGGATGGCAGCCAAGCCGTCCTCTTCTACTTCCAGCTCAGTCCTAATGTTAACAATGCCACTCCCTGGATCAGGCTTCAGGGATTGGATCCCAAGGCCACCTATAGCGTTGACGGCAGTGGATCGTACTCTGGTGCGACATTGATGAACATGGGATTGCAGTACAAGTTTGAATCGGATTATGATAGCAAGGTTGTATTCTTGCAGAAGCAGTGATCAAGCTGATGACGTGACGCCAATGGGGGTAATTATTTGTATGTAGATAGTGAATGGAAAATTAATGTTTTTATCCTCGCCAGTACTCTATCCTGCAAATCCTCCCTTATGAGTATGAATTAACGCCCTGCAAATCAAGAACCTAAGAACCCTAGTTTCATTGAACGGGGTCCAATGAGACTTTTTTTTTTTTCTGACCAGGCAAACGCCTGCCAGCGAATTTCTTACAGAGTCGTTCTTTGTCTGACTCTGCCTTCATCCGTGCTATCTCAGGCATTATAAAGTCACACAACCCTCGCCTAGTCCACCCCTTGAGCGCTTAGATGCAGTTGGCTTGTTGCTAAACTTCCCACCTAAGGTTTGACTGATCGGATATGTTTCCAACATATCTGTTTCACCGGACAGGAGATGAAAGACACCAACTTCTCCGACCTCAGCCTAGCAGGGATACTTGATAACGATGGTAACCGCTCAGAGGGGACAGTGTCCCCATGGTGGATTTGGGATTCTGGGAACCCTGATCTCACCAGGAACAATAGTAAATTTCTGGTTGACTCTCCATTTCTCATGAGTTGATATATCTTTGCTAATGGATCGGTCATGCTAATATGCACACTCACTCCATCGAGTTGATCTGAGAATTTGCGTGCTAATGTTACGTGACCATTGCGAACATGTTGAAGCTACTCCTAGCCTCATTTCTTGTGGCCCAACACTCGGTTCAAGCAGAGCCGGGAATATTCTACAATCCCCCAGCTAAGGGGGTCATACATGTCTACAAGGACAATCCAGTCTACGAGCTTGAGCAAGTTGTTCAGTTAAGATGGGCGACCACTTTAGAAAGCATCTCCATATTGTTAAGGCAAGGCGATAATTCTTATTTTGAACGGCTTCAAAGTACGTCGTTGTCCACTAGAGCCTAAGGGATTCCTCATATTATGACCTGACGGTAGATGACAGCAAATCTATCAGATGTCACAACATTTAACTCGATCGTATCGACCCAGCGAAGCCTAGAGGGCGGTAATGTTTTCTTCTTCCAGATCCAAGACGCCGATGAGCCGGAGAACCCGGGCTTCTTTGCTAGTCATTACTTCAACATCACCAAAAGGGCAAAAGATTTGACAACAACAACGACAACTCTGTCATCATCATTGTCGTCGTCGTCCACAACGACATCAGGTAGCTCAACACCGAGACCATCTAGCGAGGCATTGACAGCAACAAGTATGACCTTGACGCCAGCTAACGCGGCACCGACAACTCCAACGTCAATAATTACATCAAGCGACGCGCTTACCACTTCGTTAATCTCTACCACATCACTCATTACATCCTTCCATTCGAATAACAACGGCGCAATATCACCACAAGCAAAAGCGGGACTTGGTGTTGGTGTCGGACTCGGATGTACATTCCTATTGACCCTTGCGAGTGTTATCTTGTATTTCAACCTGCGAACGAGGCTCCCTCAAGCTGACAGGGCTCAGAACTACCTCTCGGGAAGTACTGTGGTTACGGATAAATCATACATCTGCAAACCTCGGTCGGCCCGTCTAGTCGAAGTTCCTGGACGTCAACTTGAACATCATGAGCTGGCATCGTGACATACAATTCACCTACAGACTGATTTCTCTTGGCATTATTACTTCAAGTCAACAATATGGTTTTATGTTTTACATGAGCTATCCTTGGTGAAAATCACATGAGCAAACAGAGGGCGAGGATATCTTGGTAAGAGACAGCCAGTAGTATTTTGGGAGTTGCCTGACTAGGCTTTTACTTTCACAGGGATTGCAAACGCGTGGCTTTATGTTCATAACTTCTTAAGCTGAGTCTACATTCATGTTGTTGCATGTGGGCTGATCGGTACCGTTGGTTTGGTTTCCAGGGTTTGGGAGCGCACGAGCCATGCCTTACATCAATTGCCTTTGCCACTGTGAACCAAGTCAGACGACTACCTCTCTGTTATTCATCCCAACTTCCTACATTACTGTCTTCTTGTAGTATCAAAGGAAGATAGGTTCCTCCTAGCTATGGTACACATCCCTGCGACTCGTACCTTTCACAGGTAGTACGATCGAGATCCCCTCATGAATTGTTTCTCCCTCAGCAAGAAGCCTCTGGGTATGACTTCTTGACTCATCACGATCTATCTATTAGTTGTCTAGATTTCTCTATCGTGAATATAAACAGTCTCGAAGCCCTCTGCGCCATCATGAGCGACAGCAAAGGATGCAGAAGCAAATCCGACGACTCTGCTTATTTGGCCGAATACTATGATCTACAGGTCAAGGCAGATGTCACGACCTTGAACGCCCAAGGTGATGCCAAAGTTTATCTATCGGCCCTGAAGAGGCAGATGGAATCGTACTACCCTCTTGACCACCACGGTGAACACCTTGTCGTCCTGGACGTCGGCACAGGTACCGGACGTGTGCTGGCCAATCTCGCCACAGATGCCGTTCGGGACAGCATTCCTCTATCTAATGTCGAATTTATCGGCGTTGACAAGGAGCCTTCGATGATCCATCGTGCATTAGCTGTACAGCGGGAGACGCCGAGTATGTCGCACATCGGTCGCATTGATTGGCTTGTCGGAGGCGTCCTCCATTTGTTATCAGCAGAGCTGCTTGAAAACCACATCAATCAGGTTGATCTCCTGCTGTCCGCGTCTGGCGGCGTCAGTCTTCTTTTCAGGGCTGGTGAGCTCGTGAGATTTTTCGCTCAGGCTGCTGCGCTACTTCGGCCGCGATCAGGACGTTTCTATCTATCTGTAAAGAAAGATCTACTATCAACGAAATCTACCACAAAGCCAATGAACGAAAATACGACAGATACGGGGTCGTGCGAGCGACATGAATTCCCGAGTGAGCTCCATGAGGGTATTATCTACAGGCAACTGCCGATTGAATGTCCAGTCTTAGACGGTATTATTAAGAGGACTCTCTACCAGTTGCAGGTGATCAAGCGGACTGATGCCGGCCGTGAAGAGATTGTAGAAGAAAGCCATATCGAATGCGTGCAAAGGATTTGGAAAGAGTCGGAGCTCTTAGAGTGCTTTAAGGAGGCGGGGCTGGAGTGTGTCGGAATCATCCATGCTTCACATGAGACATACTATGTTTTGAAGCAGACGGAATGACTACAATTTACCTTCAAACTTTGAAAAGCTTTTGTCTCCTATTTGCCTTTATTTCCTTCACAGCACCGTGTGCTCCTTCCTCTCCTTTTTCTCTCATGGGCATTTTAAGACCCGACTTCAACACCTCACCGATCACCGACTTATCTGGTCTCATTAGCTTCGTTGATTGTATTGGCACAGTCTCAATTGAGGTACTTCTTTCACTTGTTTGATACCGAGAATGCTATGTGTTGCGAATGAGCCCTTCGAGCGACTGATTTGCAGGGCTGTGTGGGAGCCTTGGATTCTCAACAAAGGAAAAAAGGGGTTATGCCTATGGTCAGATATGGGGAGAATTAAGTATAAGGTATAGTGTTCATTGCCAGGTAACGGACAGCCAAAAAGACATATACTTTTTACTACTTATATCGAAATGCTGTTCATGGAGCATGCTATAGTCACAATATATATTTTTGAGCAATCCAGCAGGGAGGTCCGTGTTCGACAGCGCGGATAGTAGCAACGCTCAGAAACGCATCTAGAGATGGGCATAGGCTCCAACCAAAGGAAGTACCGAGAATACATGAAAATTATGGACATCTATGAGCCGCATCGTGTGAAATGTGGTCAACCACGTCGAGATAAAAGGCAAGGATCCGGTGAGGACGGTAGCTCTAAATTAGGCTCAAGTAACATAATTCGGCAGTTGGAATTCAACAAATGGTCCCATAGCTCAGTCGGTTAGAGCGCTGTGCTAATAACGCAGATGTCGAGAGTTCGAGCCTCTCTGGGATCATTTCTTTCCGCATCATTGGTCTAGTGGTAGAATTCATCGTTGCCATCGATGAGGCCCGTGTTCGATTCACGGATGATGCACAACTTTCGCTCCTATGGCTCAGTTGGTAGAGCGCATGACTAGTAATCATGAGGTCCGCGGTTCAAATCCGCGTGGGAGCAGTAGTTCTTTTTTTGCTTTTTGATCTCCAAAATCTGTCTGGCTCTGAAATCCTGTGGTATGGGCGCGTTCCTTCAGCGTACTGTACTACTAGTCTTTCGTCTGAAGCCCCTTCCTAACAAGCACCGCAGTAAATCATACATATCCCTATAATCCAATCACTTTTTGTGGAACCAGTTCTACTCATTAAAATGAACTTCATACAATCATTTCGTGGCATCTATCCAAAATCATTTCACTTCACGTAACATAAACCCATAGCCTTTGCTCGCCCAGTCTACTCCACCTCCAAGCGCATCTTCACGGAGCATTCAATCTCGCAACTCTCTGGCACAAAGCTCAAGGCCTGTTCACCGCCGGACTCAGCAAAGGCAGGTGCCCTCCGAGCAGAAGCAAACATCATTGGGGAAGCGTGTCCCTGAGAATCGTCGATTTCAACGGGTCGCAGATTAGTCATGTTCAGCGCACCGGCGTAATCCTTAGCCTTGGCGAGCGCGTCCCAGACCGCGAGCTTCCTGCATTCCTGACCCAGCTGCTGCTTTGTATCATCCGTCAACTGCCAGTCGACGTCCCGCACCGAAACCAGTGCGTCCTTTGCCACGTCCGACACGAACTCGCCCAGTTTGCTGAAGTCCCGGAACTTGACCTCGAAGTTGGTGCGGGCGGTGTAGACCCGTGCTCTGTGTTCGCGCCTGTCGTGGTCCCAGGGGAGGTAGCTACCGGTGCTGATGGAGCTCATGCTCCAGAACGTGACGTGGGCTTCGGGGGTGGGGTCGCCGGATTCTTGCTTCGGGGCGATCTCTTTAAGGAGGGATTGAAGGCGGTTGGAAGTGCGAGTCACGTCCTGGGACACGGTAGACTGGTTATCTCCTTCGCTGGAAACATCGAGATTGATAACGGCGCGTTCGGCCTGGCGGTGGAGGGTGGAGGTTCCGACGGTGTGGATTGTGAGACCCATGGTGAACGATTAGAAGGGGATGCTTTGGGAGATCGAAAGGTTTACGAGCCGAGTGCGAAGGCGTGAGAGCGTCAGTAATATTTATCAAGCAGCTGAAGCGTGGCAAGGAGCAAAACAAGTTGTTACCTAACTGCTGGGAGGCGAGCTAGGCAAACACATGTAAGATTGCGGGACATTGTGGAGCTGGTGTAAATTCTAACTTAGCAGCGTCTCTGCTTGGCGCCTGGTCGTGTTACATCGTCTTCTTCACACCAGATTGAATTCGTCGGCATTAACTGAGCTGAAGAAACTCGAGATTAAGTGGGTCAACTCGGACATATTTGGACTTTTAGCTTCGTGCGCTAAAATCACGACCATGAGATTATTGGGACACGCCCCCGAAGATCATTAATGTTCGAAGCTTGAGGAACTATTAAGCTTGCCTCGATGAAAGCTCCATAGAGTAGTTTCGCGTGATTCACGCTGTATTGTATCTGGCAGCATCGTTCTCCGTCCATAGTGACACACTCGCTGATGGGTTCCCTTCACGCGCTCAAATGGCGCCTGATGAGGAAGCTAGGGAGATCCTCTGTCCGGGAACAGGATATAGGCCGGCCCAAGCAATGAACTCCTCCCCCTACTAGGTATAAGCGTTCAAACTGGTGTGAGTAGTGTGCGAGGCGGGCGCAGAGTACCCACAGGTGGGACTATATCAGCCTCAGTGGCGAGCTCGGCTGGCCTCGGAGGAACTGGTGCAAATAGATTCGGTCGTGTTTAGTGGTTTTTCTTCGAGCAGAAAGGGGGCTCTGATGTCACACTCAGTGAAGGGGTGATAGTTGAAGCGTTATCGCGATGGGGTAGAGAGGCAATTGCGGAGGTGAAGATCGCCGCCTTTATCACATAACCATCAGAGCTGCATCCGACCCCTTCCAGGATTATTCGGACTCCTGTGTATGACCTGAGACAGCGAGACTGATTATGGTGTAACAAGTACCATATTTTCTTTTTCTCTCTCTCGTTTTTCAATCGTAGGGTTGGCAGACCACGAATTTGGGATATATGCGCCGGGTAACATCTCGGCGCTCATTCCAATCGGGAAATAGGTGTAAGACCCTGAGGAAGTCAAGAGAAATCTCCTGGCCGCAGCATCTCACCGCTTGACTTGATTCTGGAGTGGTTCGAGGAGATTAATGAGGATGAATTGGGAGAGGTTGGGCGGGAGATTTCTCAATTTATACCGTTCGTTGGATCTATCATAGACTATATTGGTTAAGTATGATCTGTTCACTGCAGGATACGAAAGTCTGCAAGGTGAAAATAACCTACTGGTATACTCATGCCCAGAGAATGTTGATCTCGCTTCTTCTTAATGGTGCGGCTCAACCAGAAACTGGCTAAGCCTGGTCTTGTTATGGTATATCCCTAGTTCTTCAGCTCATTGTGATCTGATCTAGACCGGGGTTGTTATGTGACACGTCGGTTCCGCAAACCTCTGCTTCTATGCAGATCCAGTGTTCGACGATCTGCGGTCACATATCCCATGTGTGCAAGGGGGTTGGGACAAAAGATGAGAGGACCCAATAGTTTAGTGAATCAGAACGTCATCCTCGCCCCATAATACCTTACCAAGCTCTTCTACCGGATGCCTTGACATGGTAAAGTGCATCTCGACCCAAGTTTCTCGCGAGCACCGTATTTGGCTAGAATATCAATCCAACGGCTTTCTAATGCTTTCTTGTCACAACAGATAGACAGTGGCATAGCTTTCTGATGCGGACAAGCCGCGACAAATTCGTTGGGAGCATTGGACGCAGATGTCCTTAGCATCTGGCGAGGTGTTGGTCCGTTTTTGGTCTTTCGATAGAGTCGGAATTTGCGATTCACCGCACCGAAGCATGCATGCACATACCCAGGGCGTTCTCGAGACCGCTAATGGCATTCCTCGGCAACGTTCCGCGCAAGGATTTTATCCTTCTATGAGCCAAGTGGGACTCGGCCTAAGAGGCACCGGAGCAGTTCCTCGTTCCTCAGTTGACTTTCAACATATCTTAAGATGGAAGGCCGTTCAAGGCTCGTAGGGCCCCTACAAAGGAGAGAGAACAGGTGCCGCACTTAGCGCACAGCTCAGTTCCAGTCCTGTCTTGGAATTATAGTGTTCAAATCCCGGAGGATGCGGATTTCTTGGCATTGCTGAAGACCGGAAATGTCCGCGATTCATTGAAAAGCTGCCAAAAACTGGAAGCACAAAAGTACCTATGTGCGTACTGTACATGCTAATCAATCATGAACTAGTATCAATAGCAGAAAGTCCTCTGCAGTAAGGTTTATCCCTAAGGCTCAGCGCAAATCTTCGACTTGTTCGGTTGACGAGAGCTTCACAATGACTATCGGAAAGCTATGGGAGAGACATATATGGCGAATGACATGATCTGTATTGATTAGACCTACAAACCAGCTGTTCGCTAGTATTTAACCATTACTCTTTCCTGCGAGTTTCGGGGATCATGATCGGGAATCCGGTATCATACGGCTGATATCACCACGGCGTCTTGCGATGAAAGTGGGCCGCTAATGGGCCTCAACGGCGAGCGAACTACTCCGTCCTAGACATTTTAGTGGTATGACCAGCCCTAATGCATTCGTGTATGCACCCAACGTGGATGCAACTGACTTTCTTGATTTCTAAGCTGGTTGCAGAGCTCCTCGTATCTACTAAGTTCATAGGATTGACGACTACTCCACGGTATCTTCGGTAGTTAATGAGCACTGTCGATCTTCATATGAAGTGTCCGCCAGCTGAGCAACATGCCACCGGTCCGAGCGTAAAGAAACCAAAAAAGCAAAAAGGACAAAGTGTTAATGCAAAGTGACACCCTTCAACTAGACTGCCTAGTCTTCTGGACCTACCTTCTGGCTTGCCGAATTTGCTTTGTTGGACTAAACATACCGGCTCTGATTCCAATTGGGTTGCCTTGTAAAATGGAGTGCAGCCGATGTGTCGGCCTCGCATGAACTGCTAAGCTTGAAGCCCAGCGTATCCGCTGTTGCCGTTATGTGCACCTTTTCTTCTTTTTTCTCTTGGCGATTTTTTTGTGGTATTCTTGTTACCCACCTTGCTGTAGCAAAAAACGGGTGTCCCACATAACTGCACATCAGCCATGTCTTTAAAAACATCCCTCAGATCAACCAATACAGCGTTATCCCTCTAATAAACACACTCCATTCACAGCCAGTTCGCCAAGTTGGAAGACACAGCTGCTCTGAAAGAAAACGGATAATTCTCGTTAGCGAACTGGAAATAAATAAAGTTTTTTTTTGCTAGTAGATGGAGTCTCGACCTTTAGCCTGCATGACCTGTAAAATCCAGCAGAATAATCGACTGATGTGCGCACTGGTACTGGAGGTACCCACGTGAGGGCTACAAGACCTACGTGGTGTAGGATCTACAACCACAGAGACCGCCGGCCACTATCCTCACTATCAACAGACTACTACCGGACTTCCTGTCCGAACGCTTTGACATCCATTTTTAAGTTACGCCATTTATGGAGACGGATGTCGTGGTACGTGGAACAATTCCTTGGCCGTTTTGGCCAAAGCTCGAATCTTCGATCAAGGGTCACTCATGAGTCATGATGGGTTGAAGACGAAGGTTGCAACAGTGAAAGCTAGACTCAATTATTATGCTGGGCACAATGCATGTTTACGCCATAATATTGGATGAGATCCGGATGGACTGCACAGACAACTCGACAAATTAGCCGGCAAAATTCAGCCACACAACCGCGTACGGCATAGGCCAGGAGATTGTCACTCTTCATTACTGAATTGGCAGTCGCCGAGAAACGTCCGGTGGATAATTCCCATGGATATGATAGGTGGCCGTGTCGTCCGTGTTCTCACTACTGTGGTGGGTCTACTAGTGAGAGACTCGGCACTATCAACTGATCGTACCAATCGTCTGGTACTGCAGGATGCGGGTCTCCCCCCAATTTCCAAGGCATACTCACAAGAAACTTTGACGAGATGGCAAGACCTCCGAAACTAAACGCAACCCGGTGAAAGTCATTGCGCATCCATAGCCGAAAACGTACAATCCGTCTGCTTCTCCGCTTATCGACCCTGTGCAGGATGCCACAGCCAAGACCCACAATAGGGGCCTGTCATATTTGAGACAATGGCTTTCTTTTTTTTTTTTCTGCAGAATTCCTGGACCAGACTGCCGGGTCCATGGCTACCAAACGCGCGGAGTAGAGATTCCCAGGCCTCTGGCTTTGAACAACATCGAACCCCTGCACCATGGCATTCATCCAGGATCTGGTGTCGGTTATTCAACCTTCAATCGAGTCGCCCTTGGCTATCTGCGTGACAACGGCAGTGGCTGCCGTGCTGTACGTTCTGGTGTTGGGGGTGTATCGCATTACATTGCATCCGTTGGCAAAATTCCCAGGCCCTAAACTCGCTGCTTTTACTCAATGGTACGAGACTTACTATGAGTTCTTCAAGTCTCCAGGTGGACAGTACTTGTTCCACTATCGGAAATTGCATGAGAAGTATGGTAAGTTCGACTCGGGTCTTTAATCCCTGTCGCGTAGGGTATGTAGCGGGGGAAGGGCGTACATTAATTTCATGCCACAGGCCCAATTATCCGCTTAAGCCCATTCGAAATCCATATCCAGGACTCCTCTTTCTTTGAGGAGATGTACTCGCAGACATTACCGTGGGATAAACCGAAAGAACTTGAACACCGCTTCAACAACGCCAATGGCTTATTCCCGACACACAATCATGAGGTTCACCGTCATCGTCGCGCAGCCCTTAATCCGTATTTTTCCAAACGCGCAATCAACAATGCGTCCCCGATGATGCAGGAGCAGATCACGAAACTCTGCGACCGATTACGACGGGAGTACCAAGGGACTGGGAAGATCTTTCGCCTTGACTGGATGATGGGATGCATTGCGTCGGACATCATTGTCCGATATTGCCTTGATCGCGGCTATGATTTCTTGGAGGCGCCGGATTTCAAATCGCCTTTCATTCAAGCCTTGTTTGACTTGCTGGATGGGGTTCATATGGTTACGCAGTTTCCATGGGTTGCCACCATCTTCAATTCGCTCCCACAGGGTCTGGTGGAGGCTCTGCAACCGGGCCTGAAGTCGGTGAACAATTACAATCAGGTATTTTACAAATAAGCGCCGTCATTCCGTTTGACCGGATGGACAGCAAAGGATAAGTGAGAGTGTTGCTAACATGAAATCAGGAAATGGCCGATCAGGTTGCGGACATTCTCTCCAAGAGGGAGAAACGGAATGGCTCCGAGCAGACGAATGTTTTCAATGCATTGCTCGACTCCGATCTGCCGCCGGAAGAGCTCAGTTTGACCCGCCTACAACAGGAGGCTATCACAGTTATCGGAGCAGGCTTTGATACAACAAGATATGCGCTGTCCGTGGCCAGCTTCCACATCATAAACACACCAAGCATCTACCAGCGCCTTCGAGAGGAACTCCAAGCCGCGATACCAGATCCCAACAATATGCTATCGTTAACGGACCTGGAACAGCTTCCTTACTTAACCGCCTGTATTCAGGAATGTGCGTAGCTCCCCCACACTAGTCGCATGCGACTTGAACTAACCATCTCATCTATCAGGCGTCCGAATGTCCTATGGTACAAGCCAGCGTGCGTTCCGCATTTCTGACCACATCACCCTCACCTACAAGAACTACGTGATTCCTCCTGGAACAGTGGTCAGTATGGACAACTACTCCGTCGCCCATGACGAAGAAATATTCCCCGAATCGTTCACATTCAAGCCCGAGCGCTGGCTTGGGGACCCCCTCGCCCCCGATGGAAAGAAGCTGTCGCGCTACCTTGTATCCTTCGGTAAAGGTACTCGGTCCTGCCTCGGGGTCAACTTGGCCTATGCAGAGATGTACCTCACCCTCGCGAATGTCTTCCGGAACTTCGACTTCGAGCTGTTTGAGACAGACCGGTCCTCGGTGGATTGTTACCGCGATATGTTCTTACCGCATGTGAAGCCAGGCTCGCAGGGCGTGCGCGTGAAGATCAACTAGATTAGTGATGCGTTAGTTCTTCGATTTAGCATTTGTACATGATTTTACATAATTTGTGATGAATAAGATAATACCATTCTACGATCTACATAGTGGGCAAGGTCTGTAATGACCCGATCGGCAAAGCATATCCACCTGGTACCATGGATGTACTCACGGCCATTAAGATTCATAGCTCCATGGGAACTCCCGCCTCGCGTGCTGTGGCTTCCTCTTTCCATGACATCACCAGTCGAGTGCCACTGGCGCTCAGTATGCTTGCCACTAGTCCATAACCCTGTGATTGGTCTGTACAAACATACGTGCCCGGCAGCGTATATCTATATGGAAAACATCGGAGATCGAAGCATCATACACTTATTTGACCTAATCTCCACCAGCCTCATTGGGCTTGGAAATGTTCCACGTCGGATATCTAACTGTCATAGCTTAGAGCTGATGGAGTACTTCCACAAGCGCGTCGCCACATACGCTCAACAGGTGTTCTGGATAGCTCGGTGGACTGCAGACATCATAAACGTCATGCAAGACCCTCAATTCTGGAACTCTCGGACCAGGACCGAAACTGTCTAGTCGCTGCTATGCCGATTGACAAGAATTCATCTTTACTGAGTATTCTAAACACCCATCATAAGGCCAAGTGACATAGGAAGCGGCTAATGACTCCCTATCTGAATAGAATACGGCATTAACCTGCTCAGGGCCAATCGCTTTGCATGATCAAAATTGCTATCATCCTCTCACAAAGTCTGGCTATGAGACCTTGCTGACAATGCTTCATTGGGGCTTGCAGTGATCATGTGAACAACGACCTTACCAGTTTTGCAGATGCAAGGCAGCCAGGTAGTTTGTGCGATTACTGTTGATTAGAGCTGACTTTTGAGTCTCATAGCCTGGGATATCGGCCCTTCATAATAAATCCAAAATACCGCTTTGCGTTCCAGAAAATAAATGAGGAATGATTTCGAATTATCGTTGGTACGGGAGAACAACCTGTGGCCAAAGTATGGCTGGCTGACGCACACTGCATATGACATAGCCAACGCCACAGGTCTGCTTTGGGCATTATTTCCCACAACCCAAGACTACAAGAGTGATTGAGCAATCATCAGGTCAATATACACCTTCAGCCGCACCTGTTTAGGCCGGACCTTGCTATGGTAGACCGAGGAGTTACACTGCAGTTCACTATGCCGGACGAGGAACGTAAGCTGATGGACGGATAATATTTACTATTGCCCCTTGGCCTTGTATCTGCGCTTATACAGAGGGTCTTGATTTTCTTTTGAGCTGACGCATAAGTTGAACAAGATCCGGGGAACTAAGCTAACTGTTATGGTTTGGATTGCCCTTTTAGCATCTACCATGCTTATAATTGTGATAGTGGCTTACATATCCCCGCTTTCTGCAAGGTTCTTAAAAAAGTAGCGATGTAGCTGTGGGCAACGTAAGCGACAGGGTTACATCCATATTCTGTATAGAACGCTGCGTACTGTGGTAGCTGAGACTGAAAGAGCTTGACGTCAAGCCGCATTTCGCTTTTCACATTGTAATGAATTAGAGGCAATTATAGGTCTAGTCGTAAGTCCTATTAGCTTATTTTTTGTATGTTTGGAGATAGAGGAAGAAAGACTGCAATGCTGTACTTCTGGTCTGTCATAGTTACATAAATCTAGACCCATCCCTTGCCTTATGTTGTAGTGTCGAGTATGCACTCCGCACTTCATACCTCCCAATGTTGCTGTCGCTATACGAGAAACAACCATACGGGGTAATAGAGAGGTAGTCTTAGGTTGTGATTGGAGCATCAGCATGCGTATTGCAGATGGAAAGCCTTTTGATTGTACAGTTCATGTAGTACAAACCACCATAGTCGAGCCAATGCCTGTGTTGCTCAGCCAATGACAATCGTCTTCCTCTAAGTCAGCTACACGAGATGCATATGCGAAAGCCATAGTTCATGGGGAACTGAAGAGGAAGAAAAAGCAAAAGACCATGGATATTTCGGCAAACCGGCTCATGGGTGAATAGCCTGGCACTTGAGGAGCCCTGAAAAGGTATAAATAGGCGCAGTTGTCCCTCGGCCAAAGAACATCTCAACCCATCAAAGAAACATCTTCTTCCTCCAGCACAGATTACGACGTTTCTATATCCAAAAGATCAACACACACAAACATGCACTTCAAGACTCTTCTTCTAGTCAGCCTGGCCTCATTGGCCGTCTCGCACCCTTCTGCGAACCCAGACGAAGCGGCTATTGCCAACAATTGCGGCTGGCCCAACGGAAACTGCTATGACAACGACTGCCATGGGGAGCTTAGCGCGAACCGTATAACCTGCACTTCGGTAAGTCCAACTCCGCCTTGGGGTCAAATTGGTATGGGACATAGCTGATGCACGTTGCACCCAGGGCCGGTACTTGGGCTGTCCATGTGGATATGGCTGTGGCAGTAACACCGGCAAGTGTAACGAGAATGGCTGCAATGGTAGCAATGGTCGCTGCACCAATAACTACCTTGGCTGCTCCTGTCTGTGATTGAGGATATATGGAGGAGGGACATATATGTCAATTGATTGTATGTGTTTCGCTTGCAACCAACTTCTGCACGCGAGTGATCTGTCGGGAAATAAGGGACATGGGTTTGGGGTAGCTGCTTACCAGCGGTGTTGATTTCATTGTTTTATCTGTTATAATTGATAGTTTTCCTATTGGAATGTTTTTATAACAAAGTGTAACCTGTAGAAGCTGGATCCGGTGTTGTCCTGCAGTTGAGTGTTGTGCGTAAGTCGGCGACGCAATTTCTGTTTGCTATTGGTAATCCCTCGGAACTGCGATTATAGTGGCTCATGATATATGAGGCCAAATATCAGATTGTCGCATATATAGGGTTAGTGTGGTGTGGTTCCAGCTTATGGACAGGTACCGAAGATGCCCCATGGGCCAGAAGTGGGCCCTCAGGTACCATTCAGTAGTTACTGCCAGTCTTCGTTTAGTGGCAAAAGCAGGAGATTTATCCAAGGTTTACCTAATATCAAACTAATCCTAGTTCATTCCCGGTCTTCGCCGGCGCCAATAACAAGGTAGGGTTTGAAATCGTAAAACGTCGCTAAAGGGGCCTAGATTGAATAGATCCCCAAATTTATCCCCCAAAGCCCTCTTCTAACCCGAAAAGAGATTAGACAAGCTTTGAGTTTTCTTTTGCCCCTGGCCCTGAATTCGAGGACAGTTCGACCCTACCTCTCGACTACTTAAACCGCCGAATTACTCGGATCCCCTTCCCAGTCGCACTTTGACCACCGAGAAAATAACCACCTATCACCTAAACCACCATGACCGTGAAATTGTTTATGGGCCTGGCGATGGCCGGCCTCATCTCAGCGAGTAGCAGCGTAACTTCTATGTTTCTCCTTGGCTTAGACCCACAATCCTTGGAAGCTTCTATCGTTGGCAACGTCAGTACCCCACAGATTGACGATCGGGCGATCCTTTGGCCGCGCGGCTCTGTCAATGTATTGCTTGAACTAACATGCAGAGCAGGACGCCACTGCGACAACCTATAGCGTCAGTTGTGCTCCTCCGACCCCGACCGCGAGCGATGACTATGGCTATGACTGTGGCTTGGGCCCTGGTCTCACTGTCACGGATGCGTCACCGACTATCATCTACGAGCTGAACGAAAAGCCAGAATTGTGCGTTTTCTCTTTTCTACACATAATGTCCTCTGCCGAGACACCGGCTAACACGTCTCATCTCACAGCTATATGACCGTCGAGTGCTCCGTGGCCGGAACAACCTCTGCTGTTTGCACTGAAACTGCCGGCGGGCCTGAAGCCAACTTCCCGGGAACTACTATCTCAACTCTCCAGCAGAGTGAAATGGCCTTTGTCCCGGTAACGATCACCGCTGGGTCTGTTACCAGTGTGGCGGTGACCGCTTCGGCCACCACCACCAGCACGGCCGAGTCAGGCAGTCAGGGCACTACCTCAGCGGCCCAGACTTCTTCGAAGTCTTCTTCTTCGAAGTCTTCTTCTTCGAAGTCTTCTTCTTCTTCTTCCTCTTCGGGCTCGAGCTCCAGCTCTTCGGCCGTGAGCACCGGTGGTATGCCCCAGATTACTGGAGATGCCAGTATGCTGTTCGGAGGTGCCGTTGTGGCCTTGGCCGCTGCTGTCCTTTAAACATAGACAGTAATGCTCGGGTGATTAATCCACAGACATGCCTGGCTACTTCATTTTTCCGTCATTAATATGGTTTCATACTTCGCCTAGGGGCCATGCGATCCCCGCCTTTTTACTTTTGAGGTCTGATATGTATAGCGACATGGCCTCTCCCCAGATGTACTATATTACCTGTAATATATACGGCTTCTTTACATATGTAGTTATGTCTAATGTATACGTGACATGAAAACATTCATTATCAATGCATTCTTGATGTAGGCAGCTCAGAGAATATCTGAGTTGAGATTTGAATCTCATGCGAAGATCTAATGCTTCTGATCAGTCCAATGTCCAGGCGAATGGATGTCTTGCAAGGGAATGAGAGAAAAGTTGGTGTATAGAAAAAGAGAAAGAAATGGTCCAATGGTATCTGCTGCTGACGTTCTACAACTCTTCTTTATTTTTTGTCTTTGCAACTATGATAGTTAGAATTCGGTATACTGATGTTGGAGGATCACGTATGGATCAATGCAGTGCATACGTATAGGATCGTTCAATGCGACAATTTGTTGATTATCTACGGGCGGAGGATGGATTAAATAAAAGTACATATGTCCATAGTCATATCTAACCGGTGAACAATCCCATTATATAAAGTGGCTTTAGGGTTAAGATATGTTTTGGGGTCGATAGCCCCATAGCATTTCCCAATTAGGAAAAACCATATCCTCCATAACGGCAGCCCGACATGTCATCTCACGACCAAGCTTACGTTCTTCACGGCATGGTGCATAAAGGGCTCTTAATAGCGAATTATACCCTGGAAAACATATTAGATTAACGGACTCTTGCCGAGCAACAATGCAGCTATGACACCATCAGCAACTGCCGAGAAAACGCAATCGTGGGGTCGATGTCGTGATCACACGGTACACCAAAACCACCAACCATCAAGTCAACAATAAGCACCCTGCACCGTGCACATCGCTCGACGTCAAATGATATTAGTATTTGTCTGAAACTTATTCTCAATACTAGTTTCCCAACATGGCTGTGATCGGACCATGTCTGTGGGGTCGTGGCCCGCATCGTTGACTCGTGTCGTCTCGTGATATGGTGTTATAAAAGCTGGCCCTTTCGCTAGGAAAAATGAGTGTGAGTGTGTGCGGGCTGCTCTTGCTTTTGTCGTGACTTCTGGGACTTCGCAGTATGGGCTCAACCAAGGATATTGAGACGAATGTTTCGTCGCCTCCTTTGTCGTCTACGGGATCGTCGGATCGTGATGATAGCTATGAGGTTTATCAACAAACTCGTCAATTGGAATATACCCCGGAAGAGGCTAAAAAGGTCCTGCGGAAAATTGACTTCAGATTGATGCCGCTTTTGTTTCTTATATACTTATTGCAGGTAAGAAGCATGTCTTGGCGAGTCTTGGTCGAATGCTTATTTTGTTCTAGTATCTCGACAAGAACAGTCTCAATTTCTCGTCGGTCTACGGCTTGAAGGAAGGCACGAACTTGAAAGGCCAGGACTATTCATGGCTGGGTATGCTTTTCCTTGCGCAGTGAATTGACCATGGTTGACAGGAACTAGGCTCTATCTTTTATTTCGGTTATCTGGTCGCGCAGTGGCCGGCTGGATTAGCGCTTCAAAAGCTTCCCATTGGAAAATTTCTAAGTGTAACTACTATTAGTACGGCTTCTTCACCGTGTATGCTGCTATGCAAGACTGACAGATATAGTCTGGGGAGGCCTGTTGATGACAACGCCGGCTTGTTACAACTTCGCCGGGATAGCAACCAACCGCTTTCTCCTTGGAGTCACCGAAGCCGTTGTGAACCCTGGATTCGTCTTGATGATGAGCATCTGGTATACCTCAAGCGAGCAGCCTCTCCGTCTCGAAACCTATTACTGCACCAATGGCATTGCCACCATGTTCGGAGGGTAGGTCTCTGTCAAAGTCACGAAAATAATGATAGTGAAACACTGACCACCGACAGCCTCCTTGGCTACGCAATCGGACACATAACAGGCGGTCTGCCACGCTGGATGTATGTGTTCTTGATCTTTGGTGCAGTATCACTCGCCATTGGAATCGTAGCCCTCCTCTTCCTCCCCGATCTCCCATCGACAGCCAAATTCCTCACCGAGCGCGAGAAAGCGATTGCGATCGACCGTGTCGCGATCAACCAACAGGGGGTAAAGAACCACCACTTCAAATGGTACCAAGTGCGGCAGGCAGCCCAAGATCCTAAGACGTGGTTATTATTCATCATGGCTATTGGGGCTCAAGTTCCAAACTCTGCCTTGACGAGTGTATGTCCCACTGGAGCCTCCCCTTCCGGTCACGACCGATATTAACAAGAACACAGTTCACATCCATCATCGTCAAATCCTTCGGCTTCGACACCCTCGGAACCCAATACCTGCAAATCCCCGGCGGAGCGGTCCAATTCCTCACGCTGCTCTTCGGCGGCATGATCGCGACGAAATATAGCGGCAAATTCCACTCGCGAAGTGCGTGCATGATCTTCGCCAATCTGGTCTGCATCATCGGGTCGTCGCTGCTAGTCGGTCTGCCGGACTCGAATAAATGGGGCCGACTGGTTGCACTCTGGCTGTGCTATTTCCAGGGACTGGGGTTCAGTATGAGTCTGACGATCGTGAGCTCCAATATCGCGGGGTCGACGAAGAAACAGGTGACTGGGGCGTTGTTGTTCACGGGGTATTGTGTGGGAAATATCATCGGGCCGCAGACATTCAAGGATAGTGAGGCACCGGGGTATCATAGTGCTTATATTGCGTGAGTTTCAAATCAGAGTGGTCGAGAGCAGAATATCGGTGCTAACTGTTGTGCAGCATGTTGGTTGGGTATGCCGTGAAGCTGGTTTCAATCACTGCTCTGTACCTGTATATGTATTTTGAGAATAAACGGAGGGATCGGGAAGCCCTTGGTTCAAGCGGCGAGGAGAGTGACGGTGTTGAGAAGGGCATGTTGGTAAGTTTCCCTCTTTCTGGTGTCTGTGAGCTTCGCAAAGGCTGATTATGAGCTAGGATCAAACGGAGATTGACAACAAGACGTTCAGATACGTGCTTTAGACTAATGAATATTTAAATGTTGAATCCAAAAATAGAAATTTTATACCTACGCTGATGCGCTGCCTCGAGCACCATGAAAAGCATAACTGCACTAACATTACGGCCCCCAAGTCGTGCTGACGCGTCAGGATGCATGATCAGTCTCTACACTCTATCATCCCATCTAAACCAAGGATATAAAACCACAGTACAGTCCCAACTACAATCCAGTTCTATAACCATCTCGCCCACCATGACTCTCCAGGAAAAACTAATCCCCACCCCGGGAACACCCCCAAACGCCCACAAGGACGCCTTGGGGGTCTTCCAAGCCCTCCAAGAAGGCGGCATAGCCATAGTCCCGACGGAAGTAGGCTACGGGTTAATCGCCTCCTCCAGCGAAGCCATCACTCGCGCCTTTCACGCCAAAAAGCGGCGTCCCGGACACACACAAGGCATAATCGGCAACTACGATGTCCACCGAGCGCTGCATACTCTCCCAGCGGAGAGATTCGAGATGACCAAAACCCTAACGCACGATCTAGATATGTCGCTCGGGGTTATTGCGCCGTACAGACCCGACCATCTGCTGCTGCAAGGCATGTCAGCTGAGACGTTGGAAAAGACGACTAAGGATGGGAACATGGCTATTCATGTGGGTGGGGGGTCGCTTCTGCTGGAGGTCGTGAGATTGCATTATGAGGTGGGACAGGTGGTTGTAGGCTCGAGTGCGAATGTGACCGGCGGTGGACAGAAGTTTCGTGTGCAGGATATTGAGGAGGAGATCTTGGAGGCGGCGGATATTGTGGTCGATTATGGGTTGCAGCGGTATCATGTTTATGGGAGGGCGAGTATTTTATACGATTTCGGCGAGATGAGGGTTGTGAGGATGGGGGCTTGTTATGAGTTGTTTAGGGAGAGGATGAAGAGGTTTTGGGGGGTTGAGTTGGAGGAGGATCCTGTTTATCCGTGTGAGAAGGGGGAGTAGATAGGTGCTGAGTAGTGGTTTCTTCTATAACGAAGTGCTACGTGTGATTTCTTTGCATTTGACGTAGATTCTGCTATGTCCGGACATTTCTCCTTGGGATCTCTTTTGGGACTACTTCTCTAGAGTCTAGACAGATGTAAGCCCAAGCCGTACTACGCTGCAACTCAGCTAACAACATGGGACTCTGTAGTAGGTACTAAGTCCCTCTTCCTCTATAAGCATATGTATGAGTTCAGGGACTTGCTAACGCTATCACTAAATGATGGAGACTGCACGATCATGTCCCAAACAAGTATCTAGATTGGGAGATCATCCTTGTTGCGCTGATCTCAGAACACTATGTTTCTAGACTGTTCTAGGCACAGCTTGACAGACCTAGGATCATGGATTTAGGGCGAGGCACGAATGTTCGAAGTCCGTTCCTGACAAATTGATCGCAATTGTAGCATTTGCCATAGATCGCCCAATCCGGCCTAGTCTCCGCACACGTGGTGGGCCATGAGAAAACGCCCAAAGAGGTTTAGTCTCCGCTAGATGTGGCGATGACATCAGGTTCAGAGTACATGGATTTGGATATAAAAGGAGGTAACGCTGTTGACCGTTGTGAGATGTAGTTGTGATATTCATTGTTGATTCCTATAACGTCTTGCCAACATGTCTTTCCCTTCCACCAAAGTCCTCGTGATCGGTGCCACCTCAGGCATTGGCAAGGCACTGGCTACCAAGCTCGTGCAAAATGGTACCCAAGTGATCATTGCTGGCAGGAGAAAGGAGAATTTGGACGAGTTCGTCAAGGAGAATGGAAGTGAGAAGGTCAAATATAAGGTGTTTGACGTGATGAACCTTGAAGCAGTGAGTGCCCGGACTCATCTATCCTGCCCGCAGCCTGAATTCATGAAGAGTTCAACTAACCCATCCCAAAGATTCCCAAGTTTGCATCAGAAGTGGTTTCCGAGAACCCTGACCTTGGCTGTGTCTTCATCAACTCCGGAATCCAGCGGCCGTTCGATTTCGCAAACCCCGAGAGCGTCGATCTGGACGTTTTTGACCAAGAGCTGATCACGAACTACACCTCAGCAGTCCGTCTCACCAAGGAGTTCCTCCCACACCTGCAAAAGCAACCAACCCAGACTGCCATCGCATTCACCACGTCACAAATGGCTCTGGTGCCGATGATGCGCTGTCCGAATTACGGTGCTTCAAAGGCCGCACTGCACCATTTCATCCTCGCCCTACGCACGCAATTGCAGGACGGCCCCGGAAACGTGAAGGTACTGGAGATATACCCCCCTGCTGTGCAGACCGAGTTGCACGATCCCAAGCACCAGCCGGACCTGAAAGACGGCCATCTCATTGGCATGCCGCTGCAGGAATTCATCGACGAAGTGTGGGCCAAGCTAACCCAGGGCGAGGATCAAATCCCGGTCGGGTCCGCTAAGGATATCTTCGAAGCGTTCGAGATCAAGAGACAGGAGATATATCAGCAGATGACGGAGATGCTGAGGGGTTTGCTCAAGCAATTCTTGCGATGAGCGTTGGACCTGTTGGGTGTGAATTACATAGATAGAGAATCCAGAGTAATTGAATTTCATTTCCGTGAGCTTTAACTCTCAATAGGCCCTGTAGCCTGTAGCAGGCGGATAAGGAACGTTGGACACAGCTTTGCCTTTACAGGCAGCCAAGATCAGAGCACTGAAAGGTGAGATACCGTGGATTGCACCCGACTCTAGCATGGTCGAATACTGTTGCAACGAAACCATGTGTTCCAAAGATACGGGTGTTGCGTCATCCCAGGCCGCATGATCTGTATCCCACAAAGTAGTGCGAACATCGAAAGGCAGCGAGTCGACAAACGGAGTGCGGACGGAGTAGTTTCTCTTCAGCAACGAATATACACTGCGCAACATGAACGCGACAATGATCGTCCGCCGAACGCTCTCTGCGAAGAGCCATGCTTCCCGTGGACTCATAGTATGGGAGAGTTGAGCAGGAGCTTTCTGCCAAAGACGCCGCCCAACAGTAGACAGCATACTACTGATAGTTTCCGAATAGGGGCCAAGATCTGTTTTTTCATCGAGGATGAGAATGCACTGTAGTATCAGTAGTGATTGGATGCATGCGAGCAGCTCTTGGAAGCTAGCTGAACGACTAGACTTGCGAAGGAGTTCTGCACAGTGTTGCTGTAACAGAGGAGTAAGGGACGTGGAGTTGTCCCCTTGAGAATGGAGTCTGCAGAGAGTCCGGACATTTTGCAACACGGTCGAAGCCTCCGGACTCTGATAAAGGTCCGGATGGATAAAGTCCGTCTTCATATTCTCCGCGAATTCAGTAGGAAAAGTTCGCATTCCGGCTATAAGGAAGGAAATGATTTCCCGATCATATCCTTTCATAATTACCAACGGTAGCGGCCGGTGGATCGGCAGATCGGACACGGATGATGCACGGCGTACAACACGCAACGTGGCACTGGAGAGATCGGGCCCAGCTGGCAGTGGTATATTAATGTATTCGCAGTCGACGCGCCGAGCCTGGCACCGACTACATCGCGGCCAGAGTTGGTCGCAACGGCGCTTGCCTCGGATGCAGGCTTGGCATGATCTGCGCAGGGTAACACGCTTAGGGGCGTTAGACGACATCCGATTTTGTCTAGATTAAGGTATGCGGGGGAACTAGGGATAGTGCTGCCCTAAAGCGTCTGCCAGCTGCTGAGTATGTGCATAAATCTTGGTTTCGAGGACAATTCATTGAGAAGCTCAGTAGACTCCGACTTCCGCACGCGCCATACTCCAAAGCTTAATAATCTACTATGGCGAATCACACATTCCCCCGCTCATGCAAGTCTCCACCATGGTTCCATCTCCGATACCCAAGCGAGTTGCCAACGTTGTCCCACTTTGTATCTATCTGGGCAGGTGTTACGAGAGTTGGGGTATCTCTAGCATAGAGAAGAATGGTTGTTAAGCGCCAATTAGAAAAGTATCTTCGATAAACCTGGACAGGTTTCATCATAGTACCCTTGGCTCACGCTTCGTTGGTATATATTTTGACATGTATCGAAGCGAGGGGCAGTCATACCGTTTCTCATTCACAACGATCAGCGGCAGATCTGCTATAGTGCTTTTCCGATTTTATACAGACAAGAGATCCCAGGGAGGACCTTAACATGTGCATGACTGTCGAAAGCGTGGTAGTTTGTTCGAAGGCAATCGAAGACTTCACACTGTACTGCCATGGCAAACAGAGTGTAACAATGCATTATATGAAACAACAGATGAAAAAAGACTACTAGTCCCTCCTCCCCACCCTGTGAAAGAATTAGAGTCCGCTTGTGGGGTCCGGATATCGCCTCGTGTATGATGTCGCAGCAGATCCCAAGTCAAACGCATCTGTTACTAAACGAAACTCTATTGCCGAGATGCAATTGCTTATCGGTCGAAAGGATCCGATAAAAGCATCCCCGCACGATAACGCACGCCTATCATTGAGGGACCAATGCAGATACAGATAAAGGATTGGACCGTCCCTCATTTCTTGGAGTCATCTCTTCAAACTTCCCTTTTTGGATGGCATAAGGTTGTTGTATCATGTTCCCCGTATCGCTAATCTGTATATATACTCCCCGCGAGAAATAGAGAAATAGAGCAGTATTCCAGGACATTATTCTTGTCAACGTTCATGGGAATTCGTTGATTCAACATGTTGTTATTGTGGTTATCTAGTGTCTTGCTTGTTGGACTATATCTCTTCAAGCGTCTTTCATCTCCACTTGCCAAAGTCCCCGGCCCGTGGTATACGAACTTCACCAGCTTCTGCCTGAAGTACCATGAGTTCACAGCGAATAGACGCCTTTTCGTTCACCACCTACACAAGAAGTATGGTCCCGTAGTCCGCCTTGCACCGAACGAAGTCTCGTTTGTTAGTCTAAATGCTATTCGAGAGATCTACGCATCCGGCGGCAGTGGTTATGATAAGACGGAATACTATGATTTATTCCGACAATATGGGATTAAGTATAGCACTGCCCCGCAATACAATAAAAAACAAGCTGACAAGTAAAGAACCATGTTCTCTACACTCGAGAAGCAAGGGGTGAGTTTATTCATCTGAATGAAGGCAACCACAATTAACGAAGAGCAGCACAGCCATAGAAAGCGGGAATTGGCCGATAGATACGCCATGTCGAACGTCGTACGCGAGAAGCATGTGTCCGCCATTAAGGAGCGAGCTGAGACCTTTGTAGCGAGATGTGCTGCCATCGAAGGAAGTGTGAACATCTACGTGGGTACCATGGTTACTTTATAGTAACTTCGGCTGACAGTTCTAGTCTCTCTTGCACTGCTACGCGATTGATGGGGTAACGAACTTTATGTTTAGCCCTGGTGGCCTGAGGTCCTTGGATAACCCTAAGGACTATGAGATGATGGAGGAGTTGACATATCATCAAAGCCTGCAGAGTAAGCGAATCGTCAACTCACATTATAAACGAAGCTAACCGCAACAGAAAATCTTCTACACTATTACCTGCCTGCATTAGTTCCATATCTCCCATCCTGTCTCATCCCTCGCCCTGCCCCCAAAGCAAATGCCTACGCGTTACAGATGGCGGGGCAACAGCGCCCAGATGAGCACAGCTTAGTCGCACGTCTCACGCGTAAAGGCTCGCCGCTGAGCCACATGCAAGTGGCCGCGGAATGCAAAGACCATATGGCTGCAGGTATCGACACTACTGGTGATGGTCTTTGCTTTCTGATGTGGGAGCTCTCTCAGCCACATAACATGCACTTTCAAGATCGCCTTCATAAGGAACTGGTATCAGCATCCGATGATACACCTCTAGATAAACTGCCATATCTAGATGCTGTCATAAAGGAAGCCTTGAGATGTACACCGCCAATTCCAATGTCTTTTCCACGGTACGTCCCATCTGGTGGCAGGACTATCGATGAGCACTTCATCCCAGAAAATACTATTGTCAGCTGTCAGCCATATACGGTACATCGTTTCAACAAAGAAGTGTTCCCCGAGCCAGATCGCTTCAATCCGGATCGATGGTTAGAAGAAGAGGGCTTCAATGACCGGAATCGACTGTTCTTCGCGTTTGGAACGGGCGGGAGAGGATGTACGGGAAGGAAGTAAGTAAACCCACTCCTCAAAAACTGCTCCTATACTGACGCATGTAGCCTTGCAACGGTGGAAATGAGAGTCCTTCTCCGAGAGCTGTATTCTCAGTTTCGGTCGTCGGTTGCCCCGGATATGACTGCGTGCATGGATCTCGATGATCAGATCATCTCCGCTCGTCCAAAGGATCAGGTTTGTAAGCTTATCTTCACTGCTAGAGGCAAGGATGTGGATAGCGCATAGGCTGTATTGTGAATGGTCTGCGTATGATGGGATGCCCGTATGATGTTAAGCAATGCTCAAGGCCAATCTTTGGAGCAACTCATAGGACTCATAGTGTTATATAAGCATAGGTAGTTCTCAGAACAACAGTATATCTCTTTTCAGACTGAGAGTCCTATGGAAGTCACAAGAATGGGGGTACCTAGCCGACCACTACCAGGTTTACTAGATTTATGATACGGAATAGGAATGAATTTAGCAATAAACAGTACTTGTAAACGACGGACTTACTGGCCAATCAAGATCCTGCCCACCGGATGCGGGGTATTTAAAATAAAAGGTAAGTAGTGAGAAGGACCGTCGTAACCCATCTCGAGACAAACCCCCCCCATCCCTGCTCTCCTAGCCACGCTCGAACACTCCCATACCCTAATTCAAACCATGGCATCCAACACTGCAAATCCACCCACTGAGAGCCGCCTCTCAACACGCATCTCCATCCGATGGCTCCCTGAACCCGCCTCCGAAACGACTGACACTATCGTCATGTCCGTGAAGGGTTGGTATGTGGACCTTCGCATAGACAAGAAATCTGGCGACATTGACTGGGCAATTGCCGGTCAGCGGGTTACGGATAGTAGTGACCCTCGTAAGTTGCATTCGTACATCTCCGGACTGCGCACATCCTGACAATATCAGGCCGCGTGCAGTTTACCCATGAAATTGACTCGCACAACTCCTTTGACGACGTTGACTGTGGCACCTTTACTACATTACCGAACGGTGATGACCTTGAGACTGGATCTATGGCTCGTCCAGATGTGCCAGGGGCTCCGGTGACAGAATATGAGGAGGTGTGGCGGGAGTTGACATTCAAGGAGGGCCCCGAAGGATCAGGGCAGGGTGCTTCATGGGTTTTGGAATCGAAGCATGATATTAAGGTTGGGGAAGGCGAGGAAGTGGAGGTTTCGCGGACATTTTTGGCGAGGATCTGGGGCTCATATTTGGCGGTGCGACAGAAGCAGGTATATGCGCGCCTGCCGGGTTCTACAGATGCAGTCGTGAAGGCAGGGAAGGGGGTTAGTGCTAGGAGAGAAGAATGGGATGCAAGCACTGGGTGGTCGGCCAAATATGTTCTTGGTCTGGAGGGGGACAGTTTGCCCTCCGCTAAGGACATCGAGGCCAACGAACAACTGCGCACACCCGGGGGAACAATTCTAGTCAACGGTGAGCCATATACGGTTCGATCATATGAATTTGCGTAGTGCGCTGCGCTGAATTACTCTATATTCTATGTACAATCTCTATTTATGCATGGATTAATTTACTGCTCGTTCACAAGCACGTAACGGTACCTGGCCTTGCCAGCATCCATGTCCACGATGACCCTGTTGGCATCCTTCATGGGTACCTCCTGAACCCATGACCTGACGTTCTTCTCAGCAGCCAACTCAAGCATCTCCCGGATCTCACTGGGGCTTCCGATCAGAGATCCTCCAAACTTAATGCGCTTGACGATCAGGGCGAAGGCGGGGATGGTGAGGGCACCGTCTTCGGGAGCACCCAACTGCACGAAGTTGCCACTGGGCTTGAGCATGGTGATATAGTCCATGATGGGCATCTTAGAGGAGGAGACGGTAGAAATGATCAAGTCCAAGCTGCGGGAGTTGTTCTTGGCCCAGTCCTCGTCTTCATCTGTGGCGATATAGACATCGGCGCCGAGCTTGAGAGCATCCTCCTTCTTGTTGGCCTTGCGAGAAATGGCAACCACCTTATCGGCACCCAGGGCTTTGGCAAACATGATACCGAAGTGGCCAAGACCACCAACACCAATAATACCGACCTTCTTTCCGGGGCCGCAGCCGTTGTGACGAAGGGGCGAGTATGTGGTGATACCACCGCAAAGCATAGGAGCAGCCATGGCGGAGGGGATGGCGTCGGGAATCTTGATCACGAAGTGAGAAGGAGAGCGGTGGTAGAGAGCATATCCACCATAGGACTTGTCGCCGTTCCAGTGCTTGGAGTTGTAGGTACCGCCCATCAAGTTGGGGCAATACTGCTCAAGGCCCGAGGCACATTCTTCACAGTCACCCTTGCGGCCCTGGCAGGAATCGTTCTGCGCACCAACACCGACGCGGTCGCCAACCTTGATGTTTCCTTCGGCCTGGGAGCCAACTCTGACTGCAACTCCGAGAATTTCGTGACCGACACAGCAGGGGTACATCGTAGGACCCTAGGTATTGTTAGTAGCTGTGGCAAATAGTCCTCAAGCAAGCGAAACATACCCATCCACTGCGCAAAGTGTGCAAATCTGAACCACAGATACCGGAGTGTGTAATGCGAATATCAATATCGGTCTCTTCCCAAGCCTTGGGTTGGAACTCCTGCCAGACCATGTTGCCCTCCGCGGCCTTGGAGTCAAGGCCCATCCAGCCTTCGAACTTGTAGTCGGTAGCGGCCATTGTATGCGAATTAAGGTTTAGCTTTTTCGGGTGTTCTATCGTATGTAGAGGCTTGATCGAATCTGGGGTGTTGATTCCTCGAAGGTCCTCCTGCGATTTATACAGAACAGATTGCCAGTGGCGGATGGTCTCGGCAGTTCTCCGGAGCAGACAATTTCGAGAAAATGATTAGAAGAGCTTAGAAATTGATTTTTGGGATGATCCACAGTATTGAGGACTAAGTCCATTATCTCCGCGATGACAGTGGAGCTCCACCCGTCCCATGATTTTTGAAGCAATCGTGAGATGGAAATTTTGCAGCTTGGCAGGGGTGGAAAGGGGACCAAACCAATAGTCGATGACACGACCTCGGAATTTAGGATTCTGTTTAAGCCTTGTGTATCCATGAACCAAAGGCGAAAAGCTAATGCGTAAGCTGCACGCGATTATGACAATGATGTCGTCCTTGGTGGTTGAAACGGTTGGTGGTGGGTCTATAGCCACTGCGTGGAGCCTCAACCACAAAGTTTTAAAAACCCCAAGAGTATAATTGGTTACCAGAGTTGAAATCCCGTCTTCAGGCTTCCATTTCGGCTTCTAGTCCGGCACCTTTGGGTTCTAAGTTCTATCTCCGAACCTCTTCTGCGTGTTGCTTATGCCGCTCCACCTGGAATTAATGATTACAAGATGCTTAAAGCCAGGGCACCCAATCCAATTTCAACTAAGGTCGGAGACTTCTGGAAAGGTCGGCCTAATATTCATACCAGCCGCAGTCTCCGAAAGTAAAAATGGCTATCATGTTGGAGACAACCCCATGCTTAATGAACTCATTTTCAATGAAATATAGTGATATGAATGCCATATCTGTTATTATTCGGTGTTTCTTTGTCCCAAAGCTAAATAGACAAATACCACGGCTGCTCTCAGGACAGAAAAAGAGTTCTCATCCTGTTCTTACAGACGCTAGATGCCGCCACATTCCGGCGACACGCACAGACCAAGTGCTACAGAGGGAGAAACTTAAAATTTGTGCAGACCACTTCGAGCACAAGGGGTGATGGAGTGGGTAGTATCTGATGGAATACAAGATAACCAAGCTAGTTAGGTGACGTATCTGAGATATAAGTTTGTGACTGGCGGTGTGACTTAGTCTCTCAATGCCTCACTTCCTAACGGGATGTTGCGACTTGACGTGTCTGGTAGGAGGCATTTCTCAAAATCTAGCCATTCTACTCGAGGAACACAGTTCAACCACCGAGGCTATCGATAACCTTTGTGCCTTGAGGGTCGGGCTTTGATAGAACCAGCTTTGTACTTTGTATATACAAGCCGGATAAGATCGTACGGCCGCTGAATGCCTTATCTGAGCCGAACTTGACCCCTAGCGTTGATAAACGCAATGCCAGTTCTGTAAAATCACAAATCTGTCGCATGGGGCTTACAGCAGTGGGCAGTTGCAGAAGCTGTTGTCAATATTATAATTCTGACAAGAATCTTTGGATTGGCCGTTTGCAATTGTGGCAGAGGGAGCACGCATGCTAACCAGGATAAAGATTCTTGAAAAGGTGACATCTCTGTCAGAGTCCCGCCCCAATTGTTAGCCAGATGCCAGAAGACTGTCTTCTATTTATGCTGTTGTTGACCTCTGACTTATCCAGACTACAGTATATAACAAAGAAAAGGTGTATAGGGAGTTATATACGGAGGATGCCCTGCTATTCCTATAAATTGCTACTTCTGCTCTTATTTATCGTCCTAGATCGTAAGGTAGTGTACCCTGACAGGTACATGGCATTTTGCCAGATTGGATAAGCTATATAACGGCGTACGGAGCTCGCGATATATAAAACTATGTCAAAAGCAGATGAGATAAACGAATAGCTCCACAGAATCCACAAATGCGAGCGGATGAGCTTGTTTCTACATAGAAACGTAAAGACTCCACCAGCCCCCACAAGGGATTTTTGGGACCTGTCATCAGCTTTTACATCATTGGCTATTATCAACAAGACAGTTGCTGATATCTGCTCTTGGCATGAATCCCTGCATTGGTACAACAGCTACCAGTATGTAGAAGTGATGTGACAGTTCACATCCATTCAAAGTGAGAAATTCTAAGTTTTCGATCGTTTATGTTCCTGTGGGTGATTCTTCGATTAACTTTCCAGAATCTAGGTAAGAAGCATCCTAGTTATCGAGGACATCTTCATGAACTTAAACTTGATATCTATATAACGATGCCTGTCACGCTGCAGCCAACTCTGGACGTAAGTTTGATACTGAGGAAAATGCCAGTATGGTAAAAGTGACCGAGAACAATCAATTTGCTGATGTCAAGTGTGAATTTACCTGCATCTGAACATCTGCTTGGTACTTCCTTCAAGACCAATGTCTTTGCGCTAGAGATGACCGATGATAACCGCCCGACATGTATGGCGTCAACATATGGTCGATATCGATCAAGAATTGTGTCCCTGCTTGTAGAAAAGTTTTAGTAGTGGGCAGAGGGAATTTCTCGCGAATTATGTATTTTACTGGGTATTTCTTTTCAATTCGGGATAGTCGGTGTTTGCTCGAATCCCGAACTATGGCGGGTGAGATATCCGACTTCTCGGGCGAGACGGGCTTATATCTTTCTTTTATTGTTGGTTTCTTTCACGCTTTTACGATATATACATTATTCTTGAAAGGTAGGCAATATATCGTAGGCATATTATTCATCTTAATTATCTCACATAATAGTACGCATTCTAATCATACAGTAAAAAGAAGGCCACAACTGTACATGCAGCCCCATTAAAAAATACTACAGTTCAAAAAGAGTAAAAAGGAAAAGATCTTTTCTCTCTCCCTCTCTCCAACATGGAAGCTAATCACGGCGTCTATGCTCACGCCCATTCTTGGGGCCAGCAACAGTACCCATCAAGACTGTCGTAGGTCAGTCCCTGTAAACCAAATCCCGGAAAGAGAGCAAAGAAAAACTTACTATCCCAATAGCGGAACGAGCTAGAGTAGTTACCCACAAAGTAACGGTGATGGTCATCATGCCAGTCAGCTCCACCCCAGAATGGGATGATCCGTCTCAAGCTCCAGGGGAAATCATATCCCGAGTGCGAGTCGATAGCCTGTACTTGGCGCAGACCCATCCATATCAACACAGTGATCAGATGCACGTTTTCTGTGAAGTAGCCGAGAACGAGAGGGGGTGCGATCGTGCCAAGACCGAGCAGGAGGGTTTCCCAGGGACTGGCGTATTCAGCTGTGAGACCGAAAGGAGTCGCGTATTGGTGATGGATACGGTGGATGGAGCGGTAGAGGGGGCCCCAGTGGAAGGCGCGGTGCAACCAGTAGTGGTAGGTATCTTCAACAATGAAGAAGAGAGCGAGTTGGGCGGCTACTGATTTGAGGTTTGGGAAGGGGGAGGTATATTTGAGGCCGCAGAGGTCCATCATGGGGTGGAAGAGGACAATGAGTGGCAGTTCGACGATGAAGTGGATGGCGAGGATATATTTCGTGCAGTTCCATTGGGTCGATACTGAGGGCGGTGCCTTATGATCTTGTATCCTCCATCGGTTGAAGGTACCAGGCATTGCGTCCGCGATGATCCATGGGAGGCAGCGGCCGAAGTAAATGAGTTCATGGGCAATGAACGTGATAATTCCTGCGCGGCTTAGCGGTTACCCTAGGGATAGTACAAACATATAGAGCTTACCCGTGGCCAGGATATCGTTGTTCCAGGAGGAGTAGTAAGCCTCCCAGAGGTTTTCCAAGCTGGATAAGTTGGGGTTTTGATGAGCTAGCTTGATGAGGTCCACATATGAAGCCATCTGGGGAAGGGCGGTAGAATTGAGGGACTCCATATTGCGATAATCCTGGACTGGTTGATTTAGAAGTTCCAATCACCGCTAAGATGATTTTCATGAATTATATAACCTTTTGCCATTGGGTTGGAAGGAAGCCAAGGCGAGTGGATATTCCGAATGGTCTGACGGGACACACCACTCGGATCCGCGGACAATTTAATCATATGATCAGGCAACCCTAATAAAAAAAATTTCCTAATTCTATAGTACCATTTCCCTAATCAAATCCAGAACAACTTTAGTAAATACATTATAGGTTCAGAACCCTCTCCCCCTGACACGAGTGGAATATACAATGTCTGACATCGACGATGCTACCTCAAAGTTGCAATGCCGCGACTCCCAGCGCCAACCCGACCGCAACGGAAAGTTGAACACCGACGTGCCCGGCCGCACTGTCCTCACCCGATCCAGTTCCTGAGGCAGAGGCAGCAGTGCCTGTGCTGGTGCCAGTCGAACCGCTGCTGCTGCTGCTGCCGCTTGATGTCGAGGCTCCCGTCTCAGCAGGACCGTCACAGTGCCAATGGTCGCCGTGAGGCTCACAACCAACCGACTCGGTTGGACTGGGAATAGTTGGAGTCGCGGTGGTATCGGCCTCATCCGTGTGGGAATGGGTGCCCGTAGTAGTGGCCTCTGCGGTGGTCGAGGCGGGGCCGTCGCAATGCCAGTGGTCGCCGTGCGGCTCGCAGCCTACAGATTCGGTTGGGCTAGGAACGGCTGGGGTGACAGTCTCTGATGTCGATGCTGGCCCCTCACAGTGCCTGGATCTACATTAGATATCGGTGCTTTGACATTCATGACGAGGGCAGAAACATACCAGTGGTCCCCGTGTGGCTCACACCCGACAGAGGCAGTGGGGGACGGACCCGGATCCTGGCTAGTACTGTCCTGGGCCAAGGTGACCGAGGCCAAGGCGAACAGAGCAAGGATTGAGAATCTCATAGTTCTTGCACTTATGTTGAGATTTAGTCCAAGCTTATGTGTGTGCTGGGTTTTTGAGTGACAGGATGAGAGGGAACAACAAGGGAAATCGCATTGGCTTTATACCTCCACCCCAGTAGCGGCCTTCCCAGGTAATGCCTGCTCTTTCCTTGTCTCGATCGTCTAGTCAGAATTAGCCGACACAAATCAACAGTCCACGGGCTGTATCAAAATCTAGCGTGCCAAGAGCAGTGGGATACTTGGCGTCTCCAAGGTTCTCATCGCGCTCGCCAGACCCTGGATCCGTTGGCATTGTCAACTGTTTGCGAATAAACCTGTGGCATATGAGAAATACCTGTATCTTGTCGTCTTGCGAACTCCACATGTGGGATTGCTTAGCCATCATAAGCTGGATTTCAAATGCACTGGCACGTCATGAATGCCACACAAAGATGGCATTCTGCAGATGAGTTAAGATGCCAAGTCCTTTTTTGCCCCATGCCAAGGATGCTTGAGAACCTTGGGAGTGACAAAGGAAGCAACCTTTTAACCTCGATACGAAACGATTTGTTCCTTCATTGCCGTGGCGGAGGGTCCCTTGCAATGGAAATTACACGACCCGCCATTAACAGCCAACGCCGGACTTGATTTGTTCATGAAGGGTACGCCGGCGAGTCATTAAACCGGAGTACACCCAGCAAGCGCGGCGAGGAAATTAAAAGAGGGTTCCTGTCTCTCATGACAAGAAAAGCTGTTCACCCAAACCTTCCCGAGATCGGTCCATCCCCGCCATATCTCTTCTAGGATATTTGACAGACACCCACTCCTAATATCGTCCGTCGAACAATGACTACCCTGGTAGAGTGAATGATGTGAAATGTAACCCAGCATAATATCGCACGGCAAGCCTTAACGCAGTATATCATATGTCCCGCTGGGGCTGTACTAGCTGCTAGCAGTGCCATTTTACCCAACTCGGTATGTGAGCCGATTAGATTGTTGTAACCTGTGATATGAATTTGTCGATCACTCCGCTCAGTATCGATGTCTAGCTAGTCGAACTGGCAGACAGTGACCTATCCACAAAGAGCCAACGCTGCATGGCTCGTGTATAAACCAAGATATGTCGAGGTCGCTCGGTTCTCTCGTATAAGTTTGCGCTGTGAGTAGGTTTCAGCTTGAGTTAGATGGCCTATGCTAGGCAATTCTTTTGCCCGTGGGATAGCAATACCACCGGCCCCAAAGCTCTGTGTGTCTTCAAGGAAGCAGTCGGGAAGCGTCGCGTGGTCTACGTTTCAGGAATCCTCTACATGCTGGCTATCTCTGGTGACGACATCAACGATCGTGAATAACGCAATAAGTTCCCAGAGAATTGTCGAAGAGCTGCTTAAGTTCATTCCAGCCAAGACCGCGCAGGTGCATATATTCGACTGTAGAACAAAAATGTCGTAGATTTACATACAACGGATCAAATGAAGCAACATTGTCTTGTTTCGACCATGATAAATAAACTTGATATGCCTTAGGACAACTGATATCTCTTCAATGATCGGTTTAGCCGTTATATTACCTTTTGCGGGTCCAGTATCTACGGTCCCCTCCTGACTTAGCTGAGATAGGTTGAGCGGGTCCTTTTAATGTACAAGAAACCTCATACTCTTGTTCAGATCTTTGCGAGGGGGAGATATAGTGGTGCAAACCGTGCCATAATATGTATCACGAAGGGATGGGTGGTAAATTCCAAGGCTGCCTCCGTGAGCTACCTAGGTAGCACCCATTATGCTTCCTGTAGCCGTCCCATATATATTCCTACATCTCCAGTTATTTGGGATTGCAAAACTCTCCCTCACCTCTTATCACTCTTCTTACGTCGCCGTTCTGTTACCCCACATCCTGTCCAACAGCGCCCCAGTTTCTCCACTCAATTCATCCCACGGGTTGACCCTGTATATGTGTGTTATCTGCGTTGCTGGGCGGGTCCCCTACCCTCCAAGCCCCACTACAGCTGATCTAACCTCAACAGTTTGCGTGAACGCCGATATGGTGATCACCATGTGGTTGGAAAGTCCCGAGGGCAGCCTTTGGTACTCGAGTGTGTTACAGTAGCGATTTATCTCACCACCACTCAGTACCATGAATCTGTCTATTTCATGTTCTTCCTCGGTCGGCTACTCCGGCAAGGGCCAATGCACAGCGCAGATCACCCCAAGAGACTCACGCGGCTGCCGACGGAATTAGTATATCCGGATGCTCAGAAGCGCGAATTACCTATGGAAAGCAGTACATATTCCTTCTAAACAGATATTTACTAGGAGTACTAGTACTGCAGAATTGTTGGTGCGCAGATAGGTTTAGTATTGTACCGGCTACATGGAATTCGTTGTCATAGAGGTAACCATCGCAACGTCCCGCGAATGCTACGTGTCCCACAGGACCCCGCAGGACAAGTATGCAAGTGTCATAATGTTTTTGACAGGGGTGCAGGAAAGATGGCGGCCCGAGTAATTGTTAACATTATAAGAACCATGTGTAACCGCTCCTTGCAGCCTCCTCTTTGCGTGTCGTGCGGTCGCAACCTCGCATCGCAGCAGCATTCTCAACCTAGGCCATGGAGATTGACGATTGGGAAACTACAGATGTAGTCATTTGTGGCTGTGGCCCAACAGGGGCCATGCTCTCGGCTTATTTGGGCCAGATGTCGGTTCCTAATGTGGTGCTGGAGCGAGAAGCTGATATCAACACCGATCCTCGTGGAATCGCCCTGGATGAGGACGGTATTCGCTTTCTCCAGGGGGTCGGTATATATGATTCGATCTTTAGTGAAATCGGCAGTTGCAAGTACCACCGCTGACTTTTCTTGTCCTATTCAATTGAGTTTCACATCATTGACTTGTGAAATAGGTATGGGTAGGTTCAACTTTATCGGCGGAACAGAGCCAGTCTTGAAGAAAAGCCCGTTTCTCGCTTTGAATTATAGCACGGTGAGTCTACTAAGCCATCGTTAATAGCAGGTGTTGATTATAGTAGACGGCTGGGGGAACAGGCCATATAGGCTTTATCTCTCACAAACAACCTATACTCGAAAAGAACTTACGAAAGGCCATGTCAGAAAGCGCATATTGCGTTCTGAGGTCAGAATCAACAGTGTATGAGTTGTGTGAAGATAACAATTGGACCTACTGCAAGTATCGAGATGCGCAAGGGACTGAACGGAGGATTCGCGCGCGATTTTTCGTCGGCGCAGATGGCAAGACGGGGTTCACACGGAAACAGTACCTGGAGCCAAAAGGTGTACATATGGAGAAGGTTACTGAGTATGTGGGACATGCAATCGCCGCTAATTACCTCACTGACAATATCATTAGGGAATTTTACGAGGAGACCTGGGTAGCGTTAAACTGGCAAATCACATTGCCCACACCTGAGTCACACCCAGAGTTTCCCTTGTGGACGTTGGGATATACTCCAGAACAAGTGTATGACCTTTTCTTTCCATATGAGTTCCGTTTTCTTTGCAATCCTAATCGCCCCGCCGTATGCGGGCGATTCGGTCTTCAATCAGACCGGCTGTGGAGATTCGAGTTTGTCGTTCGCCCAGGAGAGGACGGATACGAGATGGCGAAACCTGAATCGATAAGAAAGATTGTCTTTCCTTATGTGACACATCGGGGATGTCAATATAAGTAAGTCAGTCCAGGCCCCATACTTTGCCTCCTACTTATATCATAGTCTCCCACATGATGTACAATTTCCTGAAGACTGTATACATGTTATCCGATCCCGCCCGTTTACCTTTTCCGCACGCAGCTGCAATGCCTGGGCGAAGGACCGTGTTATCCTTTGTGGTGATGCTGCGCATGTGTTTCCTCCTTGTAAGCCCCCTGTCGGTCGATAGCATGGCGAAACTAACCTTTCCAGTCGGAGGACAAGGGATTGCGTCTGGATTTCGCGACGCTGCTACTCTAGCATGGCGACTAGCTCTGCTATGTCACCATCATCCAACCACCCCCAAATTCCACGAACAAGTCCTGGCTGCATGGTACCAGGAGCGAAAGCAACAACTGGAGAAGTCTCTGGCTACAACAATCGAGAACGGGAAGTTTGTGTGTGAAGCCAACTCCAGCAAAATCTTCATACGCGACTGGTATCTTTGGCTAGCTCAGTTAGTTCCCAGCTGGAAACGCCATCTCCAACTGGGGCGACGGAAGGACGGGATGATCCGATATGTACACTCTGACGGGATGCCTTTTATGCCGGAGCTTAACGGTGGTTTGAACCTGCCTCAAGTCTTCTGCAAGGATATGACGGAGAAGGTGCTTTTCACCGATGATGTCGTCTTCCATTCCAAGCAGAAGAGTATCTTCCGGCTATTCGTTTATTTACGCAATAATGGGGATCTAGCGCGCACTCGGACGGTTCTGGGGGAAGTAGAGGAGCTTTCACAAAGCGGATTCGCTGCCGACCAAGTTCCCTTTGTCATTGAGGATATCACAAAACGCGGAGTTGGCGATGACAAAAATGTGTTTCAGATCGCCACTGCTGAAGAGTTTGCCCGGTCACCGCTTTGTAAGGGCCGTCCCGAGCCTACCTATTATGAACCATTCCTCATTCGCACGGAGGTGCGCGCAAAGTACATCATCGTGCGTCCAGATCGAGTTGTGTTTGCAGCATGTGAGGATGAGCAAAGTTTGAAGACGGCTATTGGTTGTATGAAGGACATCTTGCGTTGGTAGTTCGTATTTATGAACTGCGTAGGTATGATTACGGCTTCTTTCACATCATACCCTAGATGCTATGGAGCCAAGCATGACCGTATCTTCAACTGTATACAGCCCTAATGTAGTGTTCTCCCATGAATTCCGTGCTTCGGTGTTTCAGCGCATGCGTGTTCGATTACGAGCCTTGGCGCTGGCTTCTTGTTCCTTCCAATCATATCAAAGTAGGATTGTGAGACATCATGACCAAGTTGTAGCATCGTCCTATCTCGGGCTTATCCAGGAGACATGAAACAGTGTCAGGCTGTAAGACCGAGTTCTGTCTAGACAAAATAGTGAAACATGCTACCAACATAGCCGTTACCTAGAAACACAGATTGGCTCCATCCTCATTCACCTCGTGTTCGTGTCACCCTGATGTTTAACCGATCGGTTACCTGCAGATTGGGAAATTGTGTCATAGCACTCTTGTTTAGCATTGGGCAAGGTGCCGTTCTTGGGAGAGTGTTCAGGCTGTGGTTCTCGACCTGAATACGATGTGTCTCAGCTGTGCATAAAGAGAAGATTTCGTAATTTGTGCAACATCAAACGGAGATTCACTCAAAGAGGTTCTCAAAGATGAGCACACAGCTGGCCTTTCCAGCTGGGCCCCGTTTCAGAGCAACCCCCTAATGTGGCAATGCCCCTGATAATAATGCCTGTAGATCGATCGGAAGTTCTCAGCGCTAGCCTCGTATCACCGGAATATTCCACGTAGCGTCATCGGCTCAACTTGCTTAGACCAACTATTAATTCCAGAAAGAGGTCTCGGGGTAGTGACCATCTATGCCGAAACATCCACAGTCTGCGAGGTACCGAGACAGGAATGACAGGTGAACGGATCATTGTGTGGGTGGTTCTTCTTCCCCATCTCATTTTGAAGTCTCTAACAGAAACTATTGGTAGTCTTTGTGTCGCTAATGCATGTGGGGTCATGAGTAGGGCCTTAGGTTGCCAGTAACCTAAGTACAGTGTCAGGCTACTGTTTGAATCCTTCGTATGTACATGGTTCTAGAATGAAATTTCTAGGACAGTGTCACCTTGAAAATGGTAGGATTAAAGATATTCTCCACGAGAACAGAATCAACCATCTTGCTGCAGGTACTAATGTCTTGAGAACGGCAAAAAAGTATATTTGTTGCTTGGTGTTACCGGCTACCATAACATACTATACGTTGACCAGACTATGGAGAACCCTAAAGGAGAGATGAGCGACCCTTGTCTTTATACCGCCGCAACCACTCGTGGTTTTATGGGTAGCGTTAAGTATACGACACACTCTATGCTTAACCACGATGAAGCTTGGGCAAACTCGGGACACATCGAGGGCAAACCAGAGTGTTGGCAAACTACATCTGGTGCTGGGCCTGAACAAAGTGAGGCACAGATTCCGACTATTCATACAGAGGCCGGGGACAGCTTTTCTTCTTCAACCGCGCCACACTCTGGCTACACGCATAACGTGGTACATTGCAACCTGAACACTACTGGGCCTTCTGACATGCAAAACTCTGCTTTACTGGGGTGAGTATTCATAATATGACCTAGATAGTTGTGGCGGGTATGCTCACACGCACTACAGATATCCCACACTTCCGTAATCACCTATGACCCATTCGGCTGAAGACATTGTCCACCATGTCGACAATGATGCTAGCGATAGTCCGTTTGGATTCGGACCATATTCATACGGCCTTCCCATGAATATGCTCACAAGACAACCCCCAACGTCAATTGGAGGTTTTCAATCGCCAACCTCCCAGGAGTTTCTCGACTTTCGACCAATGCTATACCGCCCGGATAAACTGTTAGAAACGTATGAGAAGGTGTCATGTACGTTGTTTACGCTGCACCGCAAGAGGACGATTCTCGGGGAATCTGCCGCATGCGTCTATACAATTGACGGCCTTTTCCAATGTGTTTCCACGCTGTGTGACCTATTGGAAACAACCGTCCCTGCTGCGAATGCTCTAATCGATAGAGCTGTCTACATCACAAACAACGGGATCTTTAAGCTAGGTCTTATGGGGATATCGATTGCCTTGGAAATATACGAAAACCTGCTGCACAACTACCAAAGAGTCAGCTGTCCAGAGGATTTCAGTGGTGAAAAGAAATCTCACGATATAGTTCAACTCAGCATCGCGTCCGATACTATGGAACTCGCAAACATTATTTTGCGATGCACGTTTATGGACATCCACTTGAGGCGGTTGCGAACCACTCTTGAAGCTGCCAACCTGGAGTTGAACCTTGACCCGAGCTTATCTGCCCAGATTGAGGAGACAAAGGCCATGTTGGATGCATTTCTATGTACACTCCAAAAGCATGTTATATATCCGTGACAGCAATGGTGGATGGAGCCTGTGGGCTCCAAGGTGCTGATAGGGATGTTGCCAAAAGCTTTGTCCCTCTATCATCTTCCTGTTTTCTGAAATCTGCTTCTTTTTACACCAACTCTACTTCGCTCCCCCATATCTCACTCGCTCAATCAAGTGGTCACTTCGTGCACTGCCACATGGTCGTAGGTAGCCTTGGATTCCAGAGGTCATAAAACCGCTAGCACACCATTGTGCACAATTATGATCAACGAAACAATAAAACAAAAACATACAACAGGAGGGATTCGCTGGTGGTCACCCACCCAACTACTAACCTCCCGGCGTGTGGCTTAAGTACGGCTGAGCGGACGGGAAGCCCTGTTCTCCACACCCTGTGGTCGTATGTATTAGAAAATTAATTTAAGAGGAATATATAGACAGTGCAATATCGACACTGCTGTAGCCTTGCGCAACCAGGACACGATGTTCTTGTCAATGGCTAGACTATTGCGCTGGGGTAAACCCGAAACGACACCTTCGCAGATTTCGTCGCTCTTCGGGTGCAACGACGTTACCCATGCGCCCGATGTGTCATTGATCATACTGTGGCCGAGGTAAAAAATCCAGAAGGTGATTTAGGCGCCACCATGGACCAGCTTGAAAATGCCCCTGAGCAACCAAATACGGAGTTTGGGCGACGTTGGGCAATAAGCCTTCATGGCCTTGACCTCTTCTTGTATGAGTACCACCAGTACATTGCCAAGAATCACCAGCTCATTCCAACGGGCCCACCTCAGCCGCGAAGAAACAAGTCCTGTGTATGAAGTGACGGTCTTACAATTCGTCGACTATTGATGGATACCCTTCGTCGCAAGACTCCCCACTGAACGTCCCCCAACTCGAAATGGTTCACGAAATGCAAGAGTTAGAATATGGTTTTCAGATGGTGGTGTTTGGGTTCGTTTGCATTGTCTCCTAAACTGTACTACTCATCGAATCCATACGCGAGACCAGAAAATACCCCATTGAAGAATATCGTATAATCGACAGGCCGTGGAGGAGGCGGGTCGTGGGTTCGGATGAGCCATAACTCGGGCCGGCGAGAGGATGGCTTGGACACTCGCAACCGAAAATCTGTTATTTTGCCAGCATACATCACGCTGCAAGCTTTCCGTTCTCGCTTTGCACGATAGAATTGGTGAATACCTCCTGTGTCAAGAGAAGTACAAGGTCTGCTCTCTTGACAACCAGAACAGTTAAACTCATCAGTGCCAGAAGGCACAGAAGACGACAGGTTTGTACATTCCAGATGTGACCAAACATAGCAAGCCGAGCAGTAAACCCCAGTAGCACCCGATTTAACTCGTTTGGCACAACACGGTATGGAGAGGGCGAAGCTTTGTACCTTGAGGCCGTGAATTTGGGGAATAGAAGAGTAATACCATTTTTCAACTAAATCAGATGCCTGAGCCATGGAGACCAAATCTCTTGGCATGGCTGTTGCAAGAATCATCTCGAAAAGCTCTGTGGGTATTGTGACGCCCCAAGACTCTCCGGGCTTCACTGAAACCCCCTTCCAGTGATTCGAAGTGAAGATATATGCCAATATCCTGAATCCCGGGGAGCAATGCAGTGCTGAAGTATTGGTAACAAGTGGAATACAGGCAGAAAAGAGTATGTTGTCAGTGCAAATCTCAAAAAGCACAATATGCCGTATGGAAATGGCTATACCATGAACAGGCCCTTTGTGGTTAGTACTGCGGGCAAAATCTTTTGCTTTTGTGGCCACAGAAGTGCCAATTTGGTCGGTGTTACAGCACACAATAAGATATTTATGGAACCAGAATATCTCGTTGACGGGCGCCTTCCATCGCGGAAGGGATGAAAATGTGATTGGTAGTTCCTCGGTATCCATATTCCTGACCTCAAGGTCCCATGCTGCGATACGTAAGAGTCCGATAGCAAGAGTAGACAGAAGAGAGAACGAGCGTTCCCAGGTAGAATTGTCGTCGAAATAAAACCGCCATGTGTAAACAAAGTCCGTAAACAGTTGGAATTGTAGCTCATTTAACCGTGTGGGGATGCTGGGCTTGATTCCGAATGCATTCAATAGATATTGAACATTGGTTTCATCACGTATGTCACTCAGCGAGTGATCATTGTACTTAGATAGCTCCCCTGCATCATCAAGGAGTGTGTCTATTGTACTGTGCGATGTTTCTCGGATGCTGGCCAATGCCACCTTTCGGGTGATCTGGTGTAGAGCTTGGTTCACCGTTTTCTACTCAGTGAGCATGAAATGACCAGCATCTTCATCAATGGTATAGACATAGTTGAGTTGAAAATGAAGGGGTGTCGGAAATGGGACACTGTCCCATTTGAAGTTCTCGGTTCTTGAAAGAATTTGCTGAAGAGTTCTCAGAGTTGTTGATGAGTCTGGAGATGTAGATTGTCCACGGGGAGGGTGAAACCAACGGTACCATTTCCCTACAATGGTATTAGCAGCGTTAGTCAGTGATGGGAAATCCATACCATCGACATGTAAGTTCCAAAGTCCCCTGGTCACCATCGCGTTGAGCGCTGACAGCGAGTCAAGCTAGGGGACTGGGAGAAAGAAGAGGAAAAAGAACGCACCTGCTGACACGCGGTCTCACTGGCTGACCATGTGACCCATTAGGCTTAAGGCCTCAACAATATTTATCATTATCACCCTGGCCTTGGTCGAGTGAAAACAAGGAGCATCACCTTGGAGCTGAGAAGCTCACCCATATAGCTCCACTCATCTTAACGCAAATCTATCGCAGGTTTCAAGTTAAGGGCTATTTGAGAATTGACAGCGTTTAGTATGTGGCTTAAGTACGCTTGAGCAGACAGGAAGCCCTGTTCTTCACACCTAATGTTTGTATGTACAGGACTTCTCGTTGCAAAGGACTGTATACTATACGCAGGCTGTGCACTATGAAGTTAGAGCAAGGACCACTCCGGTTGAAGAACAGTGATTTAAAGGGTGTTTGGGAGATATGTAAAGTTAGGCAGCTAACAGTGCTTGCAGATATAAATAGGTGTCGAAGGAACAAGCCCTCTGCAATTTAAGTCGGTTTTCATGAGAGTGAGTTACCATGTATGCATACTCTCCATGAAGTTTCTTAACTCTTATTCAAATTAATCATGATTCTAACAAGGCTTCTACCCCACATAGAAAGTGCAGGTCGTAACTGAGGATCTTGGCGTTTTTGACCGCGGCTGCTGGCTATTTTACCAAATCAAGAAGGTCGATCAACTCCGAAGTTTAGCCGTCACTTAGTGAACCTGTAACTAACCTCATTGTAAATACGACGTAGTTGCATCCACAATCCATTACTGAATCCTTCTGCATATACTATGCGCGGAAAATCAGACCGATACTCCTGTACAGGTAAATCAGAACTCAAAACGGCGTTGCTCGCCTGGCTATAGCTGAACTCGCAGCGAAAACCCTACCAGCTAAGCAGCCCCTTCCCTGCAAAAACTAACTTACGCGCGCCCACTACCGAAATGGCATCCATACCAAATAGCTTTGAATGGAGTGAAACCAAACCTGGTCGATGGGAGCGTGATATTGACGAGGCGGAGCAATTCTACACATCGCTGGCAAAAGCGTATGAAGGGACTGGAAGAACGTTCTTTGCCATGACAGGCTTCATTTCAGTTTATGTTCCTGCAGAGGACATTTCTCCAAGCCACCTGACCGAGAATCGAGCAGAAGAAGCTCTACGGAAGGCCTGGCTTCGACTACGGCACGATCATCCCACAATCGCATCGAGAGTGGAATACGACGTGTACGGGAAAAAGTGTAAAAAGATATATGAGACGTTCACTGAAGCGTCCTCTCAGGAGGATTGGTTGGAATCAACATTTCAAGTACTGTCAACCGGCGCATCAGGCCTTGACTGGTGCAATTCGGATCCGCCGGTCCCGGCATTGCCGACTTTATTTCTGATCAAAGAGCCACCCTCAGCTGATGGGGCCTTTCGGGCGGATGTTGTTCTTCGAGCTCATCATGACATTATTGATGGAATGGGTACATTGATGCTCTTTAACAATTTATTCGCACATGCCGCAGAAATCTATAAGTCGGGAGCGAGTTATACCTCTTCCTGTTTTGGTGGGGAATGGGTCAATTTGAGCCCGCCACTCCGCGTGGCTGCTGGGATACCTAAGGATTTAAGGCCAGATCAACAAGAGCGGCTACGAAATATCATTCATTCCAAGGAATCCATCAAGGAGGACGTTGAAATTGCTAGCCTCCCATTCCAGAGAGATCGGACGCAGCCAGGTAAACATCAGCGTGTCGCCACCACTCTATCTGTGGAGCAGACGAGGGAGTTGCTGGATAAGTGCCGGGAGGCTGGCCTCAGCATTACCCATGCGTACCATACAGCAATTGCGATCACTGTCCGGGACATGCAGGAGAGACGCGCAGATGAGCGCAAGGTTCGTTATATCAACTACAGCCTCATTAACGAGCGTGGTCACTGCAGGAATCCATATAGTACACGGGCCCACCCGGCGACGGCATACCACTCTGTATCAGGAAACTCCCTGATAATCGATTTGGACGTTGCATCGTCGCTGGACACGGCTGATGTGGCGTCTGCCGCAGCGAACGACAAAACAGAATTCTTGGCTATTGCCCAGGAAGTAAAAGACTTTTATGTCGGCATACGGGATGATAAGGAGCACATATTTCTTGTCCCGTCTTATTGGAAGATGGCTACCATTCCGTACCCCAGTGATGGAGCAACTCCGCCTGTCCCGGCACGCAACGAGAAACCGTCTGCTTCGATATCTAGCATGGGTGTCCTTGATAAAGTGATAAGCCCTACCCATAGGCCATTCCAGCTCGACAATCCATGGGTTACCGGAGAAGAGCTAGGGACGGGACTTGGTCTGTTCTTGGGCACTTGGAAGGACAAGTTGAGTTTGAGTGTGGCATATAACGATGCATGGCATGACAAGGACGAGGCAATGGCATTTTTGGAGAGATGCAACCAGACGACACTTGGAGCGCTGGGGGTACAAGTGTGAGCAGCATATGTAGCTGAATGTTGTTTATTAGAAAGGAAACGAATAGATAAGGATAGATATCGTCAATCGAACATACACCATCGGCAAGCTCTAGCTATCGCGCAATATGTGCCCCTTACCCCGAGAAAAAAAGGCTTTCTTTGAGATATTCACGTACCCATGCACATCAAGCTCGCGAGGCCTTACACCGAGACATGCTTCTCGCCTCTCGTCGTCAGTATCTTGGCAATGCAGATCTCTTCTGGGCCCCTTGCAGTCTGCAATACCACCCTTACATACAGAAAATGCTACTTGCGGTAAGATACCCAGCAAACCCCGCTTCTGCATGGCTACCCCAACTTTCCGCTGGACACTCTTCTTTGCATGCTGGATGACGCTCTAGAATATGTCCATGCCGCAGATATGAGTGAAGGATATAAATCCGTCTCTACGCCCTGATCCCCTCTTGGACCAGATGCTGGAAACATATATCCGGAGTCAAGAGCACTGAACTCCCCGTGCTGAAGATCCGTAAATATGCTCCCATGTTGGATTCTGCTCCTGGTAGTTGGAGTCATAGCCTCGGACTATGACTATATCATTGTTGGCGGAGGCACAAGTGGATTGGCTGTTGCCAACCGACTGGCTCAAGATCCAAAGACATCAGTTTTAGTTGTCGAAGCCGGACCATCCGTTTTTGATAATGTCAATGTGACTGACATCAGCAATCTTCCGTACACATATGACAGCCCCCTCGACTGGGCATACGAGACAACAGAACAGAGCTTCGGCAATCGCCGCCAGGTGATGCGCGCGGGGAAAGCACTTGGAGGCACAAGCGTTATGAATGGTACGTAAAGAGATTCCGAGCTTGCTTTAGACAAACAGAATTGAACGGTTCCTAGGAGCGGCCTACGTGCGAGCAGAAAAAGCGCAGATTGATGCCTTGCGTGAGATTGGAATCGAAGGCTGGGACTGGGACAGCCTGTTTCCTTACTTTACAAAAAGTGAAAATATGACGGCCCCTAACCAGACTCAAATCGAGGCCGGGGCGTCCATCTCTCCTGCTCTCCACGGCACTAGTGGGCCGGTGAACGTTGGATTCATGGATATACGGAAAGATGAAGGTGACTTGACAGCGAGTATGAATAACACGTTAGTGTCACTGGGCATTCCATGGAATCAGGACTTGAATTCCGGACATATGCGAGGCTTCGCCCTTCATCCTTATACCGTTGATGTGACGAACATCCGCAGTGATGCGGCTAGAGCATACTATTGGCCCTATGCAGAGAGACCGAATCTGCAGGTCGAACTGAATACGTTTGTTACCCGGATCGTATGGCAGAATAAGGAAGAGGATAGTGATATTAGTGCTCAAGGAGTCGAGATCATCACCCAGAATGGAGATAGACAACGGAAGAGTGTTGTTAATGGCCGAAAGGAAGTTATTCTCGCAGCGGGTGCGATGCGGACACCGGCAATTTTAGAGCTTTCTGGTGTTGGGAATCCTAGGTAAACATTTCTCTGCCCAATGTAATGCCGTGGACGTGCATAGGAGCTTTCTGACACCACCGACAGGATATTGGAAAAATATGGGATTCCTGTCGAGCTCAATCTGCCAAGTGTTGGCGAAAACCTCCAAGATCAACTTAACACCTCTATTGTCGTGTCCACCAAAACATCGGTAACGGGGACAAGAACGGTTGCTTTCGCCTCGGTGTCCGATATCTTCGGGCCATCAACGCAGTCAGTAGCTGACTCAGTTCGTTCACAACTTGAAGAATATGCCAATATTACCGCTAGTGGGAGCAATGGGGCTATGAGAAAAAAGGACCTGCTGAGAATGTTCGAGGTCCAGCACGACCTTGTGTTCGGCAAAGATGTCCCAGCTGCCGAATTTGTCTTCATATTGGAGGACACCAACACTATCCATACTGGCTACTGGGGCCTTCTCCCATTTGCACGGGGAAACGTTCACATTAGCTCCGCCGACCCCATGGAGCCACCGGTAGTAAACCCAAACTTCGGCCTTCTCGAGTGGGACGTCCAGATACAAATCGCTATGTCCAAATTTCTGCGTCGAATGTTCAAGAGTGGCGACTTCAACAGTCTGATCAGCAATGAAACTCTGCCTGGGTTTACGGACGTTCCACAGGATGCCTCGGACGAAGCCTGGAAGACATGGATAGGGGAACAATGTAAGTAGATCCGTCCCTCTTATTTTGATGTTTTAACCTCTGAACGTTATCGTTAGATACGCCAAACTATCATGTCATCGGAACGACATCTATGTTGCCCCGCTCTATGGGTGGAGTTGTCGACAGTCGATTGAGGGTCTACGGTACTAGTAATGTACGCGTAGTTGACTCCTCCATTCAACCTCTGCAGATTGGTGGCCATCCAACGGCTAATCTCTACGGTATTGCGGAACGTGCCTCTGACATCATCAAGGAGGATGCAGCAGCAGATACTGATATCTGAGTCAGTCGAGCATAGTCTAAGATATATGGTGGTAAATCATAGTTGTGTCCGTCCATATTAACCGAAGTCGAAGGCAATAGAGTCCTTTCCTCTATGCAGGGCGTAAACTATATTCATACATCTACTCCTTTTGAGATTCCACTGTGATTACACCTACATCTAGAATTTTCATTGGCACGAGACAGTGTAATTGTCAAAAGTGACCTGGGGCCCTCATTAGTTGTTGGAGGAAGGCAGACCCATAATTTTGACATGACTCTCATTTAGCTGAAGCCGTGACTGGACTCATGTTGTAGTGGTCCCTCTTCGGAATGCCCCAGCAGCCGGTCCAGAGCATGCACATACACAGTACATAACAACCCTTGCTGCATTTCTAGTCAAGGTTCCCCAACCAAAACGAAAAGGGGATATGTGTCAGACGATTCCGAAAACACACAAAATAGAGGTTGGTAGTTATCCATCCCGGCAAAGGCCAAGGCGATTTACTATGAACTTGCCAAATTAGGCAAAATTGCCAGCAGCCCAAAGTTCATCAAGCTTATGCCGTGCCTCAGATTCACCCCCGCATTCCTCCCCATATCGACCTTTCCCACTTATGCTACTTGAACAAATAGAGAGATGATCGACTGGCCCATCGTATGCACGGGTGTTTACCCGAAGTTTAGCCGGGTCACCTTCTACATACAATGATACCTTGTGTTCTATTGCATTGTGGATCTGGGCAAGGAATGAGACCACGCAATATACTGTGAACGAATCCGTATGCACGAACTAGACTCATCTTAGATCTCAAGGGAAGCATGACGTATCGGGGTCGCAGTTTATTCTACTGCGAGGGGAAAAGCATGGACCACATGGCTATATAAGAAGAATATAAAGGGCCCGATCGACAGGGACAATTTCCTGCCTGCAAAAAGGAGTCATTGAACTTTGAAGTTCTATTGAGCAAACATCGCCATCATGCGCAGCCAACTCGTGTACACAGCAGCATTTGCCATTTGTATAGGTTCTTCTGAAGCGGCATGGAATCACAACGACTACCTCTATAGCCCTACCCCGGACGAGATTCCCAACCGTGAGTGAGCACCGATGCACATACCCTCAGCGATATTTCCCCTGACATAAAACAGCGGATGCAACGGGCCTCCAGTGGGAAGATGCCTTTACACGGGCCTCGGATTTTGTCTCCCAGCTAACTACCGAAGAGAAAGTAAGTCTAGTCTCAGGAACGGAAGGGCCTTGTGTAGGGAATATTGCGCCCATCTACCGTCTCAACTTCACAGGGCTCTGTATCCAAAATGGCCCCTTAGCACTGGAGCAGGGCACTTACTCCTCTGTCTTCCCTGCGGGCATTACTATCACCGCAACCTGGGACAAGAATATTGCCTACGAAAGAGGGAGTCAGATGGCTGCCGAGTTCCGGGGCAAGGGGTCGCAGGTTCTTCTTGGGCCGGTTGCTGGTCCTCTTGGCCGGTCGGGCCTGGGTGGAAGAAACTGGGAAGGCTTCTCACCAGACCCCTATTTAACGGGAGAGCTGTTCACGGAGACCATCCTTGGTATCCAGGACACCGGTGTACAGGCATGCGCCAAGCACTTCATCGGTAATGAGCAAGAAACCCAACGGCAGCCCTCCCAGAATGAAGACGGTACCACGATTGAGAGTGTCTCTTCCAATATTGACGACCGTACTATGCACGAGCTCTATGTGTGGCCATTTCAACAAGCGGTCAGGGCCGGAGTGGCTACGGTAAGTTATGCATAGATGAGCGTGCGAAGTATATCTGACAGCGCGGCACCAGGTAATGTGCAGCTACAACCGCTTGAACCAAACCTACGGATGCCAGAACAGTAAGGTGCTGAATGGTATTCTCAAAGAGGAGCTTGGTTTCCAAGGGTACGTGATGTCAGACTGGGGTGCTACACACAGTGGTGCCTTTGCCATTAACGCTGGCGAGGACATGGATATGCCGGGCACTGCAAGCTTTGGGACTGTATTCTTCCACGAAAATCTGACCAAGTCTGTTGAAAATGGATCTGTTTCAATGGAACGCTTAGACGACATGTGCCGCAGAGTCATGACGCCATATTTCCACCTTAATCAGGACAAGGGTTTCCCAGCCCTGGACCCGGTCAACGTGGAGCTCAATGCAGTTCTCTTCTCTAGCCGTAAGTGATGACTTTCATCTAATGAAGGCGTAGAGTCTTATACTGAATAACAAGCAGCCAATGAGTACAAATACAATTACACCTATAGACCAGTCGCCAATGTTGACGTCCGCGGCAACCATGGAGAAGAGATCCGGAAGCAAGCTGCGGACGGTATCGTACTTCTGAAAAACGCCAACAACACACTTCCCCTGAAATCTCCGAAGCAGATCGCGGTTTTCGGCAATGACGCTGGAGACTTCACGAACGGCATGTTCGTTTTCTACTTCAACGGCGTTGGTAACTACGAATACGGCGTGCTTGCAGCAGGTGGAGGCTCTGGATCAGGCCTCTTCTCGTATATAGTCAGTCCTCTAGAGGCAATTAAGGAGCGCGCTAGCTTCCGAGGTCAGACTCTTGTGCAATACATACTGAACAACAGTGCTATTATTGAAGAGGATAGCCCATAGTAAGTGCAATTACCCCAGCCCATCTCCACCAACTGACGCTAAACGAAATGGAACCCAGCCTCAAAGCGCTACTCCCTTCGTCCCCGGACGTCTGCCTCGTATTCCTAAAAAGCTGGGCAACTGAAGGCGAAGACCGCACGTCGCTCCATTTGGACTGGAACGGCGACGAGGTTGCCGAGCAGATCGCGTCTACGTGCCCAAATACAGTGGTTGTGACCCACTCCAACGGTGTCAATATCCTGCCATGGGCGGACCATCCCAATGTAACTGCCATCCTGGCCGCCCACCTTCCAGGTCAAGAAGCCGGCAACAGCATCGTCGACGTGCTGTGAGGAGATGTCAACCCATCCGGCCATCTGCCCTACACAATCGCAAAAGCACAATCTGACTATTCTTTTGCTCCGATTCAAAATGCTACGGCTATCCAAAATACTAATGATCCAGGAGCCTGGCAATCTGATTTTAAGGAAGGGGTGCTGATTGATTACCGTGCGTATTCCTCCGATCTGTAGCTATTTCTGTGGCCAGTAACCATGAGCCCTCAGAACCTCACTAACAGGATACGCTGCAAGCTAATAGGACATTTCGATTACTATAACAAAACTGTACAATACGAATTTGGATACGGTCTTTCGTACACCACCTTTGCGATCGGAAGGAACATCTCCATCACTCCTCTATCCAACGGAGATTTATCGGCTCTACCGGCGGATGCAAAGGTCATCCCTGGAGGAAATCCCAATCTCTGGGAAGCGCTTTACAGAATATCCATTACCGTAAAAACAACCGGAGATGTTGCTGGGGCCGCTGTACCACAGCTTTACTTGAGCTTTCCTAAAGACACGACTCGGGCCGCTTCGCCAGTGAATGTTCTTCGGGGATTTGAGAAGGTGCACCTCCAGCCTGGAGAGTCTAGAAAAGTCACATTTGAGTTGACGAGAAGGGATATTAGTAACTGGGATGTTACAAGGCAGCAGTGGGTGATAGCAAGCGGGCTGATACAAGCGCACGTTGGGTTTTCGAGTAGGGACTTCCAGGCGACAGGCTCGTTCACTCCGATCCGCGGATATGAGTATTAAGTCGGTGGAATGGCCTGATGTTTGTTATGCTGCCTGTCAGTAAATACAAAATGCATGCTCAGTATATCTAGGCTACATACATAAAGCATAACTTGGGGTAGTATCCCCTTGTGATTCGAGTATATATGGTATTACCATGCTATATATAGAAGCGATGGATGAGCACGGATAGTATGTTGGGAGAAGATATCTGAAACGCCGCCCAGCCATACGTCGGAGAAATATAAATGAATTGGGTTGTTATTCACATGTAATGCCGACAAACACGATCATAAACCAGCCCCACAGAGAGAATGTGGGACATGAGCTGGTCAACAGTGGGACAAGTGGCTTCGACCCCAGAAATAAGGCAGGCCCCTCCGAGCCGACTACATGCGGGGAAATTCTTGGGGTAATTCTTATAAGCAGAAAGGAAGGTAGCACATCCGAGACTCAGTACAACGAATTCACAGAAGAAAAAAGTATACAGTATGATCGTGGTACGAGCCACAGCCCCCCAAGATGCCCCTGGACGGCCTTGCTAATCGCGCACGAAATGAGCAGAGCGAACGACCCACCCCGGCCCATGGGGCCTCAATTGCCGATATTACTGCCATAGGCCCGGAGCAGGAGTCCGTCGCATCGTGGAGGACGCGATGCAATATCGATACTGAGAAGCAGATCCGCCTGGTGAAACTGTCGCATATGCGATACCAGCATCCGGACTTGAATGAGATTACGGTGTTTTTACAGGACTTTGGGATGGAGGTGGTTGACAAGACGGCCGATCGGATTTGGTACCGAGGCTACGGGAGTGATCAATATGTGTATTACGCACAGAAGGGAGAAAAGAAGTTCTTAGGGGGCGCGTTCGAAGTGGAGTCGTTCCAGGACCTAGAGAAGTGAGTAATCTATCCTTGCTTCCTGTGGCAGTGAAAAGATTGCTAATCCCGTAGAGCTGCGCAACTGCCTGGTGCAGGGGAAATTCAAGAGCTGTCAGAGGCCCCCGGCGGAGGGCATCTGCTAACTCTACCTGATCCGGAGGGATTTCCTATCAACCTGATCTATGGCCAAGAGCCACGCCAGACTGGAGAATACCCGACGAGCATTATCGTGAATACGGAGTCTGAGAAACCACGGATTCGGAAGTTTCAGCGCTTTAACCCAGGTCCAGCTGCGGTTCATAAGGTGCGTTCTCTGCTATACCCATATGAATAAAGTATGCACTAATAGGCAATCCAGCTCGGACACTTCGGGCTCTGCGTTCAGAAGTTCGACGAATTGGTAAACTTCTATACGATGAACTTCAATATTGTGCCGAGTGATTTCCTGCACGTCGAGAAGGACGGTCAGAAGAAGAATGTCGCTCTCTTCGCACACATCGACCGTGGAACCGACTATGTCGATCATCATAGCTTCTTCTTGAGCACGAATCCAACCTCACATGTTCATCATTGCTCTTTTGAGGTCCATGATATTGACACGCAGCATCTCGGCCATCAATGGTTGAGTGAGAAAGGATATGAATCGGTTTGGGGCGTGGGGAGACACATCCTGGGCTCCCAAATTTTCGACTACTGGTGGGATACTACCGGTAATATGGTGGAACACTATGCAGATGGCGATTTGATTAATGAGGAGACTCCAATTGGTTATGGACCTGCGGGGGATGAGTCGTTGGCTGTTTGGGGTCCTGAGGTCCCGTCCTGGTTCTTGAACTAGTTCTACCGTTTCACCTAGGATCTGGAGGGGTGAATATACCAATTTATGTCCAATTTATTAAGTATACTTTTGATTATGTGGCGCAGTGGGGGCCTTATATCAGAGCCGTGTCGTTCCAAATAAGCAAGTTGTACAAGAGATACGAGATTTCCCAAACCTACTACTACCCTAGTCACTGGATAACAGACCTACTATATCTAGCAGATTCCGTCTACGTCATTTAGCAATATATAATCAGCAGAAGAATGAAGTGAGTTCAATCTTAATGTTTCATGATAAACATAACGAATAGCCTCTTCTATATAAAAACAACGCTATTTATTCATACCGCACCTTGTTGATTAACGTGCCAATGTTTTCAATTTCGACATTGATCTCATCACCATCCTTCAGCACAATTCTGGGTTCCCGAGTAAACCCAATTCCAGCCGGAGTTCCCGTCAGGAAAATTGTGCCCGCTTCCAGTGTTGTGCCCTGGGACAGATAGGAGATCTGTTTCTTAATCGAAAACAGCATTTCCTTGGTATGGCCATTCTGTAGGACGCTCCCATTATGAATCGCCTTAATGAACAACGTCTGCGGGTCCTTGATGACAGAGGACGAAACGAGGACGGGCCCTACGCTGGTTAGCGACAGGAACCTGCAGAGAAAGCCAAAGAGGGACAACGAGAGACAGAGGGAAACAAAGAACATACCAACAGGGCAACTCCCATCCAACCCCTTCGAAAACGACCACTGCGAAGTCGCAAATTGCAGCGTCCTTGCCGAAACGTCGTTAGACGCTGTATAACCCAGAACATAATCCAGCGCTTCCTCTTCAGGGATATCACGCCCTGTCTTTCCAATGACGACGCAGAGTTCTGCCTCGTAATCGCTCGTTTCATCCTGCGCACATTTGGGGATATTGATCGTCGCTGGGTACGGATTGGCTAGGGCAGTGCGAGGCTTGGTGAACATAACGGGGACTGTGGGGAGGGCCATGTTGGCTTCCTTGGCGTGGTCGAGGTAGTTCAGGCCCAGACAACGGATGTAACTGCATTGTTCCTTGGTGACTGGGGAGAGAAGCTACTTTGTTGTTAGTATAGCACTTCGACTATAGTCCGCTATCAGATCTGGTCTTTACCTGCTTAACGTGCATCACGGTCGTGGATACGCGCCCGTCAAAGATCGTACCATCGATAAGATACGCGGCGATTTCCACGCCATTGACGCTATCTTTGCCAATGTCGCGAGTGGTGTCGACTAATTGGCCCAGATGCTCTTGGCTATCTTCGACGGCGATAAATCGGATGAGGTGCGTCCAGGACATCTTGACGGCGCGAATAGTATTTGAGGAAATTGGGGTCGAGACAATTGAGGTGCCGCATTGGCTATTTATTGGGGGGATCGGGATGGGGTTCCGTGTTCCACCTCGGATATTGCGGGTGAAGCCTTATCGATGCGGGGACGGTGGGACTCGATGAACCTCCATATTTCCGTACATCCGATGGAGAAGGAACGAAAGGCGGAGAGAGGATGCACTCCCATTGTGTTGAGGGCTCCAACCATATCAGTCTTGTACCAAAGCATATCAGGCCATCCTCACTTGGATGCATCTTGTAGCAGAAACCACAGCGTTGGTGTTCTGTGTGATCTGGGGTAAAATATAGACTCAGTTAACATCCATTATAGCGTGAAGTTGTCGCTCTGCATCTACATGATGTCAAAGTATATCAGACGAAAAAACCGCAAGACTTCGGAGACAGAAATACGTCTGCTGAATATTCTCAGAAATAGAGAGATCTGCTTTTTTCTGTTAGATGCTGAGCTGTGTTGACCAATGCTCCCAGAACTGAGAAGTTCTGTACAGAGATTCCGGCACAAGAGCTAATAAATCAGGCACAGTGCTGTATGGGTTACAATATCGCCGTTGATACAGTAGCAGATAAATCCAGATGGCTATCAAACCATGACTCTCGGTGCCAAGAGGAACAATCTCCAACAATAGCCCGTCGGACTTGGCAATGCTCAAAGGACTCTGGATTTGAGGACCTTCGGGGCGTCGTGGATTCGAGATTTTTGGCCATGCGTCTCCCACAATTTCATTTTCATTTTTATCTTTTTCTTATGACACACGATGTGCATATGTAGGACAGAATGCGTCATATACTATTATTTTTGTATATTCTCTGTCTGGCATGGGCAAAGGATATCGTTCCCCAGTACGATGCCGAATTAGAAGTAACAACCTCCCACCCATTGGCGCAAGATCACTTAACTAACTTGTCGCAGAGGATAACACACGTCTTCGTGACAAATATCACCCTAGTTGACCCAGCTGAGTCACGTCAGCAAGAAGAATACGCGCGACTACAAAGTCGCCTTCAACGCCCCGCCACATCGGGGGATGCATCACATCCTCGACAGAGATTGCTCACAGCTCTCCATGCCTTCCATCGCTACAAAGAGCGCAATCTAGCCGAGACGAAGCGATGGCGGGATTGGTATAAGAAAATCACTAAGAGACAGCGCTCGGTATGCGCCCCGGTAAAACTTCTTGTTTTCGATACTAACGAGTAATTAGATCGTCGAATCCACGATTAAATATACCCGTAAACTGAATACAGTGGACCACCTTTTCGAGACAAACGAGAAATTAGCCCATGAGATTGTCAAGCATGGGATGCAATTCTATAACATTACCCAGACTGAATTGGACAAATTCATCAAGGAGAATGAGAAGCAGGGTGTCAATACCGACAAGACGAGTGTCTCGCAGGCGATGAAGCATTTCGTGCGCGATTGGGCCGATGAAGGGTACAACGAGAGACAGGACGCATTCCCGTGCATTTTGGGTACTCTTGCGAATATGTCGAGAAATCTCGAGCAACCGTTGCGGGTGTTACTACCCGGTGCAGGACTGGGACGGTTGGCAAATGAGGTTAATGCATTAAGTGGTGAGATTTGCTTCAGCTGCAACGGAAGATCATCGAGAGGTGCTAATCAAGGCAGGCTTCGAGGTAACCATGAACGAATGGTCCATGTACATGAACCTCGCGTATCGATATCTATCCAGCCTGTCCAGCGCCAACAGCAAGACTTTCTATCCGTACATCGACTGGTGGTCACACCAGGCGACAACTAGTGATCTGCAGCGTTCCGTCTCGTTTCCAGATACATTGGCTAGTCCCTCAGTCCTCCTGGTAGAAGGCGACTTTACTACGGTATTTGCAGAAGAGACGGGGAAGTATGATGTGATAGTCACGCTGTTCTTCATCGATACTGCGCGGAACTTGGTTTCTTACTTTGAGAATATCCATCGACTACTCCGCCCCGGGGGCCAGTGGATCAACCTGGGTCCGTTGCTATACGGGAGTGCGCCCTTTTTGCAGCTGTCGCTGGATGAGATTGTGGCTTTATCCGAGCACATTGGGTTTACGTTCCAGGAGACGGACGCATCTTGCGGGGATATAACAATCCCTGGGAAGACAGTTCGTGGTAAGGAAGTGGCCTACGCCCAGAATGGGAAGGGACTGAGCAAGAATGCATATCAGGCGCAGTTTTGGGTTGCTCGGAAAAATTGAATGTAGAGCCATTGGCCCAACTAGACGGAAATGCATGACTTGAGCAGGCCTCAAGAGTGAAAGTTTTGTTGTGGGGAAGATCCATTTCACGTCAGGAAATTTCCTGGAAACTACTGAACGATGGATGGGAGAACCCAACTACCGGACAGGGAATACAGAATTTCCTACACGTCACGCGAGTAATTATAAAAATGGGACCAAAGCTCCTCATCAGGATAATGCTCCAAGACGATGGGCCACATTTCGCATCTGATGCGATGACTGGCAAGGTAATCAGCCTGCACACGCAATGGTCGACACCTGGAAGAAGCCTCAAAGAACGTGGGAATCCCCTCAATGTCTTGTGCTTTCTTTGTTAGGCAGTTGTCAGCCGGAGCTGGCTGTTTCGGATATTCTGGTAGATTATTCGTGTGTATGTTAGACAAAGGCACCGAAATGATCAATGCAACGGAGACTTATCGACCCAACTAGGAGATCCCCGATCAAGCGATTCTCAGAACGTGACTCTACGTTGTGTTTGTATACTCCTGGTAATCCTTGATGAATGTAATTAAGTATTGACTGCGTCCCTCAGTGATTTGAACTGGCTATGGCGGGTATAGAGTGACGCCACCATGAGTTGTATAGAAACGCACTACAAAATTGTGAACTACACACTAAGACCGGCTGCAGGTATCTCTGGGCCTGTACGCGTTGCTGAACAAGGCGTCTCAACCCAGAAGACTGGGTGGCGTGACTGCGTCCATGGAATTGCCACAGGATAGGACATTTCCATACCTCACATTCGAGGGTTCAATTCTAAATTAAGCCGTGATGGGTTTGCGACATATGACTCATGGCTCATACCGTTTCAACATACTCTTGATAGGCTATTATGGTACTGACACCAGGTTATTCTTTTCAACTGTGGACATCTGGTTAGATCGATTCAGCTGAAAGTGCAAGTTCCGCTATAGTCAGGTATTTCGCTTGACAGCATGGCAAGTCCAATGCTGATGAAACTAAAATAGCAGAATATCATTTTTGGAATACGTATTCTACTTATATCACTCCTTGTAGTACATGTTAGGTCCATCGCAGTGTGCCGCCAATTCCAATTCGTGTATAGGCAAGGGGCAGTTTTCATGCAGGTAAAAGCCGGCCCATACATAAGGCAATCACCAGGCTTTGCGCTCCACTCCGCGGGCGAATTTGAGTCAACGAAGCCGAAGTTGCTTATAAGACCTCTTCCTCATCCGATATACGAGCCCAGTCAGCACTTCTTCTATTACCCTAGGATTTAGGACCTTGATATTTCAATATACATTCCACCGGAGTCATTCCTCGTCTCACGATGCCAACATCCGATACTATTGAGCTATGGAGGCATCTTGTTAAGGCCGTCAACCATCTTTTTGAGGCTGGTGAGTCTTTCCAAAAAGGCTACCGCAGCAATGAGAATCGCAAACGAAAATCTAGCCAACATGAGAAACCTAGTGACAAGACACACAGGTCCGAATATAGATCATACAAGCCTCATCTCAAAAGATCCTATCTGCTCGCCCCATATAAAATGCATCAAGTAAGATGCTACGATCGAAAGGAAGCAATGGACATAGCGCTCGGTGCACTGAAGGACAACACTGCATGCATTATAGATCGCAAGGAAGCATTTAGTAGGAAACCTACGTCTTTGGATAGTGGCTACGTTCTGGTTGAAGCCGAAGGGGATTATACTGATGGTAGAAATTGGAGATTGGTATGGGAGGATTTGATCAAGGAAGGCCGTGGACGTCGCAAATTTGAATTTCGCGAGTTACGATTTTATCGGGGGGTATATTAAGATTTTTACATGGGGAATATGGAGTTGTGAGCCTAGAAGGGGAGGAAGCCCAATGTCACTGAGGATCGTTGATGCCTGGGTCAACTTTTCCAATCCGCAGCCAGATATGCATATTGTGTTGTTTCCGTTTGAATGTATTTGTATACACCAGGTTTGTCAATGTGCGAGCTATGTGTCTACTTTATTTACTTTGCGAGTGTGCTTAACACCAGTTCTGTTTCTCTTGTCAAGGACTTGAGAAAGATAAGAAATCAATAGGGCCGCTAAAGAAAAGCAGGCAAAAAGGCACGGCCATATTCCTGTTAGATCGTTATTGTGTGCCCTAAGAACAAATTATATATAGGCATACTTTCTTTGAGAAATTGAAGTCGATGTAGCATCAATAGTTTATTACTTACTGGGTAGGATTTAAGTAATTAAGGACAAACAAATAGAAGATACCCATGCATGGTTGAACAAGAACAATCCCAGTACCTTTCTTATATAGCGTTACTCCTCAGAAAATCCTTTCTGTCCGGACTATCATCCCCGTTAGACAGGGCCTCTCTTGCGAAGGAAAAGGGAATACCCTTTCTTCTAGGCCACACCCCACTTCTGGAGCGTACATACCAAAGGCATTGTTCCTTCTGTTTAAAACCTCCGTCCATAGTTCTTACACAACTTTCACCATTCAATATCCCCATAATGCTGAACAGGATATTGGAAACACCACCCACAATCAAGCCATTCTATCAGTGAGACCAAGAGAACAGCCAAGCACGAAACACACCACTAAGTATCGCACGGGGTAAAGTAAGCGGCACCAATTCAACGATCTCCAAACCCCATAGACGGCATCTTCTAAGAAACCCAGACTGGGAACTATGGAAACACAAGCGAAGAATATTGGCAAATTCCATAGCCCTTAATCATACGTCCTGAATTCAATTGCCACAAGATGGAACCCTTGCCTGGCCCGCTTTCAAAAATATAATATGAAGGCGGAGACATGGGATTTGAATTAAAGCAAACACTTAGGGGGCCGGTGGACGGAGACTGGGGAGTATGACGGTAATGTCGAGAGAGGAATTAGATAGTTTTGTATTAACCCTAGTTGGGCTCAATCTACCTGCGGCTACATTAGCTGTGGAGGGCATTCCACGGATTCCTTGTCAGGTGGTTGGCAGGCAATATAACCGCACCTCAGTGACAAAGTAGAGCAGTTAATATAGAAAGATGCAGCTCGGTATACGGGTCAGTGTTTCATCTCTACCACTAAGCCTATGGCTACCACCCTATTAACCCAGATGCATGCTATACAAACCCGCGAGCCGTGTCTCACCAGCCAGTAACTCCGCTGGAGGCCCAACCTCCACCAGCGCTCCCCCGTCCAAAACCGCCACTCGATCGTAGGCCCCGATATGCGTCAACACATGCATCACTGCTAGAACGGTGCATTCCCGGAACTCCGAGTCAATAATACTCTGCACGAGGGCCGCTGTCTCACTATCCAGACTACGTCACACATTAGCCGAGTTTCGCTCGCTTATACCAGAACGGCCGTCATTTCACTCACCTACTCGTCGCCTCATCCAAAACAAGGATACCACAGTTCCGCCGCCGGACAATCGCCCGCGCAAAGCAGAACAGCTGTTGCTGCCCTGCCGATAAAGGCAAGGTATCCACAACCGTGTCCAGACCTCCTTGCGCATGCACCAGTTCCCACAACCCTACTCGGTGCAGCGCACCCACAAGTTCTTCCTCGGACTGTGCCTCGGAGTACAGATCAAGATTGAACCGTACACTGGCACCTTTCAGGAGAAACGGATCCTGGGGGACCACGTTGAGGCGGCGGCGGAATTCATCCGCCTCCTGCGCGGCGAATGCGCCAGCAGCAACGGCTACCCACCCCTCTACTAGGATCTGGCCCTCGAGCACCTCCACCATGCGGAGTAGGGCAAGAAGCAGCGATGTCTTGCCACTCCCTGATCGGCCACAGATAGCGAGGTGCTCCCCTGGTTGAACTGAGAGGGTGATGGCTTTCAGGGCTGCATCGGCGGCGGGAAGACTAAAACATCCGTGTCCAGTATATTAGCTGGTTCATTGTCATAAAACCGGGAGTGAAAGGAACGCCTACCTGGAGGAACCCGGGGCTCTAAACCCCGCCACCACGCCTTGAAACTCCACAGCTCCAGGCCGTGGCCACGGAGCTGTCGTTCTACCCGCCGGCTCTGCATCCTCGGCCTCCGTCTCCGTCACGAAGCGCCGCACGCGAGTCACGGCGCCGATACTCGATTCCAGTCGGGTCCACGTGCGGATCAACCGAGTCAGCGTCTCGCCCAGGCCGGTGAGAATGATCAGCGCGACACCCACGCCGCCGACGCGGATGTCCAGCTGGCGGTGCCAGGTTACCACAGTCCCGACAAGAATCACCACTAGGGCGGCCATCAGGACGTTGAGCGCGAAGGTTAGCCAGTGTTGGATGCAGCTCTGCAGGTAGGCTGGGCGCTGCGAATGGTCCGCCAGGCGGGCAGCGCGGCACTGGTAGTCATGGGTCCATCCAAAGGCGCGAATAGTGGTTGACCCGGACCGGTATGTTGACTCGGTGTTGGTGAAATGGTTGTATAGTGGGGCTTTAGCTTCGATCATCAGGAGACGCATCTGTCGGGAGGTTTGGAGGTAGAAGCGCTGTAGAACGTAGAGCAGGGCAAAGACGATCGGGACGGCGATCGCGAGGGACCGGGAGAAGATAGCGAGGATTATCACTTGGGCAAGGCAGGATATAGCCGCTTTTATGGTTGTCAGTGGTCTGGAAAAGAACACATTGTTGGGAGAGGGGAGAATACTTGAAGTATAGTTCAGGGCTGTCGATGGGAGGTCCATGTCTATGAGCTCCATGTCCTCGCTAAATCTAACGGGAGGCATGAGCACTTCTCACTTTCACTATATAGGGAAATGATGAGCAGGGGAATTACCTGTTGAGAAGTTCACCGTTATCGGTGCTTGCGAAGAAGCGAAATGGTGCCCTAGACGCCTCCCCAACGGTCAACATTTTTATCATACGTGCAATGCAGGAATCACAGAATCACATACTTGAGGGTAGCGGCGAGCAGATCGAAATGAATGCTGGTTGCTGAATTGCTCACGATTGAAACGAAAGCAACCCTGCCTGAAAATCAGCGACCACAAGTCTCCATAAGAAACTGAAAAGTACGCACCACGCAGCAAGGCAAGCAGCAAATGTCCCCAGAACCCCCATCATCGCATAGACGCCCATGTACATAGCTACCTTCTGGTTGGGATGTGTCTCATTGGCCTCTGACCACCAACTAACCCATATCACTTTCAGGCGGATTAGTTCATATTGCAAGCTGGGGGGTATTCATTTGACAAGCACCGCATCGTACACTCACCTGAGAACTCGGTAAAGAAGATCCATAGGACCATGAACAGAGCATAAAGCCCGACAGCCACATAGCCCGAGCTGGTGAGATAATACCTGTAAATTGACAGGTCTCCATTCTTTCGCCTTAGGTCGGTTGGTGGGCTGCTTGTCGGATCTACAATTAAGGCGGAATGCATATCGCCCTCCCTGGATGAGGCGGAAGTCAGGCCTGCTGTGGGCGAAACCTCTTTCGCAGTCAACGCATTGTCTCTATCAATTGACTCTTTGTCCCACGGGCTGGTCACGCAAAGACCAAGCTCTTTGACATAGCCTTCGTCTTTCTGAGCCAAAGAGGAAGGGCTCCCAGACTCTACAACTCTACCTTCTCTAAGGACGATGATCCTGTCCGCTAGCATCATGATTCTGGCTACATTACCCAGGCCATATCAGTACCAGAATTTGAAAGCAAAATAATAGAATGAGGGAGAATGACGTACGGTTATGAGTAGTCAACACAACGGTAGTGTTATCATTGCGCAAAAGCCCTGTGTCGCGTCCGAGCAGCCTGCGCGACACGCTTTGGGCCGTGTGCATGTCTATACCGCTAAATACATCATCCAGCAGCAAGGTGTTTCGCTTAGAATAGACGGCCCGTGCCAAAGCCTTTGTGATCAGTGCCTGGTTAGCAAAGCTACTAATAAGCACCAAGAAGACTTCATTTCCAGTCACTCACGATCCGCTGCTTCTGTCCCCCGCTCAACTTCACGCCATTGTTTCCTACGAGAGTGAAATCCCCTTTCTCTAGCTGCGCTAGATCGGTCTCAAGAGCACAGGCAGACAATACGCAACGATACCACTTCAAATCCCACGGCGACGACCCTCGGATATTCTCGCGGATGGTGTGGTTCTCTAGCCACGGGTGCTGGGCACAGTAGGCCATGGCCTCTCGTGCTCTGGGATCGACCTTGTCCCGCCTGGATAATCCAAGCTCTGACGGGATATCAACCAGCTCTCCGAGCAGAGCGTGTAAGAAACTGGATTTCCCGCTTCCGACTGGTCCAATGATCGCGGTTATACTGCCCCGCTTGATGGCAATTTGGAGGTCATGGAGGGCTGGGTCAGCGCTGGAGCGGTTCCAAGCAAATCCATGGCCGTCCAGGCGAAGGTCTGCGTGGAAGAGGGAATGAGAATGCGATTCGCGCTTAGAAAGCGTTCCCAGCGGTACAGACTCAAGTGTTGTCTCTTCCTCTGACGTTGAACAAGGTGTCCGGGAACAATCGCCACTATGAGGGACATTTCTCGTCTGGGAAGAGTAATTGCAATATTCTTGAATGCGATCGAAATTACCGACGCACTGGAATACCATTGGCATCGTTTGGATCAAAACGATCACCGGGGTCGTCAACAAAGAGATCAACGATAGGGAGGTAAAGGCCTGCGCCAGAAGAAGGGTTTGGCTTTTCCAAAACACAGCGATGATGGTGTATATGCCAAAGGTCACTACAGGTGCCAGGTTGATCGGCGTCAAGGCTGGGGTAGGGGAGTTAGTCCTAGAAAATACGGTGAGGATTACTTCATAGTCCAGGGACTTACACAGTAATAGCATGGCGACGAGAAGCTTTCGGTATGAGCGCGAGGTTTCGATTTCGCGACTGCGAAAACCTTGGATCACTGGCAGCAGGACTCCCGAAAGTCCCAACATCTTCACGGCTTTCATGTCGCTGAGCATCGCGGAGGTAACGCAAAGCCGTTCCTGGACCTTCTCTATCCATCTTCGTTGGGCGGTATTCATTGAAGCCGATAACTTTGAACTTCCCGCCACAAATACTAACACATCTCCGCATCAGAACAAGAAGTAGCATGTCTGTGAAAGAGAATTGGAGAAACTCACAAAGTACCAGGATCAAGGGGGCGATGCAGGCTACGGAGAGTTGACGACCGAGTAGCCAGCATGCAACCGCAATTTCAGCCAATGCGCCCCATGTTTCATGGAAGAGCTCCAGGCCATTCACTATGCGCTCCACATCCGTACCCATAAGAGAAACGGCGGTGATGTCGCCTGAATCGGCCACTCGTGTTTGGAGAGTGTGATGATAAATGGTTGTGATCAGGGCTCCTCGTACTCGCGTGACGAATCTAAAATTCTGATATTGGTAGATTGAATTAGAGGCCTGCTATCGTCAGCTATTTCATCGAATATGGCTATTAGTGAGGCATGCAGCTGCCTTCAGGATGGACTATCCCACTTACTGCTATCCCGAGATACACAAGTGCCCAGGCACCAATGAGTCCTCTGCTCACATCCGTACTGGGCTGTGACCCATCCATAACTTGTAGTGTGGTGTTGATTAGGAAGGGCTGTGTGAAGCTGAACGCGATCACGCAAAGACGTGGTATAATGGGAGATAGAAATGATGCTAGGTTAGCACGAAAGCATGCACGAAGCAGGCTGTGTGGCTCTTGGTGGTTGTCTGGATCGCCCAAAATATTAGTCCCTACCAGTATGGAGTGTGCTGTGCGTCTTACATCTCTTCCATGCTTCTATGAGCCTCTCACACATAGCCTGGCTTTCTAGTTTCGTATCAAGCGGTGGCAGATCGTCTAACGTGAGGACCTGCGCGTAGCCGGTTCGGAATGTGGAAGCCAGCCATGTAAAGCACGTCCGAGGCCAAATTCCGCTGTGCTGCTCTGGGGAACCAGCTTTCAGTATTTTTGCTTTTGTCTCCACCGACTCTAGTGCCAGTGATACCAGAAACAAAGAAAGAACGATGCTCATGGCGGTGGCTGCTCTCGAGTTGCCGACATTACGCGGTAGTAGCCAAAGTGTGCGTGTTCGAGCGGCATTGAGTAGAATTGAGACAGATAGAAACAGATTCAGGATGGTGGAGGGCCGTTGAGAGCGTTGATGGCTGACAAAGGATAGAACAACTGCTGCCAATGTCGCCAGAGCGCTGAGAACATCGGCTGCAATAGATGCTTCTGTTTTGACGGCTAAGCTTCGAACCCGAAAGGCAAGAAATACAAGTTGCGCTATGAATAACCCTGCCAGGGCCAACTGCACGGGCGGCTCCATGTAAGTTCGAACATATTCCTACAGAGGTGTGGAGGGATACGGACCAGTTTGCTGCGCAGGAGTGTAGTATTCAGGTGGTATAGGATAGGGTTCCGTAGTAGTCGAGCGGCATGCATGCAGGAAAGGAGGATAAAGAGACCGGCTGGCAAGCATGCGAAAAACACATCTTCAAATGCAATGGTAAAATCAAAGGATCGACAATCAGGGTTAACCCGCGGGCCAAAGGACCGGTCACTCCCTGTTGAACAGACCATTTCGTGGTGTGTGTGTTTGGGACCTTTACTGCTTTGAGTCGGTGACAGAGCAGGATAAATATGTCATGGGTGCGACACGTAATGATTGATGCCTACTAGTATAACATAGATCATGGCAAATAGTTCGAGGCTATGGTGACATTTTAGCGTCTTAAACGCATGCATGCCTGACCTTACCTGGGCCTTAGCGATAAATAACATAAATAACCCTGGTATAGTAGCAGCTTCTCATTTGTTGGACAGATTAAACCCTGTATTTACCGACCAGGGTGAAGGATGTCCGACGGAGAAACGATGAACCACTGTTCCGGTAGACTATAATATTGAGTATTATACTGCCCTTCCAAGGATTGGAGTGACCCAAGATTATCATTCTAACTTATATACCGCCCACAGTAGTAGGCTACTAGGTAATAGATAAGCTTTGAGGTTCTTAAGAAACCTTCCCACTTCCAAGCATCCTATCCTCTGGTTATCACTGCCGATCAAATGGTTTAATTCAATAATCTAGATATATCTAGGTTCTCAAAAAATAATATCTCCTTGAAAAAAAAAAAAAAAGAACAGGCTTCCCACAATATTTGTCTCTATAGTATACGGCTCCAGAATATCAAGAAAGTTAAAAGTGTAGGGACGACGTCAACCTCAGCAATATAACCCTAGATGGATGACTCTAAGAACACCATATTGCCTTTGCTCGGTCGAGCCCATAAAAGAAGGGGACATAGATTGGACTGTTATATTTAGTACAGAAAAAGCTAAATCAATAGCTTTATTTTGAAACCATATACCAAAAATAAGAGAATGGTTTTATAATACAAAAGCACTCCTATCTAAGTACTCAGTACATCGCAGTGGAAATACGTGAATATCTTGAGCTGTGGTATCTTAGCTACATGCTCATATGCAAGGCGATCACCTTCTCATCCCGCACCTTTAGCATACTTGACTCTTGTACCTTAGTGCTCCGTTCAGGTGTTCACCAGACAATCTATACCCTATCCTATTTCTACTCATCATCGTTGTCATACTTCAGGGGCATGGCGCAGTCATTAGGACGGCCTCAGACTGTGCTGGATGTCAATAATTACAGTGATACTTTACGTTTGCCAGAGATCGCAGAATTCCTAGATACGTCCACTAAAATGTAAACGATCTATTATACAAGAAAATCTAAGGAGTGACTAAAGTGAGTTCAAAATCAATACCACATATCTATCCAGCCAATCTACAGCACAATCATAAACAATGCAGCGCATACAGCAGTCACAATGTACGCGCCCAGCTGAACAGATCCAACCACCACCATCGTGCTACCGGTAGTAGGAGCCAAACCCGACGAGGTGGAAGAAGAGGCAGACGAGCCCGAGGTACCAGTGGGCTGAGAAGTGACCGTGCCCGTACCGGCAGTGCCAGCTTGGCTCATCAAGCTGGAGCAAGTGCCGGTCGCCTTAGTGGTCGAGGTCACCGTAGCCGAGCCACCGAAGCTACAGGCCGATGCGGCAGAGTTCTGCTCGGTGTAGTACTTGTTGAGGAGGAAGTTGAGCTGCTGCTTGGGGTTGCACATGCCGTAGGCGCCGTAGACTCCGGTGGTGCCGTTGCTGGACACTCCCGTGCATGTAGTGTACCCGCAGATCAGAGAGAACAGGTCGGCATAGTCGTCACTCGAAACGGAGTCCTTCACGACACAAGCGGCGGCGTCAGACATGCAGTCACACAGGTTCTCATTCGGCGTAGGAGGCAAGGGGGTCTGGGTGGCTCTCCAGGCACTGTTGACGGCGGGGCAGCTCTGCAGAGCAGTGTTGGTAGGGGTATAAGAAGCCTTGTTCACACCAGAGGGGGTGGCGCTGGCGATGTGCTTCGAGTAGGAGGTGAAGTCGGCAAGCTTGCTGACGCTGGTGCTGTCAACGATGGAGACAAGACCTATACAGATGGGAATTAGCGACCCTGAGGCTGGCTCTGATTGGAAAAACTTACCGTAATCGTTGGTTTCTTGGAAGTACATGTAAACAATACCACCGGACCACACGCCATTCATCTTGTCACCAAACAGGGCATCAACCTCGGTGAACTGACGAGGCTGGACCTCGTTACACCCGTACTCAGCGAAGAAGACGGGGACAGAGTAGTTAGCGAACTCTTCCGTGCGGTCCTTGTAGCCAGAGGCTGAGTACGACGAGTCACCGCACCAGGAGTAGATGTTATAACCCCAGAAGTCGATGCTGTCTTCTTCGCTATCACAGTTGAAATAGTTGGCCATGTGCACACGGATAGCAGAGTCATCGTTAGTCGCGTATCCAACACCCATGGTGCGGTAACCCTTCTGCTTGATATAGGATTTCATGTCGCGAACAGCCGCCTTGACAAACGCGCTAGCATCCGTCGTGGCAACGGTGTTAGAGACTTCATTACCCGCAAAGAAACCTAGGGTGTTATTATACTGAGCCATCTCATCGATGACCGCTGTGTAGCGAGAGTACAGAGTAGTTTCCCAGGTGGGGTCGCTCCGGTCGATGGACTGGGTGGGATCAGACAGGTCTGAGACCACGTAGATGCCTGCATCGGCCAGCAACTGCATGCATACGGTGTGGTTGGCAGTCGGGTCGATGGCATAGACCCGAATGGTGTTTGTGTTTAGCTCCTGCATGATGGGCACGTCACGCTTGCAAGCTGTAGCATCGGCCAAGGGGTCCTTGTAGCTGCTAGAGCCATTGGTGGTACCGTTGCTGGAGTAGTCCTCTGCGAGGGTTAGTAGCCGGTAGTGAAAAGAAGACTTCTGAGAGACCTACGTTGATAGGCAACACCACGAATGTAGCTGACCTGATTAGCTGAGGATATGAGATGCGCCCAGGGTGAAGCTCAGAGACTTACAACTGGGTATTGTTACTAGAGTAGAAGAATTTGGAACCCTTGATGACGATGGGGTCGACATCGGCCACAGCGGTACCCAACAGGGCCGCTCCCACTGCCCAGGAAAGCTTCATCGTAGTGTAGAACCGGAAAATACTTTGTATTGGGACGAGTATTGAAAAAACAATGGTATATAACGAACGTCAGGAAGGTATAGGTACGAAAAGAGAGACTGGCAACAACAACGCTCCAAACAGTCAGGGAAAAAAAAAGGACACCTGCCCCTGTTAAATTCTCGCCGCAGACTCTGCAATCTAGTATTAATAGCAACGTCTCATTATGCTTTATCCGCCGTCGACAAACCAGGAGGACCGCCCCGCTATACAGCATCGAACGCGTCAGCCACGGCGTCGCTTGAATTGCACAGTTCGGTCTATACCTCAAAAGCTTAGCTCGCCATTAACGTCGTGGACATGGAGCACCGGATCTTCACCGTCGCTCTTAGATTGGACAGAACGCCGGAGTGGGACGACGATGCTAACTGCCGGCGCATCACTAGATAGTGCGGATGTGGATGCCGAGTGGGTTGGCCTTATCTCCGAGCAGAGAATTTAAATTCTTACCCGTCGGATTTCATGCCCAGTGGAGATCGTTCGAATTCCAAAACACGCATTCTATTGAGCTTCGACGGCTGCCTAGAATAATTTAATTAGTCTCTAATACTTTAAGTCGACGAGAACAAGACCCATTGGTCCAATGTTTCAGATCCTCAGTCACCAGAAAGAATATAGCATTCACACGGACCCAGTCATATAATACATACTCAGACAATCGCTCAATCAACCATTCCCATCAGATCATAAAAAACTAAGAATAAAAAGAAACCAAGCAATTCCCAAAAGAACACCAGACCCCAGCCTTAATTTCACCTATCACATGGCATTCTCTCGTCGACGAGCTTCAATGGCCGCCTCAAAGCCACGGATGGTATCGAGCGGTCGTTCCATTCGGGGGCGAGTCGGGTTGGAGCGATCCGGGTCGGCTAGGGAGGTTAGCCATGGAACAAGGATTAGGGTTGCTGCGCACACTTACTGATCACCTCGCCCTTTGCATCGCGATGCTGCATGGATCGCAACGAGAATAAGGATGTACCACCGATGGCATTCGCAACTAACTCAGGTTAACCGCGAGTTCGCCACGACACATTGAGATCAGTACTGGACTTACTCGGCTGCTCTTCTCTCAGGGCGGCATTGGGGTCGGCTTTACTTGAAAGGGATTTCTTGTAGCTGTGGGAGGAAACCGATTCGGTCCGTTGACTTGCAGCGCTGGATGCCATTGTGTGTGACTTGAGAAAGTATTCAATGGAAATTTTTTTTTAACTCGTGGGGTAGGTAAGTGAAAGGTATGCAGGTATGTTCAAACTTATATAGATGAATCAATGGCCCGTGTGGGGATTCAGGAAGTTATCGGATGTAATCTTGAGTCGCAGCCAAGTGTCTTCACTGACAGATCAAAATCTAATGATGGATTGAGTTCCGTCTAGACCCCTGACGGGCCTTTGGGTCGCTTAAATCGTCCGTGACCTGGGGTTGCTTTTTTTTTTCTCTCTTTTTTTCTTTATTTGGCATATTTGGGTTTTTTTAGAACCGAAATCACGCAACGGCCACCAATGGCGATCGTTGCGAAAGTGCGCTGGTTTTTGTGACACTGTGACGCGGCCGTATCGGGTCATTCATGACGTTTAGTCCCCCATTTGTTCCGTCCATCTCGGTGTTCATTGGCTTTCAGCAAGCCAAGCTTTGACTAATGCAGCAAACCCAAGGCTTGGCCCTGACTAATAGCCAATCACAGTGAAAACCCCCTCATTCAGAAAAATGGGCCACGCAAGCACGGGGCCATGGCTGTGGCGATGCGCTCACACTTGTTAGGCTTCCACATTCACTATTGGTCGTTGGTGTTCCGTACCTGGCAAACAGACCATTCTGGACTTCAGGGATGATCGCAGGATTCTCCCGTCTTCCAGTGATTGTCTCTCCGTTTCCTTTACTAATGCCGTGATTTCCAGGGCAGGCTTACCACATCCGGAACATTACTTCGTCAACCATTACATCAATGATCAACGGGTACCTGACATGGAACCTTCACGTAAATCCTATACATAGTACCAATGATACTACTGCGCAGTATGTACACAGTATGGAGAAACCTGTCAGGGGAGCCGAGTCGAATCCATTCCTGGGACGCTGGGGGCAACCCTCTGTGTAACATGTGATCCTCCTTGCACCTGACTGGCCCGCAAGCATCCGCTTCCGGCATCCTCGGCCTCCGTTCACCAAGAGTCCAAGATCTTTGTCTTAGTCACATCCTGAGGAACCTCCGAAACTCTCGAAGACATGCATATTCATTGCACTATTTCACTATGCACATGATGGCACCATCGCTACCACAATTGGCATCTGCCTCGGTGGATAATACTTGAGTCATCCGCCCGAACGAACAAACCATCTAAAATGATCGCTTCTTTTGCCAGGCTGGGTAAGATCCACTATTTGAACCTAACAGTTGGCAGGCCTGCTCTAATGAGACTTGGCCACGTGAGACTGTACTCGATAAACTCATAATCCGATGTTCATGTACAAGTGGATCCACCACAGCCACATCGATCGTGATATACTATCCCCCGGCTCGCCCGAGCCATCCTTCTACCCCCGAGCTCGTCTGCTATTTTTGACATCTGGGAAAATTCCTCCTCCGCGTTGCTGAGTAGAGAAAAATAGGCCGCACTTGAGGCAGGATCGACATATCAATCACTATTCCGCGACTGAATCTACAAGGTACTCCTCGTATACACCCGACACAACATGGGAGAAACCAGAAACACTCGATAAGCTGAACTCGACGAAAGAGCTTGGAGTCACTCTCAAAATCTGCCGTTATCTTGTCAATGACTCTATCCTGTCCGTGAAAGAAACGCCTTGGCACCTCATGAGGGATGAAGCCGATTACGCGTTGCTCTGATATTATAAAGGGACTCTGGGGCGTCAATCAACACCACAGTTGTACCGCAAGTCCCTGTCAGACACGTCCAGCCGGGAAATGAGGAGCAGTCGACCATCGATACCCACCGACACCTCCGGACGAGTTGCTCTGTAGACCATCTTCCTTGTCTATTCTGGATTATTGAAGACATGCTGCCGGCTTTAGGACGCTGATTGGCGAAGAAATCTGACATCTGAGGCTCACCATTGTGACTATAATAAGTGCGCGAACGTCCGCCTTCAGTCAGCACGCGGGAATACCCGACTTCGTATATTACTTGCGCAATACTTCGTAAACCAATATCCGATACGTTAGATGATGGCGCTACAGGTATAACAACCTTACGTCCTGGCTCTCTGGTTTACAAAGCCCCGTACCACACGAGAAACGGTTTATTAACCTCCAGGTGCTGAGACCAAGTTGTGAAGTCTATATATATAGCCGCAAGAGTGTACCTCCACTTGTTACCATTTATTCCTGTCAATGCTGAAGTATTATTGTCCACGTGAACGCATCACAAGCAGAATATCTTCCCTCAACCTTTCAAGAACCACTCCTTCACTCTAACATAGACATAGCTACATGGTTTCTTTGATGGATTCCCGAATTTTAGCCGATTTGACGTCATGACCAACACGGCGAGTTGTTCATCTTGGCACTGGGCACGTGCGGGGAGACTTTAGTCCCTACCATGATAGACGATACATATCGCTCTTCGTCGGAATTAATTGCGAACTGATCGTTTCGTCTCACGGTCGGATCCATAACCCAACAATATGGCAACAATGGACGGCCCCGTTTCCAACAATTGGGAAGAACAAGCGTCGTTTGAGATGTCAGCACAGGAGCCACTCCAGGTATTTCATCAAGCGGAGCGTTGGAACCATCCCCGGTCCAACATACTCAAAACATTGGCCACTTACTGGAGCTTTCTGGTTATGGGCATGAATGACGCTGCGTATGGCGTGAGCGATTCCATAACTTTCAATCTAAGTGATCCCTGCTAACATTAACAGCCGTTGATACCTTACGTCAGTCTCCTCGCATACCAGGTGGACGTATTTGAGTAATGCTAAAAACATACAGCTGGAATCTCACTACAATTTATCCTACACGGTTGTGTCACTTGTGTTCTTCTCACCACTGGGTGGATATACTCTGGCTGCTTGCCTAAACAATAGAATTCACGCCAAGCTTGGCCGTCGTGGCATTGCATGGTTGGCTCCTGGATGCCATCTCATTGCGTATATAATCAACTGTCTGCATCCTCCATATCCAGTCTTGGTTGTGTCATTCATCTTCGCGGGCTTCGGTAATGGGCTTGGCGATGCCGCGTGGAATGCGTGGCTTGGGAACATGGTCAATGCAAACCAGCTTCTTGGACTACTACACGGTTTCTACGGTGCTGGCGGAGTATTAAGTCCTTTGATAGCCACTTCCTTGATTACCAAAGCCCATCTGGAATGGTACTACTTCTATTATATCATGGTATGCTAAGATCTAACCAACGGCCAGTCGAGCGCTAATATTCATAGATTGGCTGCGCGGCGCTTGAATTTGCCTTCCTACTCACCGTTTTCTGGGATTCTCCCGGTCCCTCTGTCGAGGACGCTCGTGCCAATGAAAGCAAGGGTGGTCTCCGTCAAGTTCTCTTTAAGAAGACGTATGCCCGGGTAACTTGGCTGTGTGCCTTTTTCCTTCTCGGCTATGTAGGAATTGAAGTTGCACTCGGCGGATGGATCGTAACATTCATGATGCAAATCCGCAACGGAGAAGCATTTGCCAGCGGTATGACGGCTACTGGATTTTGGCTAGGACTAACCGTAGGCCGGGTAGTACTGGGCTTCGTGACGCCGCGAATAGGGGAGAAGGTCTCTATCGTAGTACGTTATATGTCTTACCGACGGTCACATCGTAGCTAACCAAATTGATAGGTATACTCCCTACTCGCTATTGGGCTGGGACTAGTTCTCTGGCTCGTGCCTAATTTTTATGCTTCGGCGGTGGCAGTCGCCCTGCAAGGCTTTTTTCTCGGCCCATTTTTCCCTGCTGTCGTGGTCGTAGCTACCAAGCTTCTCCCCAAGTCGCAGCATGTTAGTGCCATTGGGTTTGCGGCTGCTTTTGGTGGAGGAGGTGCAGCTGTCCTACCGTTCGTTGTCGGTGCCATTGCACAGGCACGGGGAGTCGAGGTTCTCCAGCCTTTCATCCTTGGCTTGTCCGGTGGTATCCTCTTGCTGTGGTTGGGACTGCCGCGGATGCCAAAGAAGGGAGAGGAAAGCCGTCCCAGTGCTTGACTATTGCCTGTCTGGGACACTAACACCTGGCCACGGAGATTCCCGATGCAGCCGGAGCTAGTGTACTTATGCAGTCCAACCGGGTAAATGGGCCAGTCAGTTAACTATCGTTTGCATGCCATGTCACATATCGAGAAAGTCTCCACAATCACTCGATCTCCCGGATCGATTCAGTTTCATTGGCACATCTTGGCATTCACCCTGTAGTCCCGATGCTCCTGTACCTCCGACTGCCATTACGCGCATCTCTATATCGACTGCAAGTGACCCGATTTTAGGTCCAAGATGGCTACTCGGTAGATTGACAGTAATTGACACGTTCTACCTCTCAACTAAGCCAATCCTTACCGCGACGGTGACAAGGCCTGCAGGGAAGTCTTGTCTTGCTCTCGCAAAACATCATTGGCCATGGAAATACCCCTTTGCTCGGCAACAAAAGTACGTGGAGCGCCACCCTCACAAATCGGACTCTGCCACCTTCTGCACTCCGAGTCACGTTCGGCAATCTTTCTGCTGTCACCCGCTTCGGCGACGTCTGTATAACCTCACTGGTGTAGGTCCTGGGTCCCGTTCCCATTGGCCGGGTTAATGTAAATACGAGGCAGCCCTTGTTGACTATGGTAAATATACTAATTTGGGGCAGGTTTCTTTGGTCTTGATGTGTTGTGTTTTGGTAGGGTCCTAATACGTAGGGGCTCGATGACGCTGCCGAGAATATATACATTCCGGTCGCTTGCCGACGATGAACCTACAAAAAGGAACTGCAATCTCTTACTTTGTATAGGTTCTTATTTTCCTATTCTTTTATAAATTGATATTGACTGCAAAGGCACACACTATATCATTTAAACAGAGCTGCCGGATATTCGTGTACTTTCTCCGGGCTGAAATTGCCAAGGAAATGTTGCGGCAGTGCGTCCAAACCATCCAACGCCACGTATGCAAGGATGTCTGATTGTGCAATGAGCTGTTGCACATATAACCATATGTACATGTAGCTGATTTCCATTCAGACCAACTTCACATACAATGCATAATTTGGTGTTCACGCTCGGTGATGATAAACGCGATTTAGTTGGGGACTTATGGCTTGGCTGACGCGACTGAGACACGGAATACCACTCCCGGGTATCGGTTCGACATCCGAGATTTTGTCCTGCATTCCAGGTTGTGGAGACAACGTGGCATCGTGCGCATCCATGTTGAGTTGAACGAAAACAAAGGAGAGCCAGACTGACAGGCCCGATTGACTCGACTCGGTGAGAAAAAAAAGAAGGTTGATCCTGGTCGAAATGTGACCATGCACACAGCCGGCGACATGGTTCAAATGACGAGTTACGAGTCTGTCATGTCTTGAGCGCAAGAGTCCCCATGGACAATGCAAGCTGATCAAGCCAATCGAGGGACTTCGCCTCGTTCGTGCTAGTGCACTCATTACTTACGGGCAATGCCTCCTCTGGAGCTGGTCGATACGTGACCGTGTTCCAGGGACTCTGAGGGGGATTCTTCTCGGAACCCAGCATCTGTTTTTTGCTAGCAGCAAGAAGCACGAGAAGCTGGTCAAGGAGTGCCAACGCCGAGTCCATACCCCGCAACGAACTGTGCGCAATGGTGTGCACAAACTGTTGTGGGATAGAGCCGTCCAGAGGATTTCTCTTCTGCACTGCCTGACTGTTCATCTGCAGGTTCAACAGCGCAGCCAGTCGTCGCTGCAAAACCCGCAGGAGGTCTCGGCTGCAACGAATCTCCGCGGCGAGGGATTCATTCGACGACTCGGACGCTTTCCCAGTAATCATCTCACGTGTGCGTACCAGGTATCCCGGACAGAGTAAGACCTCCCCGAACGCCTTCTCCGTGATTTCGCTCAGTTGGCTACCCTTCCCGTCGCGTTCCTCCGCTCGTAACGCCTCCTGATTCATCGTCCGCCACTCCTCGCCTTCCAGAAAGCATGGCTCCTGGCAAGTGAAGGCCTCTGCTACTAAAAACGCGCGGTACGTGGTGTACATGGTACGCCCGAAGCCTGAGCGATGGGCGTCCGGACCACGCAACCGGAACAACGCCCCGATTCCGCGCGAATGCACCAACCATGAATTCGGCCCTATCCCATCCAGGACCTCGTATACGCCGAGTGCTATCGCTGCAGCCAGAGTGCTATCTGATTTGACCCGAGCGGGATCTCGAATAGATTGGGCTAGACACCGCAACGCCCTGTTATACATGTGTCGACTCGCCTGAAGCTGGTCATGGTCGTGATGTCGTCGCGCCAAAAACCAGGTGTTCAGACAGCGGATCCCCCAATTAACTGCGCTCGGCTGCGTGGCAGAATGATGTCGGACAAAGTCGACCCAGGTGAGATCGACGCGGGCAGAAAACGCGGCGTACAAGTTCGGGAAGGTGGCGTAGACGACATCCGAGAAGACCTCTTTCAGCTGTGTATCCAGAGCGTTCGCCGTCAAGGTCGGGGCGAAGCATTGGTCGATTGGAGGCCGGGCGACCACGAGTGCCAGTTGCTGGTGGTGATTGTCTTTCGGTGTTGATCTAGATGGACGTGCGTCGTCGGATTCGGAAGTGCGGGTGGATTTAACGATCGCCGGGGCGGTTTTATGGTAGAATTGGAATCTCTTTTGGTAGCCCGGGCAGGTTATTTTGCGCTTTAGACAGCGTAGACATTCTGGACGGGTTTGATCGCACTATTCTTTCCATTAGGATGGGCATTTTCCGCTTCAATACGTTTTTCTTGTTCTTGTGGTTGTGAACTTTTGTCA